TAATCCCTGCCTTGCCTTCCAAACTCACCCAGTCATAATGAAGGATTTTCTGTTTGAATGGAGATTCTGAAAATAATCCTGTAGCTGACAACGTCCGTAATGATGCTTTCTGTCCTTCCTCCAGGTTGGTCGTGGCAGTGGAAGAGGCCTTCACACACATCAAGCGTCTTCACGAAGAGGAGGTCGCCTCGTCCCCCAAACACCCTCGGGAGGTGATGGATCCTCGGGAGGCGGCTCAGGCGATTTTCGCTCCGATGGCTCGAGCCATGCAGAAATACCTGAGAACCACCCGGCAGCAGGCCTTCCACAGCATGGAGAGCATCCTCACACACCTGCAGTTCTGCATCACACACAACATGACGCCCAAGGTAAAGGATTACCCAACGTTTGTTCAACCAGTAGCCCATCTTAGCCCAGCAACCAGGGTCGTAGCTGCTTCTGAGGCCCTCATATTGTTTTTTGTGGGAGTTTACAGGAGTTTACATTCTATAGTTACACACACAAATTACACATGCTTGGTTTTTAAGGCTGATTATCATATTAATTTAGATTTAATATATTTAAATTGGACTTTTTATAAAATTAATAAAAAGAGAATGTATTTCTCTTTTTTTTGAAATTGTATTGATAAGTCTTCAAAACATCATTTTAACCACTGCACAGTTAAATGAATAAAGGATATTTCGAAAGAATTAATTAGAAATTTTACGAATAATATTTGGTGGCAGATTTTCTCAGGGGGTTGAAGTTGCTCTGGGTGAGTTTAGACTCATGGCCACAGCATTTTAAAAATCTTTATTACAGCCCTAACGGCAATCTGCATAAACATTTACGCATGGTGTTTTGCACTACAGTTACTCAAAAGTTGCTGACATTATTAAATTGTATTAATTTTTGGCGTAATTACAACATGCCTGTTGTTTGATGCACAAGATGTTATTTATCATTAAAAATATTTCTTTCCTTTTTAAAAAAAAATCTTTTAATAACCAATTTAGCAAGGATTAAAAATCTCTTTCTCAAGAGTGTCAACAATAACAACAGACAAACACAACAACAAAAAATCATGAATAACATTTCTAATACAATCATGTAAAAGATTTCATCCTAACCTAGCCAACCCAAATGTCCCATTTTAAAACAACACAAGGGCTGTCTAAAACCATAAAAATGTCTAAAGACCAATCTAAACTTTATTATGAGACAAACGCATGCAGATAAAATACCCCGACCCATCAGCAGCCAGAAGAGAGCACACTGTTTCTGCAGCAATGCTTTGAAATCACCAAAACAGACTCTATATAGCTGTTTCAGATCTATCTGCGGAAAGCTCCAGGCAGAGGGAGCAGCATACATAAAAGCTCTTTTAGCTAATTCACTGGAGTCTTTAGTCCTGGGGAATAGAGAGCAGAGCAACAAAAATACTTCAATATCAAAACATGTATGTTTTCCAGTTTTCCAGTGTTTCCATGATAATTAACCTCCTTCATCCTCCCGGTCAGGCTTTCCTGGAGCGTTACCTCTCCCCCGGCCCCACCATGCAGTACCAGCAGCAGAACGGCAGGGGGCGCCAGTGGACTCTAGTGAGCGAGGAGCCGGTGACCTCAGCCCTGCGTCAGGGTCTGGTCTTCTCCTTGCGACGCCTGGACTTCTCTCTCGTGGTCACAGTGACACCGCTCCCCTTCCTGCGTCTCGGGGAGGAATTCATCGACCCAAAGAGCCACAAGTTCGTCATGAGGCTGCAATCGGAGACCTCGGTGTGAAGGCACCTCCTTTTTAAAGATTCTCCTTTTCCCATGCTGTCCTCTCTTTGTGCTCAGTCCTGCTGGATCACTCTTGTGGAGGCCATGTGGAGTGCTCCTATCTAATCATTTCCCCTGTCTGTGACAAAGAAACCATTTAAAGGAGAGGAGTGTCTGAATTCTCCTTCCTGTTTTATGATCATCACAGATGCTCTGACTGTGATCAGCTCAACGATTGTGCAAACCTGGAATGAAACAGATGCCTTTTTCTTTTTTGTGCTGTTTAGTCTTTGTCTTTACAACACATTGTTAAAAACAAAACACTTTTTCTTTCTTAAGGGGGACTTTTTGTTGTTTCCTCCTTTTTTGCTGTAACCACTGGACTACTTTACTGTGCTGACTCAACACATAAAGCTAAGGAGGAGGATTACATCACATTTGTCACTTCCTCTTTCTTGTGTCTCAAACGGACCAAGTGGGGCTCAGCTCTGACAGCAACGCTGGTGTACCACTGCCTTTTGATTCCCTGTCAGTGTAATGTGTTGTTTGAGATGGCGAGGACTGTTTTTATATTAAAGGGTGTAATGTTTTTTTTCTTTTTTACTTACAGAATGTAGCATTATGTGCATTGAATTAACATGTGGCTTTTCTGCAGCCTGAGGGCCAAAATGTCTTCTTTTTTTTATCTGACTGTAAAGAAAAATGGAAGTACATTCCTAAATTGTTGCTACTCCAGACTCTGTATATTCATGATTGTCTAAATATGCAGCATTTGTTTTATTCTACACTGGCATTTTTACTATTCTTTTTACAGTTTAAGCAAGAAGACTAAAGAAAGACCCCATTTACACCTGGTATCAGCATGCAGTCTGTGCCAGCATATATTCTGAATGAGGATGTTAAAGCATAAGCCTGGTGTTATTCTGAATTTTTGTTATTGTCAACAAATCCCATAAAAAGAGTAAAAGACCAACAATGTGTTGATACTTTTATGAAGTTGTAAATCTTTGAAAACTTTCATTAAAAAAGGGCTCAATTATTTTTTATATTCACTACTATTACAGGAGTAAATATTGCATTTACTGCACACTAATTTAACCCACAAACTACTACACACTAGTGAGTATTTATGGAAACAGGAGATGTATGTGGGTGCAGTTCTGTTCATAGTAACAGGAACATGTCACCCAGCGCAACTGTGTGACTCACTGATGTGTTCTTACCTGTTTACGCCAGGCTTTGGATACACAGACAGTACTTGTTCATTGTGTGCTTTTGATGTCTTTTCATGGGATTTATTGAGAACAAGAAAAATATAGAGTATTGCCAGACTTAGCCTTTAATGCAACGTGTAAATGCAAGCAGAACACGCTACAGTCAGAGCTACTGAATCGGCAAATACAGCGGTCGTGTGCATTGCATTGTAATAAGATGAGAGCCAGGTATGCATGTGATCTTTACAGTTTCCTTCCACATTTAAAAGAATAAATTACCCAACAAGTTGAAAGGTAAACTACCGCCACCACCTCCTGCCGTATCAAGCGGCAACAATCGTCAGAAGATGACTCTCTCCGTAGAGGAAAAATAAGTAGAGCTTGGAAATTCTCAGCACAAGGTCCAACTAACTTGTTTCCAAAGCTTTCAACCACACCTCCGGGCCTTCTTCAGTGGAGCTGTGATGGTTTAGTTGTTGTCGTGTGACCTAAGTATGGAATTTTGTGGCAGGGTTTAAGCCATCTTTGAGTAGAGATAGAGTAACTGTCTCCACCTCGTACATTACCTTACTTAGCTCTCCTGATAGCGTTTATCACCGTGACAACTTAGCAAATCTATCTGCTGAGAAATGGCTTGTTTTGGTTTATTGACAACATTCTAATCTGCTGTGTTTAAAATGGTACAACAATAGAGCAATAAAGTAATCGTTGTCCCAGGTGTTCACACAGTTCACCTGCTTTTATCAAGACGGAGACTTAGAACAAAACAACTGAAGTACATAACATCTTTCCAGAAAGTAGACTACTAACATAAAACATTAAGATTTCTACAATTGACACTTGACCCTAAACACATCAAGTGCCTGAGCTCCTCCTTATATTGTATATTTATATCCTATCACAATGCAGAATTGAAACAAGGGCAACGCAATGCGTTAATACCAGGTGTGAATGGGGCCATGGTCTATTCCAGGCTTCTTTTTTTTTTTTTTAACATTGTACACATAAGAAATTCAGTCCTGATCAGGCAGCTGTAGTTGAACTATGAGCTGACTTCTATGGGTTTAAGTGTTTTTATGCATTTCAACAAAAATCCCAAACCAGACGTGTGATTGTAACTCCTCTCTGCAGCTCCTCTGCAGCAGTAGCGTACTGTTATCACCGCCTCGCCTTGTGCCACGAGCTGAAACTAGCACAGTGAACATGCTGCCTCCATCCTCACTCGGCCTTACTCTCCAGATGTGGAGAACCAGCGATCCTCATCAAGCTCCCGAAACTTACTGTACCGCTGAAACCCTTCTGATGTTGAGACTTGAGCCCCTCTGATGTATCTACCTACAGTATGTTGAGCCACAGCCCGACTGCTGTACTTGCCAGTAAAATCGTGGTTTAAAAAGCCTGTTACGTTTCTAAACAATATCCAAATACCAGGTCAAATGTGTGTGACATTTCATCCAAGGGATCAAAATGCAGATGTTATTTAAAAAAAATGCATGCTAGAGTTATTTTGGGCTCCAAAAGGTTTTTAATAATAATAACTTGTTTTCTATCATTTTGAAGGTGCCTAAGTTATGATGATGCAATTTTCCGAATGTTTTTACTTTTGAAAAACAAAGTGGCTTGTAAAAAAATTTGTAGATTTGTCTTGTACTTTCTTCTTTTTGGTAACTGTAGCTTGGATAGTGTGTTAGGCATTTTCCCTTTATTAAACCATTTATTCCTTATACATCTTCTTTTTGTCACTTAATTTGGGAGCGTGGGAAATTGATGCAGCGAAGCTATATTTACAAAAAGCAAGTCCTAGAAGAGGTAGAACATGCTGAAGTTGATTCAGTTTTCTTTTATATATACATATATAGACAAAATGACCAGCTGTATTTGCATGTTTGTGGTATTGAGACAGAGTTACAGACAGGTTCTGCTTTCTGTTCAGAGGTTTCTGTTCTCATTAACTGGAAGCACCATGTCACTGGATTTTTAGCAATCACCAGAGTGTTTTTCAAGCGTTTTAGAGGAACTTCTCTGAAGGGGGTGATGGCAGTGTGGTAGGCGTGTGGTTTCACAGCTTCAAAAAAACGGACAGAGAGCCCCGGACTTCCTGTTCGCTGTTGTTCACAGAGCTCACTTCAGAGGTTTTTTTTTTAAGAGATCTCGCTGACAGCCGACAAAGGAGCATCAAAACAGACCATCCATCTTATTTGTAGCCCACCTGGTAAGATGGTGCGACCGCTGCTTATCGCCACCTTTCTGATGATCAATCCCACCTGCTCCGGTGAGGACTTGTAAATGTCATTTTCTTTGAGCTCTTGTGGGTAGGTTTTTTAAGATACCTGTAGCACTGAAAATCCTTGGGTGGGTGGCTGAGATGGCAATGAGACATGTTAACATTTCTTCTGGAGTTGATGATGATCAGTGATGAAGCTTGAGATCATGTGTTTGCTTTGTGCAGAGGCCCTTGGAGACATGAGCGTATGTTACATACTGGATGGGATTCTTATCCTTTACGGCATCATTCTCACCGTCTTATACTGCAGACTGAGGGTAAGACAAACAGGAACAAGACACGCGCCGCCATGATGAATGTTAGGGTTTAAAGTCCTATTAACTATGTTTCTCTAAGTAAGTCTTTCATGTTGATTGTAGCATTGTACCTGACAACTTTACACTCTACATCATCTTGAATGTTTCAGTACTCTTACCAGTTAAAGCTTAAATGTCTAATTTACACCTCAAATATTATGTGAATAACTCAACCATGAGCTTTTTTATTTATTTTTGACAGATGAGTCCAGCCAACAAAACACCCGCCAATCCCCATGAGGTAAAATTAAAGGTGTATTTCTTCATTATTGTATCGAGTGAAATGTGCTTGGGAATAGGCTTGGCTCTGTTAAGTTAACTTTAAAGCCAAGCTCAGTCTGTCATTTCCTGTAAGCTTGAGCTGACCACCAACCTACATTATTTATACACTGTACACACTCACAGTTTCCACGAACGTTTTTTCACACAAATGTGTCAGTGTCAGATCTCACTTCCTGCGAATTGTTGTACGCATGCAGAATAACATCGCATTGATCCTAAAAATCACAGAATGAATAAAATAATCAACACCGATATGGCTTGAAAGAAACAGAGTCGAACTAGGAACTAGATATTTCAAAAAGCCAGTCACTCTGTTGTGTTTCTTAAGAAATGATTGTTACTGAAACACACTTACACAATTCCTTTGAACTGTTTCCATCCCACAGAAGCAGCCCGCAGAAGGAGGCATCTATGCGGTGAGACTTTTCATTCTAATGCTTAAAAAGACATTTAAAAAAGCACATGATGGAAAAGTGACAGCTTTCCGCACAGCGGATGGTAAAGGACCTTTGTATTTGTTTTGATTTTTGTTCACCTACCTGGAAGTCAGAAGAAGAAAAAAAAAAACTTAGACTCAGTGCAGGAAGTGCTGTATTGTTTTGTAGAAATGTATTTGTACTCTTTACATCAGGTGATTTTACTTCTCACTCATTTTCGTGTCTGTGTCTTGCAGGGTCTGACCTCTCACACCGCGGATACCTATGAGACCATCAAAATGGATAAAAAGCCTATTGTCTGATGGAGATTTGGTGCAGAGAGGATGCTGAGCCCAGAAACACCAGAATTGAATCTGTTGAAGCTTTATACTGTATAGTAAGTTGTTAACTTGTGCCGGGCATGTGCATAGAGTTTCCATACATGATTTTTCTCCCTTTTTGTTGTTGTACAAATACTACTTTTATTTCGAAACTTTGTGTTGTGCATGCATCAAATGTTAAAATGCGATGTAGGGTTGTTTTCACTGCACGTCGCTCTGTTTTTCACAGCTGATTTTACCCAAGTAACCAAGAAAACAAGTTTAATTTTTTTTCTGTTTATGTGTTCCCCTTTTTGGTAAAATGACCGACCTCATAAGCAGACGAGCAACTATGATTCTTTTTATTAACAGTTAATCTGCTCATTATTTGTTTTATTAATATTTTGGTTTATAAAAAGTCACAATTTCCTAAAGTCTACGGTGACGTCTTAAATGTCTTGTTTTATCTGACCAACCATCTACAACCCGAAAGATATTTAGTTTACAATGATATCAAAGAAAATCAGCAGATTCTCACGAATAAGAAGCTAAATTTAAGTTTATTCATACATTTTCCGTCGATCAACTAATTGATTAATCAGCTAAACTTAGAAACTTGATTTGAGTTACAAAGTGCTTCACAGTAAAAAAAAATAATAAACGTATATAAAATCCAAAGATGTAAAACAAGATCAAATAAGTAAAATCATTACAACAAATACCATCAGTTAGGAAACACATGGCGCATTAGTTTAGCAAACAAAACTTGGGAAAATATACTTAGAAGCTCAAGCTGATTCAAGTGAATTTGATTCAGTTTGGCTTGATATTTTGACGCATCAAGCTGGTCATCCTATTACTGCGTTTCATACACACCAGTTTTGTGTGAACAACTTTTATGTATTTAAGTTTTATTAAGAAGAGTATGACCTAGACCTGCTCTATGAAAAGTGCAATGAGACAACTTCTGTTGTGAAATGGCTCTATATAGATTCAACTGAAGAGAATTGAATTATGTCAATATTAAATACTGCAATTCCCAAAAAAATATCAACTACTATTTTTACTTGTTATAGATGTATATATGCTTTCTGTTGTGTTATGGCAGAAATCCGTAACATTTGTAACTGTACATGTTCATTTTGTTCATATCACCTCCATTTTTTAATTAGTTTAAATCTTTGGGAAAAAAACATTACAATTAATCAGAATTGAGTTTTTTTTTTCAGATATAGAGAGTTCAAAGTATTCAGTACATAGAACATCTCATTTCATGTCTCAGAAATGTTCCTTTAAAACAGGAAAACTGATAACAGCCGCAGCACCAGAGGGCAATCACACGCTGTAAAAAGTACTTGTTTCATTCTGTGTGACAGCTGATCCTCACCCACTTATTTACATAGAAACATACAAGTATTCAAAACAGATTCATTCATGCACTCTGGCTGTGAACCGTTCCCCCCGAGGCTCTTCACAGTGACACAAGAAACTCGCTCACCTATTCTGCTGTCGGTTGCAAGTAACCCCCTAAGTTGTGAAGCAGGACAAGGTTGAAAGACTCAGTTTTGGGGGGCATTCACAGTTGCATTTATATAATGAAGAAAATTGTATTTATTAGCCTAGATGTTTTCTAAGTCATCAATGATATTATCACTATCAGTAAACATGCCGCATTGAGAGAAGTAGCCTACTTTTGTTTTTTTGCAAAAAGACAATAAATGTATTTGAGTCAACCTTTTTTTGCCTTGTGTGTTTTTTGTTGCTGTTTTATAGGCTGTGTTTATAAGCTGTGAGCACTTTCTATGCAATTTTCATTTAAAAGTGGGAAATTCAACACAGATTCATTGGAAGTATTAAGCTGATACTCCTATTCGGGGTGAGTAAGGGGTGTTTCATATCAACATGCTGTATGTTGGAGAGAAAATGCCTTGTGAAGTACATCCATACTGTACATGAATGAAGCCGTCTGTTCCTGTCTGCCATTGTAGTAGCATGCTATCATCAGCTTGAGTCAACAGATAAACTGCTGAAACAACAGGAGCATCGCCCACAGATAAACAGTCAGGTTGCTTTGACCAAACGGAATCGCACCTCCAGCTTGCTAATGGAAGAATTGTTACTTACCACATGTTGTGTATGGATTTTATATAGGTCTAGTGTGTAGAGATTTGATATTTAGATATCTAATAACCAAAAGCTACTTTTGTACAAAGCAAAACAATAAGATGTTTTAAGTAGGCCCTACTGGCCCTACTGGCCTACCAAGTAGCAGTGCCTATTTTTCTAAACAATAACAACTGTTACTACAGATAGGCTTCCAAGTTCCCCTCCATGTCCAGCATGCCTGCTGAAGTCAGAGTTCATTTAACATGAAGCATCTATAGTACCTGTAGTTACAACATTAATGTGCTCTCATTTTGTAATTATGGTATTTTCAGAATAGGTTGAAGGAAGCTGCAATGCCCAATCATTGGCCTTCAACTGTGTTAACCAATCTTTCTGTTAAAGCCTCTGAAGGAGTGTGTTGGCTCAAAACCATTAAAAATTTAAATTGTCTTTATTCTAATTTTTGTTTCTTTTTGTTTGAATTTTTTTTCTTCTTATATTTTCTACTTCCTTTCTTTTTCTCTTTTTTCTTTGTGTTTAAGTGCTATAAAGTTGACTGATTCATTATTGTTAACATTTGTTTAAATTAAAAATGTTAGGCAGCAGGATGTCTATTCCTGCTTTCAGTGCAAAACTGCAATCTCCCCCGTGTCCGACTTTCTCAAAACCACGTGACTTCTGCAGTGGGCGGAGCCGTTGCAGACAGGTGTAGAGGCTCAAACCTGCTCTAGTAGGTATTTCTCCCTGTGCGTGACATACGGGACAGGGACCGCTTTCATTTGTCTTTTCTGTGTTGACTCAAACACACTTTAAAGTGTTTCTGTTTGCATTTAATCTGCCAAGTTGTTGTGCAAGGGGCCGCTGATGAATTTGGCCTGCACTCGAAATGACGTTTATGCAGTTTACAACTTGCATTGAACAATATTCAACTCGTGTGAGTGCACACCGGTGAAGGATTTCTCCTTTTTAAGCATGGTATATGAGATTTGAAGAGGGAACAGCTGCTGCACCTGCCTACCTGCTGTGGACACCTACCTGCTGCTCGCGCTGGGCTTCTTGTCTGAACTTAATGCACTTATTGATAATGAAAGCTGAATAAAAAACAGCCGAGAAAGGAAGTTAATTCAGACCAGTTTTTATTTTTGGACTTAAGATGGAGTTGACCGGTTGTCTGGCGCTGCTTTTACTAGTTGGTGAGTTTTCTTTTACTTCATTTACATGACAATGAACTGTTTTATAGAACCTTCACTGTCTGAATTATCATTCTGGGACCCCTGCTGTCCTTTTTGTTGCTGACTTTGTAAAGCTGGGCTAGTCCTAAAAATCACAGTTTACTTTGCTGTACCAAAGTTGGCAAGAAAATCAGAAAAAAAAGGGACATAATATTCCTAAAATTGAGTTGCAGTAGGCCCATAGAGTCGCTAATAAACCTGTAATATTTCTATAATCCTGGAATCTTGGAAGGACTTGAGCTAATAGCAAGCAAGCTAGCAACTTTCAAAACAAATGCTGCTTTAACTTACAGAAAAATAAATTATGGAAATATATAATAAGCTTAAAGTGCTTCAAGGCAACTTACGTTTCCCATTCTGTTGCTATAATGACTCTATGATATTCCTATAAGCTAAGCACGTGGAAGGAGGCCATAGACACCTTTGGGTACTTTTTTAAAGGAATAAAATCCTACAATGATATATCTGTACAATATTTCTATAATATCACCATACAGAAATGTAGCATACAACTTTAGATCCTTTTTTGTATTCATCGATCTGTGCCTACTGTCTTAATCTGCCTTTGTCTCTGTATTGTTACTGCCTGAAAGTTTTTGTCTGTAGTTACACTAAATGGCCAGATGTATGTGGACACCCCTGATCTTGGTGGAGCATTACATTTCTGTCTCATGTTTTATGTTTGGTGGCCTATTTTTCCTTCTTCTGTAGCTAAATGACTAGAAATTAGAGATGATTTTTTTTCATGAATACAGTATACACTCTTTGGTCAAATGTATCTGGACACCCATGACTACTGATACATTAGTCTGTTGATGTTTTCTATAGTTTGATCTAGGCCCCTTAATTCCAGTGAAGGGAAATGTAAATGCTAAAGCACATTAGACTGTAGTGTGCTTCCAACCATGTGACCAAAACCTGTGTCAACTCCTGTGCACAATGTCCTTAAAGAAATGGTTTGGTGTGGAAGAACATGACTGGCCTGCACAGAGCCCTGACCTGAACCCCATCCAACACCTTTGAGAACGGGAAAAGTCGACTGTGAGCCAGACATTAGCGCCTAAGGTCACGGCCCGCTGTGGCTGAATGGAAAGTCTTTGCAGAAGAGTGGAAGCTGTTATCGTAGAAGATCACTACCCATCGTTCTAGAATTAGATGTTCAACAATGACATGGGTGTATTTTTTTTTTTTGGGTGTCCACATACTGTTTGTACCTGCAGGTGTGGAGAAAGAAGCGGCATAACAAAATGTGGCTCTGTCACATTCTTACGTTTAGTAAACATGAATCAGATCTTATTGCCCAACCTGCGTCTTCCTGTTTTTGTGACTAATTCTGATGCGTGCTGCTTTTGTTTCCTTATTCAGTTGGAGATTAAATTCAACACCTCCACAATACTGGAACCCTGTGCTGCTCTAATTAAAAGAGCAAAGGCACATATTAGACCTTTGTTTTATCTTTAATCTGCAACCACAAGTGTGAAGTTACGCTCATCCCGAGTGAACAGGAAAAGCGCGTATAGCAACTTTGTGAACCTGTGTTTATCTAGATTGTGTGTTTGTGTGTCTGTTTAACTCTTTCCTTCAGTTGGGTGTTTATCTCTATTGACGCACTCTCTCACCTTCATTTCTCTTTGCCTTCCTCTAATGTCAGTCCTACGCTTGTGTCTACCTCTGTGTCTTCCCTTTCTTTACCTTTATCTACTGTTGCTCTTTAGCAACTCTCTGCCTCTTTCTCTCACTACTCCACAATCAGGTCATCCACACTGTAGTTCTTTGTTGGCCATGTGTCCTTGCGCAGGCTGCTTGGGAATGTGGGAGTTCGGTGTAATCATTGATTGAGCTCGTGAATCAGTTACCGCAGATTAAAAAAAAACAAAAAACTTGGGTTCACAACAGAAATCAAAGGGCAAATGCTTGGTTTTTCCTGTTTGAGCTGTTGATGCATTGCTCTCTCACACCCTTTTTTACTCATGTTTGTGTGTCAGTCCCACGTAGACGTAGATGTAGACTTTTAACCAGGTGTGATAAAAGAACCATCAGTATTAGTCATTAGTTGGCTCTAATGCAGGAGTTTTAGATGACTCGCTGATACGAGACTACACAGCAAGAGTACTGAAGCTGCTTAAAGTGGCTATTTGGGTTAATTTAATAAAGATCTTAAATACCTGAGGCAATTACCACATCCATAATTGGGGAAAAAAAACTCTGGTATGTCAAGATCCATAGAAAACAAATGAAAATATAACAAAAAGAAATAGAAACATTTTTATCTCATAACATATTAGATGCAATATTTTCTTGTCATACACAAACATCCTTCTACAAACGCCGCCTGGCTCTGCCGTCCCTACACACAAAGCAATCTCTGTCCCTGTTCTCATCTGTGACACCACGATGGTGGAACGAGCTACCACATGCCATCAGAGCAGGGGCGTCCCTCTCTAACTTCAAGAAGCTCTTGAAAACTCATCTATTCTGACACTTCCTCTTATAACACCTCTAACCCCTAACCTGTAACATGCGCTTCCCGTGCTCTTCTTCTTCTATCTCCTTACAAGTTGTTTGTATTGATTGCATGATTTGTTAACTCTTACTTCTTTCCCTACATATTGACCCCATTGATGCCAATCGTGCTATCAGTTCATTCTAGTATTTAATGCTGCTATTGTCACTTGTGGATCTCTTGCTGTATTGATGTTTTGTTGATGCTTGTATGTTGTTCCTTAACTGTAAGTCGCTTTGGATAAAAACGTCTGCCAAATGAGTAAATGTAATGCAATCTAAAACAAAATATCAAGTCAATATGGACAGACCTCTAAAAGGGCACCTAATCCATCAAATCACGCTAAAACTTTCCACTGTGTCATGGTAGGTCTTTGTCTGTTCACAAACAGGGAGACATTTTTGCTTTTGAAGAAAGAATTAACACACATAAAAGCACTATTGTTAGCACTGTCGCCTCAGCATGAAGATCATGTGTTCAAACCCCCTCCTTTGTGGTGTTTGCATGTCTTCTCTGTGTGTCTGCATGCCAGCAGACAAGCAGGTTAGGTCACTGCCTATGTCAATTTGAGTTTTAATGTTTTTGTCGTATGTATGTGTGTGTGTGTGTGTGTGTGTGTGTATATATATATTAATGACCCAATATAACCCAGCTCTTGTCCAGTGCATTATGGGATAACAGCAAGCCCTCCTGTGCTCTTTAACAGGAAAAGGTGCATAGAAAATGGATATATGGCCTGTTCAAGGAAATGAGTAAATGAAATGTAAAATAAAGGAGAGTTTGTTTAGGGTATGTATGTCTGCAATGGTAGTCTAGAAGGAAACTTCCTCGTAGTGTATCACTGTAGAAAAAAAGACTTAGGGCTGCAATTAAGAATTATTTGCATTAAAGTAGGTGAAATGCCAGATATTAGTGGAACATGCTCTTCAAAAGTTCTGACCACCAGTACAAAACCCAAATATGTTGATCTCACAGTGATACACAACAGAGAAAAGTAACAAATCTTCACATTTGAGAAGCTGGAACATGCATATGTTTGGGGTTGTTAGCCATGCTAGCAGTGTAACTCTAGGGATGATAATGGCTGTCTGTCGGTACACGGCAATCTGGTCCAGATTGAAATCTATTGGAGGAATCACCGTGACATTTTGTACATTCGTCAGATGATGAATACTAATGACTTTGATGATGACTCTGACTTTAGCGTCAACAGCAAGTTGACATTTTTTGTCTTTAAGTCTCGACAACTATTGGATTGATTGTGATGAAATGTTGTACAGAAATTCACGCCGCCCTCAGAGGGGAATTGTAATAACTTTGATGATACCCTGACTTTACATCTAGCCCCACCATCAGGTTTACAGTACTTTATTTGTGACTTGGTACTTGCAAAACTAATCAGCCTCATCTGCACTTTGTGTTTAGTGCTAATTAGCTAGTGTTAGAATGCTAAAACGGTAAAAATGGTAAAAATTATTCCTGCTTAACATCAGCATGTTAACGTTGTTATTGTGAGCATGTTATTATGCTGACTTTAGCAGCTCAAAGCACTGTTGTGTTGTTGCTGCATAAATGATAATGAACCAATACGTTCTCTGTGTGATCGGTTTATGATCGATTTGTCAGCACTAATGTTCATAATCTTTGCATGTTTACAAGCCATGAAATACTGCATAAACAGATGACTATCCACTGAACCACAGCTATAATAAATGTTTTCCACTATTGTCACTCAGTTTTGATTATTGACAGGCAATTCATTATCATAAATCGCTTCAGTTATTTTTCTAACAATAGATTGACTCGTTGTTAAAACACTTTACAGCACTCTCCACTTATGTCTTATAATCCCTTAACTTTATTGGATGAAATCCTCTTTCATTTCCTCTCTCCTCAGCGGTGTGTGTGCAGGGTGGCTTCGTGGAGCCTACTCAGCCCGTCACCTCCCTGCGCTCCCTGGCAGAAAGTCAGACTAGGCTCCCCTGTCACTACCAGGCAGAGGGGGAGGAGAAGGTGGTGCAAGTCACCTGGCACAAGGAGCTCCCGGATGGCAGCAAGGAGCAGATGATCACTGCACACTTCACGGACGGCCACACAGGTAGGCTGCAGCGAGGGGTGAACAGTGAATGAGCATTGTGAAGAGAGTTATTCCCAGACTGTTTTATAGAGCATTTTCTACAGTTACAGGTCCTGCACTGTTTAGACATGAGGTCCAGTGCAAGCATTCTTGTTTTGCAAGTACACTTGCAGGGTCTGTCCAGATCAGGCTTTTGTTTAGGAATTGTTAGACCTCAGATATGATCAAGATCTAGATACCTTAAAGGTACAATTTGTAAGATTTGGCCAGAATTTTAGTTTAAAACATTAAACAACTGACTAAGATGGTGAACAGAATGAGAAGAAGTAACAGCTCTTATGTTATGTCAAAAGCGTCTAATGTATTGTGTTGCAGAGAGATCTACTAAAGTTAGCATGCTAACCAGCTAGCCCTGGCCCTCCTGACTTGTTACAGCACATGTGGCTCGAGATGCGATAGTGAGTCTCGCTAGTATCCAGTCTGCCGTCAGTCCAACATGACAGGACAAATATGTAAGGCTACCCTGAGGGCTTGTAAATGGATGCTGCTGTACAAGCTGCCCTCTCTCCCTCCTCCGATGCTTGCCAGTCCCCTCTGTTGTCACAAACCTCTGTTCTTCTGCAGTTACAGCTCCCTCGAACCCCATGATCAAAATGCATGCGGGGCATTCCACAAAATGATCAAAATATTCCCATCCACTACAATTATTGGAAATAAAAACTGCTGTTTGTTGTTGTATTTTTTTTTTTAAATTACTTACTTATTCCACATATTTGTCAGTTGTGTCTAAACAAAGTGACCAATAGGAGGCCCTCCCCGCAGATCAGTACACAAGGCGATGGTCCATTTAATTTCAGCGTTGTATAAGGAGCAACCCCCGCTAATCCCGGAACAAATAAAAAGCTTAGCGGATGCTGCCTTCCAGTGAAAGTTAGATATGCAAATATCCAGTTAAAAGCGTGCAAGTACTGTAGGTGCATGACACCAAACGGAAAACAGTTAACTGTGTTCCCTCTGCACCTAATAACACTGGTGACATATTTTAGTTTACACGTAAAACAAGTTGTACTATATGAAAGTATGTATTATTTTTATTAAATACAGGCAAACATACTTTACGTTGCCTTTTTAGTTGATGGTTTACCATTTACAATGTGCGCTTCTATGGATGCTGCCATTGTTGTGTGATGTCAGACAACTGTCTCTTCATGAAGTCGGGGTAAATGGATATTCCCCGAGTTTACTTTCAGAGGCGTTTCATTGTACATTTTGTAGGAGTAGGAGGCCAGTAAATTTTGACTTCCGAGTTGTCTGGAAAGCAGCATTAGAGTGTAGCCTGGCTGAAGGGGGTGAAATGCTGCCTCCTATTTGTTTGGAGCATGTGGCCAGGAAAAGACATATTGTACCTTTTTTAATGCTATGCTTATCATCCAAATCATATTTAGAAATATTTTAAGGAAATTGTTATTGTCAAAGTATTCAACAAAGTAACCTTAGTTAGGGTAGGCTAGTTTTTCGTAATCATGTGCACTCTTGACCTGATTAAACAGCAGACATTCTGACTTGTTGCAGGATGAGGAAAAGCAGGTGTTACTACTAACATTTATGATTTCTACATTTCATATAGATATTCCCATTTCAGGACCTTGGTATTGTGAATGCTTGCAGTGGACTGCTATTGTACTGGGAGTCTTCTTAGAGCATTTGTTTATACTTGTTTATACTGTCTATGTATTAAACTTTATTTATCAGAAATTTTGAGTTTTTAACTTTTAGTTTTTGCTGTTTAGGATCAAACATTTGAACAGATTCTGGCCGCCTAAATTTTATCCTTCTCAGCAGTGACACTGTAATTAGCATTGTCAGCTGGCTGGCTACTGCAGTCAGAGTGTATATAGTGCTAAATTGCCAACAGCAGACCAGGAGCGTTACTATCCTGAACTTGATATTACAGTTATTTAGAATTGTATAGCACACCAAAATCATATAGCAGTCATTCTGTGGATGATGACAAATCAGGTTTGACTTCTATTACATTAAAATAAGCTCAAGACAAACAGAGTTTCACTGATAATTTCACATATTGGTGTATGTCACAAATCACTGAATTAAGTCCAAGGTGTATCTACCCTGTATCAGTTGATTTCTCTTGGATTGCCTGCTTAAGTCATATCTTCTTTTTATTTAATTGTGCAGGTAAATATTCTTTGGGGAGGGTTGCTATGATTTGAATTGCTATTTGTTTCCACCTACAGAAAGTTGGGCCCAATCCCAATGTCCACACTCACAGACTCACAGACTTTGAGGCGCGTTCTCGGTAAATCCGTGAGGGCTCAGGGCTGTCCCACTGTCAAATCGTCAAGTGCATGAGGGCTCTCTCACGGACATTTTGAGCCCTTTTTGTAAGTCCGCATTTCTGCAGACTTTGCCTGAGGGAACTGCCCACAGTTCATAGCATTGTGACTTGAAACACAAGGGTTACCAGGGGACACCCGGAAGCGAGAGAAATATCACGGCAAATCTGCCTTATAAGAGAAGAACGGTAAACAAACTTGCATGGACAACAATGCTGATGTGAAAATTGTTAGAATCTTTCTTGACATAGATTTAAGATGGTAGATGGAACACATGAAGTCAGAGGAATGCAATCACCTTATTACACACTTAGTTTATTCAACTGTTTATTTTAGTTTTTGCCTAACGATGCTGTTTTGTCCAACAATATTGCATTGATTATTGACAAACGTGGATTGACATTTACCTCTCCTCCACTCTGTAGGACAAGAGCCTGCAATACCTAAAAAATCAGGCAAAAACATAAATTAAAAAGTGTGCAACATGTTTCAGCGTCGTCAAGATAATGTAAAGTGCTGTCCCGTACCTGTTAACAGCATTTTGAGCCCTTGGAGCCTTTTGCACTCAATCACTTTCCACTTAAACCTTAGGGCTTAGGGGGGACATTGGGATTGGGCCTTAGGCTATACTAAATTGACCCGTTCTCTCATCTGGGTAGTATGATGGAGATTGACAGGCCACTGATTGAAAAGCTCAGCTCAACATACAGTGACTGAGGGGTGCTATTTTGCCCTCCCTCATTTCAAACTTCTGTCTACTGTCCAATCCAATAGATACAAAAATGACCAAAAAATATAAAACAAACAAAATAATAATGCAGTGACTGTATTTATTATTACAACTAGGTTTAACCCTTTTTTCTATTATTTTCGGTCATAGCTCAGTGACTGGCAACACTGCACTACAGTGTGATTTGAAATGAGGTCATAGCAGGAGACTGTAGTTTTGGGCCTGGATTGTGGGGTTGAGATGTCATTGGTCAGTGAGAACATATCTTGTAAAGGATGATGGATGTATATCTGGCCTGAGCTGAAGTCTACATTTTTTATGACAGAGTTCGGGCGTTACTCCGGCCGGGTGAAGTTTGAGAACACGAACCCCACAGAGAACTCGGCTCTGCTCATCCCCAGCACAGAGGAGTCAGACGAGGGCATCTACATCTGCCAAATCTCCAGCTTCCCCAATGGAAACTTTGAGAGGCACATCGCACTCACCGTTTGGCGTAAGACTCATCCTCCTCCTCTCTATTTTTCTTTCCTCTCTCCCAGACCTTCCTAATCCTATCAGAGCTGCTGTAATGATGTTTAAACCATAATCATCTTCATAGAAGAGAAAGCACTGCCAGCAAGGGGAAATTCAGCAGCTTTGTCAACGTGTTTCAGTGGTTGAAAAGCAAAAGGTGAATATAATTTTGTAATAGTTTATATTTTAACATTATCGCTTGTCACGGCTTAATACAAAGTGAAAAATACAAAGTTTGATTTAAAAACTAAAATAACAGTAAAGTGCAAACATGAATGAAATATATGGATCAAACTCGACGTCAAGCAATTTCCACCAAGCACTTGTAACGCCTGGAATTTACAGTCTTTAAATCGCAGCTGTTTCCAGTGCCTACCTAACTCTTGAACTAAGTTACTAAGTGGATTACTGAACAACATTTAACTCAATGCCAGATGAAACGTGTAGAAATATGCTGTTTCTGCAGTGGAGTTACCGTCACTTGGTCACATGACAGAATAATTTGGCTCTCCTTCTTCATCACTTACTGGGTGGATTGCAATTGTGTCATGGTTTCACTGCAACTTTAATCGCAGCTGTGGGAAAGCAGTTTTTTTTTTTATCGTAACCTTGTTGACAGACAAGCCTACAGCGATGCTATCTCTCCTTAATGACTTTATCATTCAGCTGCCAGTGATGAGGGGTGACAGCTCAGTCGTGAGCTTGTCCTAACACGCCGCGGATCCGGCAAACCAACAGAAATACACACACTAGTAACTGACAACCTCCAGCACTGAATTCCCTCGACCCTTTAAACAGTGAACATTCAACCACAAAATGCTGAATTAGCATGCGGGAGAATCCTACATTTTTAATGTCCACATGCTGATTTAAAAATTTAAGCTTAACCCGCCTTGATATGACTACCTTCTACTTTGATTCTGTTATGTTATAGATCTAAAAAACATCTGGATAAATGTTTTTCCTCCCATTTCTCTGTACAGAATGTCAGTCTCTATCGCTGTGTTGATTTCTATGGTGTTTTTAATGCATCTGGGTTTATTTTGTGTGGTTTTATTTGTCGCTGGGTCACTGTCATCTCTAAATGATGAAATAGTTTCTCCATGTGGGCTGTTTTGCACTCTGAGGATATTTTCCCTGCTGGAAATCTCTTCACAGACATCGCTTGTCTATCAAACACTGTGGGCGGGACTGTGATGTCATGTTTTTTGGAGTTTCTGTTTATGAAGCCTCTACAGGTGGTGCCCTTTTCTTTGTGTGTTAATCCATAATGGCTATTTCTGCTAATGCTAACTACTGGTTTTGTCTTCTGCCTTAATAATCCAAGCACCAGTGGAAAGAATTACCAGGCACTGGTTTGTTTACTACAGTGAAGGCTGTCATGGCTGGGATGTGAATTACAACGTTGTTAAACCAGTTGGTAACAGAGGGTAAAAGAAATGGATCAATGTGAAAATGTGGTGACATTTGTCCACAATTATGATGGACTTTATGATGTCTGGACTTAATGTGCATGACTGGAGTTGACAGTTTCACTGTTGCTCTCCACCATCCGTCGTGGATGGCTAAGTAAGATCCTGGTGAAACTTTGTTTTCTTTATCGTGATCTTCTGTGTTTTATATGTATTTAGGGATCTTTTTTTTGTAATGGTATTCTTACCTGAATCTTTCTGCAACAAGATCTTGAAGAGCTTGTTGCTCAGACTTGTCCGTGACAATGACGATCACTACACATACGTAAACATTTAGTGAAGTCCTGGTTTTACTGGATTGATATTACAGCCATTAGGTCATTTTAAATGAAGACAAATTAACTTTGAGCAGGCTTTGGGAAGTATTAATTAATTCTTTAGGCAATAACAATGGATAATTGTAGGGAATGTATTCTACACATTACTCATTTTTAATACTAATACTGTTTTATTGTGTTTTAACAAGCAGAATACACAAAACACAGCTTTCTAAGAGTAAAACAACACAAAACAAAAGTACATTATTAAACAAAAAAGTGAAGAAGCAAATTGGTTTGCCTGTAAAGGGTTTTGCACAAACCAGAAGCTACTACTTGCTATACACAAGAAAGTCAGAAATTTAACTTTTCACGACTACATTAAATAAAAACAGACAAATTAAATAAAGGAAAGTAACCAAAGATAAAAGTAATGTAAGAAATGGGAAATTATGTACACCATACCGCATGTGTCTATATTCAAGTCATTAAAACAAATTCTGTATTTTATGTTGACCACTGGGGCGGCACGGTGCTCCGGCTTTTTCCGGTGGTGACCCTAAATTGTCCTTAGTGAGTGGTTGGTTGTCTGTGCGGCCCTGCGATGGACTGGCAACCTGTCCAGGGTCTGCCCCACCTTTCGCCCAATGTCAGCAGGGCGCGATGTCAGCTCATGTCAGTATTCTTTTAAAAGTAAAACTTCTGTGTGTTTGTCTCCTACTTCACTGTATAGTCCATACAGTGTTTGCTTCCAAACTAGTTGTGATCTCAAAATCATGCTCGTACGTTCTCGTGTTAAACTCCGATTTAAGGTCCTCCTTCAGTGTCAAGTGTCAATCTCTACATTATTCTGCACAGTGAAGCTCAAACATCCAAGTGAAGTAAGAATGAGCAAAACACATTCTTCAAAGTCTTCAATGCCACAAAGCATTTGAAATCCTAAACTCTCCTTGTTCCTCCTCCTCGTCTATTAGTTTCACCCATTGCCTCCCTGGAGCCTGTGTCCCTGGTGGAAGGCCAGTCGTACCGTGTGGCCGCCTCCTGTCGAGCCGTGGGCCGCCCGCTGCCCCGTCTCTCCTGGGACACCGACCTGCCAGGCCAGTCCCAGAACCGTACAAGCGAGGGCGGGTCCGTGTCCAGCTTCTACTCCCTGCACCCCCTGCGCAGCATGAACGGGAAAAAGCTGGACTGTTTGGTGTGGCATCCCAGCCTGGAGCAGCCGCGCAGGATCTCAAATCGCCTGGTGGTTCAGTGTGAGTACAGCTGATAATGATAATGTGTTTTGAGGCCAAAAGAGACTAACAAGGGAGCAGAAGTAAACTAGACTGGAGTTTTAGTAAATTTCATATTTTTTTGATGGTAGAGCTTTTCTAAGTGCAGAAACAATCTTATTGGTTGATCATTAGGAGGAACCAAAGACCCATCTTCTTAGGTAGTATTCCAAATATTTCAATATGTTTTTTTGAGATCTTTCTAGAGATCCACAATTTACTTCTCCTTTTCTTCTGTGTGTGATATTTTGGGACAATAGTTTGCATCAAGAGCACACTCAAAAATCAAGCATTTTTACTATGCACACTGACCTTTTGAGTGTTACTTACCAGTATGGACACACTACATTGTTTAAATCTGCTTAGAATTTGTATGTATTATGGAATCGGGACACAGCATACTATATAATCAGTTCAGCCCTTTCCACTGGGCTCAGAGCCTTTTTTTTTTTTGCTCCTCCAGCTAATGGCTAATTTAACCAATGACATTTTCCCCCTCTAGCTGCCCTGCTACAGATGTTTTTGTAAAGCATTGTGAAAATAAATGGGTGACATTAGACTAAACATTAGACAATGTTGGCAGGTTGGATCCCTTGCTGGGAAAGTGGATGAGTAATACTATGTCCTCCACTATCACTGTTGGCGCAGTCACAGAGAGGACACCTAAACTTCAGTTATCTCAGTGCGAAACAATTGCTCTTTGTCCAGTGTAATGAACAGCTCAAGGACGTCCAGAGGAGTGGACTCAAGTACGATTCTAGACTTGAATCCAATGACTTTAGACTTGACAAAAGTCAGACTTTGCAACCACACCTGCAACTCGACTTCACACAAACCTTTTGTCTTGGAATGACTTGATATTCTCCTCCAAAGATTAAAAATATATTTTAGAAAAATAATTGCGCAGCAAATCAAATTAAAATTCTCCTGACTACAGACGTAGAGTACTTGAATCAATACGACAGTCAGTCACATTGTCTGAACAAGCGGAAGAGATCAGTTTGGCAGTTCACACCAGCAGAAAGCTCTCAGATACTAAAACCACGGATTGTCACATTCACATTAAAGATTCAACAACATGCAAAACATTCGACTTAGAGATTATATATAATTGTATCACTGGATTAACATACGTACATGATGAGGCTAAATATTAGGGACATTATATAACTGATGACATGTCTGATGATAGGGACATCTACAGACAGTGTTGTACGATGTATGCACACGCGAATATGTTCCTAAATTTAGTGTGTGCTCAGGTATCTATGAAGACTACCCTTTTTAGAGCATATTGTACACCTATGAATACTGCCAATTTGTGGTGGTGCTACAGAAAGAGCAGTGTGCAGAAACTCAACGTAACATATAAAGATGGTATGAGGCTGCTGCTCAAGGTGCCACGATGCAGCAGCGCAAGCCAAATGTTCGTCAGTGTTGGCGTGTGGACCTGCTCTGCTGTGCTGCACAATCTCATGTACAGATGCATGTGCAGGTTATCGGATTCTGCAAACAGTATCATTTCAAGTTCAGTCAGGTTCTTTTCCAGTATGTGGAACCAAATGTAAATAGGTTTATATAATATTGTGGACCGGGTATGTGTCCTTACTAAAAGCTTTGATTGATACTATACCAGGATACCTCCAATCAGTTCGCTTTTATAAGTAATGAAGGGTGAAGTAATGAATACAAGTTTATCTCATCACTTTGACTTGACTTGGGATGAAGCCAAGCCTATCGCAGAACAATATCTTTGTCCCACCTAAGCAGACTTTATCAGTGTGAGAATGTTTAGTAGTGTGGAAATGACAGTGTTGATTCTGAGGAATCTTCATCTGGATAAAGACAAAAAAAAAAAAGCCTTATCTGTTGTGTTTGTAGTTTGCACAAAAGATTTGTAACATACATGGTTATTATCTCTTTGCACTACCATGCTGTACATGGGTGAATATTTTTTGTGACTGCATGCTAATGTCTGTGTTTCTGTGTCAGACCCCCCAGATGCCACCATCTCCGCCGCTACAAGAGACTGGTTTGTGGGTTTGGAGAACGCTGAGCTGGTCTGCGGCAGCGGAGGATACCCCAAACCTCAGAACATCACCTGGATGTGGTACTGTCATCAACCTGTCTGCTGCTCATAAATATATCTGCAATTTAACTCTGTCTGGCTGCCAGCAAGAATCTGACAATTCCATGTTAATTTGCCGCACTGTAATGCAGTCTGCGTTGCTCTTTACATGACACTGGAATCTGACTCATAACGCACATAAGCCACTGCCAACATGCATACACATGAACTACACCAATGAGCAACGAAGAAGTGTGCTTGAATCTAAAGCAGGGGTGCCCATCTCTCCTCGCTCAATTCATCAGGGAATAAAAGCGATGGTGTCTTGTTGCGCAAACTGAAGTTAGAAAAAGAGCGAGGGAGATATTTTCACACAAGGGAGGGAGTAAGCGACACAAGGAAGAGCAGGAGACACATGCTAAGCACTTAATCATAGTGCCATGCTTTAAATATCACTCTAATGCTGGGTAAAACACAGGGTCTCTTCTTTAATTAGAGACACTGCACCAGCCATTACAGCTACGACTGAACACACAATGATCGAATGTTGTGTGCTGAGTGAAAAATATTTAGGCGATGAGACAGTCTTGAAATATTAAGATTGTTCTGGATTAAACCTTTTCAACCCTGCAGACCCTTCGGCGCGTTCATCAGTACATGTTTTGTGGACAAGCGACGAGAAGCTTGTTTTAAATTTTAAAGATGAAGCGACAGCCAGCAGCTGCTTAGCTTAGCTTAGCATAAAAGAATGGAAACAAGGGGGAAACAGTTCTATCCAAAAGTAACAAAACAGGCCAACATGCATGTCATTGCATTGACTAGATTTGTTCATTAATCATTTTGGCTGCTAAAGGGAGGTTTCTCCCCTTATCTGTATCATTTTCAACCATCTACTCTGTGTCAGAGGAAATCTCCACCTGTGACTCTGTATAAAGGACCGGTTACAGAAGCTAGGTGGGGTTTGAGAAAAGAAATCTGAGCCGGCTCTAGTCTGGGTGGTAAATCAGCAGTTTAAATAGCTGCTGCAGCACAGTGAAACCAGGGGCAACATGACCCCTCTCAGCGGACCTGATCAGAAACTGGCTCTCCATTATGTGGCCCGTGATGGCCTCAGCTGCACAGTGATGGACTCTCAAACCTAGTGTTTATTTGGTCTATTCAGATCAATGGGCGCCAGTTGTAAGCCCAACAGGTTTTGGTTCAGGCGAATGTGAATTGGTGGTTACACTCTGCGGTGAACCTGATCCTGTGTCGTGTTTATTTTAGCTGAAAGACTTCCTTGATGGAAATTAGATGCTAAATTTCATGCTGTTTTTTTAAATATTAGATACCATTAGATATTTGTCACACAGAATTAGTCGGAGCTGTTGTTTCAAGCAGTCAGTCATAGGTTTATTTATGCTTTATCTATGGGTTCACCTCTGTGATACATCATTGTCAATTAATGGAGACATTTCCCTCTGATTATCCACAGGAGAGGAGGGGCTTTGCCAGACGGGGTGTCTGTGGTTGGAGAAAAACTTGTTTTTGGACGGGCCCTTCGCATGAATGACAGTGGGGTCTATGAGTGTGTGGTCAAGAACAATGTGGGAGTAGGAAAAACAGAGTATATGTTGACAATAACGGGTAAGTGCAAAGAATTTCAGCTTTGATGGTGGTTAAGATCACACAGGATTAAAACTGTCTTGCTACTACATGCTTTGTTGGTATTTTAGAAAGAGGAAATAAGAAGACTTATGCTTAGAATGTGAGTTGTGTGTTTTAGTGAGTTTTAAACAGTTCTCCTTTTGATTTGGAGTAATTGTGCAAATTTGCTGCCCCCTTGTGATGGATAGAAGGCATGAATATATACTATTGAACTCAATCAGGATCAAAATATTTTGCATTGCTGCAATGTCACTGTAGTTTTGTTGCTGTATGAATGTGTTTTGTGTGAGAGACATTCATCAGATTCCTCATCTTTCTTCCAGAGGCATCCCAACGCAAAGGTGTCTCTCCTGTTGACAACCAGCTGCTGATCATCATTGGTGCTTCAGCGGGAGCTTTGGTCCTGGTCCTGGTCATTGTCGTCCTGCTGGTGAACCGCCACCATCGACGCAAAAACAAAAGGCTTCAGATGGAGCTCAGCGAAAAAACGTAAGCTGACCCACATTTTTATTGACAAAGTCATGTAGTGAGAAACTGTAAAAGCCTTTTATTTATGGCCCCAACCATGATGCCAGCGCGACTGTGAATGTTTTAATTGTAAGCTGCTGTTTAAACTGTTTACAGACAATAACTTGGTTTCAAAAATAACATTTACAGACACACAGTTGTTCAGTAAAATCCTCCAAATGTGCTGTCTTTTTTTCCCAGGGAGGAAATTAACAGTTTCTCCAGAAATTCGTCCTTCAGGAGACTGGACTCTTTCAGCACAGACCCCAGAGTGCAGGTACACACACACTCCCGCTGAGAACAATAACCTGCGGGTGCAGAGAAACCAGGTCGGCACACCCGTCCTGGCCGGGCGTAGCTGGGTAGAGCCGCTGGCAAGTCATGTCTGCTGTCGCGGCTGATTACAGGCTGCTGCAGCTTCAAATATATAGCATGACCTGTTCAAAGACACTTATTATTAGTATCCCCTTCTGGGTGATTCATTTTATTTGGCTTTTGTATTCATGTTCACAATTTTTTTTTTTTTTTTTTCACTTTCTCTGTTTTTCCAGGCTGACAATTACTCCCTGCTCAGAGTAAACAGCAGAATTAGAAGCAGCCAGATGTCTCTGGTGAGTTCCTCCCTGGGGCCAGTGGAAGACAAGTTATAAGAGTTTGATATATTAGGTTTCAATAAAAGAATGAGTGCTCTTATGCTGAAAAACACTTGATGCTCACCAAGCAATTACGTGCGTCAAATCCAAAATATGAAGAACTGAGTTCAATGTCAATGTAGCGGGAGAGCCTCGTGTCTTTTTTGTGTGTGTGTACAAAAGCACAATGGATTTAGCATCAGAGTGGGTGAGGTAGAGGAGGCTTGATGTGGGTTTGGCTTCCAAAGGAATTCATGGCAGAAATAGTTTGGGAACCTTTGCATTATTTGAAAAACAGCAAAATAATTGACAAAAATTTGTGGATTCTGAAATGTGAAGCTCTTTTATGTGATTAAACATTTACATTATAATTTAAAATGAATAGCTTTTGGTTTTAGAATGTCAATCAAACAAAAAGAGACAATGTGAAGATGTTGAGGTTTTGGAAACTGTGATAGGCATATTGAACTATTTTCTGATAATTTAGAGAAAATACAAAAAATTGATTAATCTAAAGAAGTCCCATTAAAAGCTAGAAATTTACTGGACAGTAATAAACATCCTGGGTAAATGCGCAATATTCCCGTTTTAAATGAAAATGGTCAAATTTATCAGTCACCACTTTTCACCGCAGGACCAACTCCCCTACAGCCACTCCACTCTGGGCAGCAAGTGGGGCCCTCCAGGAGACGTGGATGATCTGGGACGCCCCATTGTCTGGCTCAATGGTGGAGAGAAGGAAGAGCGCAAGAAGGGGGTGGAGTCAGACCTGAAGACCAGCAACATGTCACTGGTATGTGTCAGCATGTGAGAGATTAGGTTCAGTTGCATTTAGTTTCGTTTGTAGGCGTCTTGTGGTATCGTGTTTATATTTAATGCTGACTTGGCATCGTCATTGTCAGATAGTCATGGAGACAGAGCAAAGGACAACAAACAATGCAAACACACATGATTGCTACAGACATCTGCCATCCACAATAGTTTCATTGTAAAAAGATGTTTGTGTGGGGGAGTTCTGTTTCCTTACGAATAATCATATTGTCTCTCATTTATGTACTAAGAGATAAAATGTACTAACAGGACTGTAAACAAAAACAACTTTGTGGACCAACCCCAGTGACTACATTACAACCCGATGCGGTCCTGGTTGGCTACCTTAAACACTCATTCAGTAAAGCCACTTATTACAGGATGTCTTCACTCTACAGGGTTGCATTCAACGCTGCCAAAATGTATTAAAAAATAGAACTTCCTTTCTTTCTTTAAGCAGAACTAGTGTTGTTTTATTGACCAACCTGTTGCAAAACTTTCTCACCACCTTAAATAGTGTGGTAGATGTTGTATGGTGTCACGTGCTCCATTGCTGTTGATTGTTTGGAACAGTACTTTGTTTTTATACCTGTTGTCTTCAGTTTTCAGGCTGGATTCATTTATTTGCACGTCCACCTAACATAAGCAGACATACAGTACTTTTTATAGGCTTTTGCAAAATCTTGAGCAAAGTTGGGGAATGTATTGTTTAATCAAAGCATTCCCATCTTGAACACAACACCGCGTTACCTGATTTGGATTTTTGGAAAAGGTTTTTTCCGGCCCATATGAAATCCTCAGTGACCTTTTTAGTGAATCTAGATCCAGCAAAAATATTGGCCGTTTTTCTATCAGAGAAATGGTAATCTTGTTATTATACTGTCTATACCAGGACTCAGGTCTGCCCTCTTCCCTGGTTCCCCTGAAGGCCAAGCAGGACGATGGTGTGGGCCCCACAGACGTGGACCCCCTCAAAGAGAGAGGCTTCCAATCTGAAGACTTTCCTCCCGCCCAGGGAGAACAGGATGACGAAGAAAACGCCTATCGGCTCTCGAGGGCCCTCCAAACTCACTTCTACTTAAGTGATGGGGTCCTCAGGCCCAGGGAACACTCCAATGCCATCCTGCTGCAGTGCAGAGGACAGATCATCTAGATCAGACTCTCATCCCCAACATGAGGAGAGAGAATGCCTGTGTGAATTCCTGTGTTGTTCCTTTTTCCTATCAAAATTATTTTTGGGGGCCTCAATTAGATATAGACAGTGAAGAGACAAGAGGAAATGAGGGGAGACAGAGTGAGATGGTGAGTGTCATGCAGCAAAGGTCCTCAGCAAGACACGGACCAGGCACGTTACTGTTCATAGCCACCAGGGTGCCACATAATTGGGAAGTGTTTGAATATTTTAGAAGATCCACTGAGAGTTAGATGGCCGGTGAGTTCTGCGTTTCACAAACCTTGTAGGCATGTGAATGGGGGGAAAAAAATAAAATAAAATTCTCTCCTAGAATGTGCACAGAATAAAGGTTCCTGTTACACAATCTTTACTACTGTACTATTATTTATTATCTGCGAAGCAAAAAAAATCCCATCAACTGCTTTGGTGACTTAAAGCTTGACACACAAATTTTAAATCACAAAAGGAGTGTCCCAATAAATCCTGTCAATGTAGGTTTTCTTGTTTACAGTATAAACATTCAGGGAGGAACATATCGTCAAAGACACAATTCATAAGCTCCAATGCCTGGCCTAGTTGAGTAAATTTTGATATTAGATATATAAAGAGCGGTATGTTTATGATTATGTCGTTGTCACCTGCAACTACAGAAAGGTTGTTATCCTGAGGACCTGAACACAGATATGAACAAAGTTATTAAACTGGTTAATAAACCCAGCAAACTGGTTTCCATGTGCAGGTTTAAACCATACGTAACCTTTTCAGTGCATAGCAACTAACATGTAGGAGATGAACTGTAAAGCAATGTTCTGTATGAAATCACTTGTGTATATATCCTTGTGTAAATTGTTTTATATTCATTTGGTGCCTTTCTATGAAACTGACATGTAAATGTTGAAATGTTTATCTATAAAAGCACAGCATATGCAATTTAAGAAAACAAAGTCAATGTTCTTTATTATAACCTGGGACAGTTGAGTGTGTTTCAGCTCATACATGAGGTTAAACAGCTGCTGCAGTCATGTAGTGTTTGTATTAGACTGTAGTGATTTCCTGGTTTATCCCTGTTCTTGCGGCTACTCTTAGCTCAGTAATGACTAAAGTGAGAGAGAGTAGAAAAAAGTGGATTTTCACAGGATGGCTGGTCTCACTCTGACAGGGTGATGAGTTGGGACATCTCAGAGAACCTCTTTGTTAACGAGTAGACATTTTGGGAAATGCGCTTATTCACTTTCTAGTATGATGAGAAGATTGATACCACTTTAAAAGACTGGAAGCAGCCTGACCCTGTCCAGTAGAAACTAAATATGCCTACCAGTAGCTCACTTATTAATGCCATTTTTAGTGTAAAAAAATAATTTGGAGTATAGTATGTTATATGCTGGACTATTTTTGTACATTTTTAAACAGACAAGCTACAACACGTTAACTGGTGAGCTTTAGAGTTGCTGGTAAGCAGATTTTGTATGATTTGAAGAAAGCCAAGCCAGCTGTTTACCCGTGTTTACACTCTTTGTGCTAAGCTGGTGGTAGGTTCATATTTACCATTCAGTCATGAGTGTTATCAATCTACTCCTCTTACTCTCTCTTGAAAAAGTGAATATAGATATTTTCCAAAAATGTCAAACTGTTCCTTTAAGATGCTATTCCACCACTCGGAGTGGATCCTTCTACTACAGAGCAGGTGGAAGTAAACCAGGTGTAGATGAGGTAAGGAGATCTTGGGCTACAACACCTAGGACTACATACAAGAAGACCTGCATCTCCCAGCATGCTATGGAACATCTGGGGATTGCTTGGGAAAGCTGCAGGACATTCAAGGGGCTTTTTCTTGTTAGGAAGAAACTAACTGACCTGTAAAGGTTGAATTTTTAAAAGGCTAAGATAGGGAATAAAAATAATGCATTACATTTATATAGTACGTTATCACAGATTCTCAAAGCGCTTCTGGGGGAGGGGGACTCATCTCAACCACCACCAGGAATGTGCGCTTTCTTTTCTGTCTTTGTTAAGCCTTACATACATATGATTTTCCTTTATAAAAGGAAATAGATTACCAAAGTCTCACAATTATAATAAATGAAATGTACCTCAAATTCCCTGTTTTGGCATTATTGCAGAGACGACACAGTTCAGGGCATCGCATGATGATTGCTGTTACATGCTGCCATAGTCTAGTGTGAGTTCTGTATCATCCTCTAAGCGCTGTGGTTGTCTTTCCTTCAGTTTAAGGAAAATTAGTTGGGAAACAATATTTTTTCCCCTATTTAGATGCAGAGCTTTGTGAAAACCCACTGTGAACCTGAAAATTGACAAAGCGTGGAAAAATGCTAAAGCTAAGGGATATGAGAAGGTGTACAGTGACCACACTGTACATACAGAGGTTTGCCCTCCGACCCTTCCTCATCCACACTGACTCACATCAATCAGTCAAACATTAAAGACCAATTGGTGTCCTTTTGTATAACCTGTAGAAGTCAAAATTCAACAATATCAGCGGGGCTGGGTTTAACAGTACAAGTGTCAAAACTAGTTCTTACACTCGCTATGTCAAAGTTATAATTGATCTAAAAAAGAAAAATATTACACAGTAAAATCAGGCAGCTACATTACTTTTAGTAATATATCAAAATACAAAGACTTTGTTAATGAATTTAGACATAGATGCCACAGATATTTCTAGCTTTTCTCTTCGCAATCTATTGAATCAAACGGCATTTTGGGATAGAGCCTCTTTATGAGTCCGCTGGTGAGTGCGAAGGTTACTCCTCTGAGAAAAACACTTGCCACATGTGTCGCATGTGTACGGTTTCTCTCCTGTGTGAATTCGCTGGTGAATCTCCAGATGGCTGACGCGATCGAAGCTTTTGCCGCAGAACGGGCAGATGAACCACTTCTCCTTAATGCGGCGATTCGCTATGGTTTTATGCAACTCGGGGTCATTTAAAAGAAAGAATCTGCTCTCGGGGTTAAAAGCTGCCACGTTTTTAGTTTGGGGTTTGTGGAATCTGATAGACACTCCTCTCTCTGGGTGATTTATTGCTTCTATAGGCTGACTTGACTGAGCTTGGCTAAAAGTCACGGGAGCCCTTGATTTGCTTGATGCACCTTGTCCATTATCCCTCGTAAGTCTGTCAGAGTACGCTGTCTCTGCTGTATTATCAAATATGTCCAAAGCGTTCTGAATGAGCAGGATTTCTGAGTCCAGATTTTGTGACAGCTGCTTCGGTTCAAAAAAGCAGTCCGAGTCATCAGCAGCGTCGCTGTCTCCCACTGAAACTGACGACCACCGCTGGCTCTCTTGTTCTTCCACAGCGTCGGCGGGTTGGAGGTCCAGATCCATCTCGTGGTGACCTGCTCCATCGTTAACACTGTGATCAGAGTCCACCATCTGCTCCACAATCTGGACGTCGTCCTCGTCTTCTAGCTTGACTATTAAGTCTTCATCGTCGTCATCTCTGCCGTCACTTTCACAGTGGTCAGGCTTGAGCTGCTCACATTGTTTCTCCTCCGTATGTGGTGGTGGTGGTGAGGTGTCTACCTTCTCTCTGACACTCTGATCAGAAGACAACGTCTGGACTGAATCTATTATCGGCCCTGAAATGATAAAGCAGTGCACCACTTTTTTAACATTTATTAAAACAGACACTTTCCTTGGCAAATACTTTGTGATTGTAAAATTTGCTGAACTACCTTAAGCATGTTTTTGTGTAAGTTGTGTATGTCTTGTTACTGATTTTATTTATCTATTTTTATTTATGTAAAACTGCTGTTACTAAAACACTGGAATTTACAAGTGAGACATTAAATTGAGAACAAATTAGTATTATGTATCTGCTTTAATAGTGATAGTGAGGTTTCAAAGCAAAATAGTTAAATCAATACAAAAGGGCTGCCTGAGACACATGCATCACAGTAAACCTCCTAGTTTGAGTTGAAAGGCCAATATTGCTCTTGCATATCAGTGCATCTAAAATATGTGTTGACCTTATTGAAAAGATTTTGGAAGTTCTTTATAAAAGATTTGTAGAGGTTTACTAGTGGTGACCTAGTGCAGAGCTGAAACGGTTGGTTCATAAATAGATTGGTCTATCTACAGAAAATAAATTAGAAACTACTTCAAAAATATTGGGCCGATAAACTAATAATAAAAATAACTGTTACTTGCAGACCCAGTCTAGTAGCAATATATAAACAAACAAAAGCAGAAAATCCTCACATTTTTGAAGCCTGAAGCAGAATATGTTTGGCATTTTTGCTTCATAATTCAAAATTGTCTTTAAGCTTGTTCAGCTCTAGAGTCTAGCTTTTTTTGTTATGTTGTATACCTCATGTATACAGTTTTATACAATTCAATCAATTATATGTACATCGGTTATTCTCCACTGGTGTGAAGTTAGTTTAATATTTGACATTTGTTGGCTTTTTCGTCTGTTCCCTTCAACAGCTCTGTGCCAAAACCTCAATTTCTTTGTTTTGGGATATGTTGGGGAACTAATTTAGGCAGACATTTCACTTTTTTGATCAACTCAAAATCATGTAATAGATGAAAATGCAGTTGAGAGCGCAAAGAACAGACTGTCTGTCCAGGGCGCCTGTCACTGTAGGCGTTTTTACATATTCATGAATAAGCAAGTTAGTGAAATGTGTATATTTAAGGCAATAGCTCACTGATAATGATGTTAAGGGATTGTCTAAGGGCCTTTTCCACAATCTAACAGCTGAGAAAGTTGTAAGAGGATGTTCCACACATATGACAGGTATTTTGATGTAAACATATTCAGAAAGGAGGTGTAAGGGGATTTCCACAAACTAATAGCTGTGAAAGTTGTAATAGGCTGTCCAAGACATAAGTCATAAATGAGCACGCTATTGAAATTACAACCCTCCAAAAAACAACAAACAAATATGTAATATATGATATGTCTATGAAGATTCTCAGTCATCCAGGTCATAGTTTCGTCCCTCATCCAAAGGACTTCTTCAGTTCAGAACTGAAGAAGTCCTTTGGATGAGGAACGAAACGTCTTCCAGTATCTTCAACCAAGTCCAGTTGCCCTTGATTTTAACCTTCGTTGGGTAATATATAATAATATTTTCCATATTATACAATATGCAAGATTTATTTTTGATGAAAGGTCGGCACCTTATTGAACTTTTTAATGCATGTAGCATGTAATTCTTTGAAGGAGATGCATATGGCTTCTGTAAACATAAGCTGCTTTTATGATAGGCCTTTTGCATGGGCTAACTTTGTTTTTGTTGCAAGTTTTTGTGCAAATGCAAACAAGTTGTGGTATGATCTCTGACAAGACAGTCTTATGCAGAGTTTCTTCCTCGAAATGCCTACTTTATTAAAGGCTATTAGGCGCTACAAGACGTTCATATGTGTGAGCCTCTAAAGTCGGACCAATACCATCATGAACCTAACGGCCATGATGACATCCGGGAAGAAATTCGTGGGGCTGTTGACTGTATGACAATACATCCGATGTCCAGCACATGGCTTTTGTTTACAGTTTCTGTGTGTAGCGGACCAGCTGTAAAACTGAAACAATGACGTATCATCCTCGTGCTGGTTCCATTCAGGAACCGGACCTTGAGGTGTGGACATAAGACTGTGTGAACACACAGTCTGAATAAAAACAGGTGTGACAGGCGCTTTGGACAGACACGCGCTCTCAACTGCATCGTCATCTTTGGCGATTCTGAGTTGATCAAAACTGTGAAACGTCTGCCTAAATTGGTTCTCCAACGTAACTCGGAGTAATAGAGACTTCTGAGACCGAGCTGTTTTAACATCCGCGAAAACTGACAAATGTCAAATATTAACACTACCATGACACAGGTCTATTGTTGTGTAGTCAGTGGTCATTCTTACCATCACCGGTGGGCGGCAGGAGCTTGTTCTGTTGCTCTCTCGCTGAGGAAGACGATGAAGACAGATGTGTAGTCTGAGACAGGACAGTTAAACGCTCGCTTTCCATCAGCATCAACTTTCTGTTCAGGGCTTCAATTTCGTTCTCCCTCCTGCGAAGCTCGACTTGTACGAGCGTGAAGCCGTCTTCCCACAGTTTACTGATTTCCACCACGGCGGTTTTAGCTAGCATCTCCATGATCGAGGTTAACTTGCTCTGGAAAGCCACGCAGTTGGCCATGTTGCCCCCCGGGTCAGCGCCTCTGGTGGCTGTAGCGACGTGGCGGACGTTGAGCTAAAACTTTCCACGCGGGGCAACTCACTCAAAGGTTACAATTTGGTCCGTAGTACTTTTATATCACAGTTTCTGTCCGAGGTGAAAAACATGGAAGTGTAATACAATAGCAACAGGAAACAGTGGCGGTCACGTGATGGAGGAACTACGGTGCTGATTGTAGGACAAAACTTCTCAGCTGGAAAACATGAGTGAAAACCCGCAGGCAGAAATATTATATAATTAGTATACAGTATTATATAAATAAAATGGAAGGAAGTAAATAAGAACAACGTCAGATTAAAATGGATTAAAATAAATAAATAAAATAAGGGGCCGAATCAGGTAAAAGCCAGAGAAAAAAGTAAGGTCTTTAAATTAGATTTGAACTTCTCAATGGTGGGGCAGGACTTGATGTTAGATGGAAGCCTGGGGGCAGCAACAGAAAAAGCCCGGTCACCTTTGGTTGTAAGGCGTGAGAAGGGGACTAAGAGGAGTTGTTGTGAAGATAACCTAAGCGACCTAGGTGCAGAATATTAAATTAGCATATCAGTAATGTATTGTGAGGCTAAGCCATTAAGGGCTTTAAAAACAAAAAATACAATTTTAAAATCAATTCTGTATTTTACCTGTAACCAGTGCAAGTGAGACAAGACCGGAGTTATGTGTTGTCTTTTCTTTGTTCCAGTAAAAAATCTAGCAGCTGTATTTTGAACCATTTGTAGTTGGGAAAGTGTTGAATGGGTCAGCCCCATATACAGCGAATTACAGTAGTCCAGCCGTGAGGTGATAAGCACATGTATAACTGTTTCCAGACAGTTTAAGAGGTTTTTCAGAGAGTGAGTGCAGTCAGGTGTAACTGGTATGTAGAACTGTGTATCATCTGCGTAACAATGATAACAAAATATTGTACTTCTCAAAAATAGTACCAAGAGGAAGCATGTATAGTGAAAATAAGAGAGGGCCTAAAATCGAGCCTTGATGCATGCCGCATTTAATGGCAGCAGGAGATGATGAACAATTTCCTATTCTAACAGTAAACATTCTTTCTGCCAGGTAGGATGTAAACCATTGTAACACCGTGCCCTGTAGACCAACTTTTTCCTCCAGGCATTTTAATAGAATCTCATGGTCAATTGTTTCGAAGGCTGTGCTAAGATCAAGCAGGACTAAAATAGCACTAGAGCCAGAGTTGACAGAGAGAAGGATGTCATTTTGGACCTTTAGCAGGGCAGATTCAGTACTATGAGGTGCTCTAAAACCAGATTGGAATTTGTCGCAGATGTTAAATGTTTTCAAGTAGGAGGAGACCTGGAAAAAGACAACCTTTTCTAAAAGCTTGGAAAGAAATGGTTGCTTGGAGATGGGCCTATACTGTAGTTGTTGTGATCACTTGAGTCAAGGCTGGGTTTCTTTAAAAGGGGTTGCACAATTGCATGTTTAAAACTGGAGGGGACAATGCCATTGGTTAAGGAACTGTTAATTATCGCCAGAATAAGAGGGCAAATAGTGTTGAAGGGTCTGAGTCTGAGGGTATGATGTGAAATCTAATGTTGTCACTTTTGTCAGTAAAAAAGTTCCTAAACTTCAGTTTTCAGTAGAAGGAGCAGAGGTAGCAACAACGGCCAGAGTTAGGAAGGAGTTGATAGTTTTGAACAGTATATTAGGTGTATATCCTTTTTCGTATCCTTTTTAAGTAGGTAAGAATTGGATTTGTCGTTTTTTAATGCTTAAATAATGTATGGAAGTAAGTGAACAACAAAGTGTATGTAGTGAAGCTTGATCTAAGAAATTCGTAATTGGATAGAAGCATCTGCCAAATGAGTAAATAGTAAAAGTTAACCTTACTTAAAAGTATGTAGGTATTATCAACAACATTTACTCATTTAAAGTAAAAATTCATTCTGGAGTAAAATGGTCCCTGTCAGTGTTTTACTATTAAAACAGTAACAGTAACACATTTACAATTCTAAAAAAATTCTAAAAAACTGGCCTTCATATTGGAAGAGATACAACAGATGTGTGACAAATGTGACGTGACCCCACCCGGTGTTGTTGATATTTGTCATGTGATGCTTCATGGTCTGTTGCTGTTTGCTACCCTGCCAGGACACACAGAAGGAATCGACACCTGTTCAAAAATGCCCTTCTTCCAAACGTATACCTTTCCACACAAAGTTATCACAAAACTTGCACCAAACTGACACGTTACACATGTTTGAATCAACTAACAGTTGGGCCCCTGTTTGCAGGGTTTAGTCTAAACTCTTTCCCATATCAGCCTTAATCAACTCAGAGCTTGGGGTTAAACTCAGAGATTGTTAAACCTGTTTTTCTGAAACAGGGCCCTGTGGGTGGCAAATAAGCGTCACAGATAGAGCAGTGCTGCCTAATTTTGTCCACTAGATGATGCTCCATTTCCATAAGAGCATAAAAGCTGAGGTCAAAGCCCCAGCCCTTCTAATATATGGTTAGCTATGGTGCTGTAGTTTGCCATTGTTAAGTTTATTAGCTAAATGTGTGCCTGCTTTTTAATATGACCACATGAAATGCATCTTAAGTCTATTAGTCTATTAGTTCTGTATTGTCCAGTAAATTCCTTTCCACTTTTAACCAGTGGCCATCTTTTAAAGTAATCTTCCTACTGAAAAATATGTTAATAAAAAGAAAATAAAAAGACTGTGCCTTTAAGTCCTCCAAGTTTTTGCACATCAAAGAGCTTTGGTAAGACACAGTAAGGAGTGATGTTAAGCAAAATAGATTACTTTTGCATAAAACATTTGCCACAAGATATAATTGTCTGACCTAATTTAAGCATTAGCCATATTTAAAAAATTATGTTTGAATGAACAAAAGGTAAAATGCATTCAGAATTCAGAATTCAGTCTAGTACTTTATATGTCTGATATTATTGTTCTTGTGTATTTATTTGGTCTTTCTTCTGTTTGTCATGCTTCTGGCTCATGTCTTCATTTTCCTTCTGTTTTGTTGCTGGATCCCTCTTTTTTTCTCCCTGTAAAGCGCTTTGAACTGCTTTTATGAGATGTGCTATACAAATAAACTTGAACTTAAAACCTTATGTTCGGTCTTCTTTATGATAAAACTCCAACACCTCCCTTTTTTTTATTTAATGTTTTATTTTTTAAATTCTTTACATTAAAAAAAAAGTGCTTTGATTTACTATAAACGTGTATTTTATTTATTTATTAAATTTAAAAGTTTAACACGAGCGCATACACGCGCAGATAGATGCCGGGCCATTGATTGGTTAATTTACCTGTCAATCAAATGTGGGCGGGGTCAGTGGGAGTTACTGGGGTGAGGGCAAAGAGGCGACGGAGCTGTCAAACACCAACAACCGTCTGAGAAATTATTCCGGGCGGTACAAAATATCGCACTTTGCTCTTTTGGAGAAACAAGCACGACAGAAACAGACTTCGAGTTCACATTGAGAAGTCAGCCTTCTGACTTTTAAACCGTCACGACAAAAAAAAACTTGCTGTTTTGTGTGCGTGTTGTTGGGTCTTAGCTCTTTGCTTGGCTCGAGTTTTGTTGACAAACTAGCCAGTCAGCTAGTCACTGAGCTAGCTGCGTTACCAACTTTGCTGTTTTCGCAGAGTTCGCTTGTCGTTTTCGATAAATGCTAAGTTACCCGGAAAAGGCATGGAGCCCAGCTTCAACTGTTCTTGCAGACATCTCTGTGAAATAAAAACAGGTAAGTCAGATAAACTTTAACAAGGAGTAAAAAGCTAATACTGCGGACTGTTGCTGCTTTGGCTTGTTTAACGTTACATTTTCAGTTTGGCATTCACTAACACTTCACTCTTGTCGAGCTCATCTAACCACCTCTAATAATGTATGCTGTTTTGGCAGCATTGGCTCCTTAGCTGTCCATGTTCTGATAATGGTCAGGTTTGTTTCACGGTGCCTGCCCCATGGACTTGTTCATTACTTTAAACCCTTGAAGAATGACAGGTATGCAGCGGCTCACATATCATGGCAGTTTTACACAATAGACTGTGGTCAGATAAGAGGCTCCTGTTCACTTTTGTTGAATATGACCTTGCTCAAATACGGTACTTGACAGAAATTGCTCTTTTAGTGAATCTCTCAACTGTCTCTGTTGCTCACAGGAGACAGGCCAGCAGATTATCAAAACACAGACAATTACTTAGAGAATATTTCATTAATAGTTTACAGAAAGGATCAGCAAATCGACTCCTGTTTAAATCATTATGGTTATATGTTGTTTCTTCTTCTTTTACAATGCATGCATACATACAGTTTTTCTCTATGAACAAATAATTGTCTCTCACATATTCATACACGCCCACTCAATACCTCATGTCCTTCAGAGACACTCTAACCCTTGCTGCAACCTATCATTATAACATCACTTAAATTTTGATTTATTGCTGACATTTTCTATTAGTCTGTAATCCACTGGGACACAGCTGGATAGTGTTTAGGCCCCAAACTACAGTTAAAACATGGCCTGAGGCTGCTTTGGAGATGGCCCATCTGTTTTGAGTAGCCACATTTTACAGACCTAAAAAAAGGGCCAGCTTTTAAAATCAACCCTTTTTGCATTCTCCGTCCCTTTGCTGTGGTGTGTTAAATGCATGTCCTTTGGATATGTAGGGAACAGGGAGTAGTTTGGAAACAAATATAGCAATGAACACTGGTGGCCTGGCTATTTGTTTCTTTTCATCTCTTGCATCAAACAGCACTGAGGGTGATCATATTGCTGAATATTACAGGACTGTGTGATATGATTATTTTAATGGTATAAAGTTGTATTAGTTGACAGATATGGGTTCTTCAGTGGCTGATGCTGATGGCCGATAAATAATGCTGACATCAAACAAACAAAAGTCATGTATAATTCCATTATTCCATGCAGAGAGCAGTCTAATATACATGGTTATAATAGCCAGTACTGTGTTGTTTTAGATGGAAACTTTTATTAATGAATGAAATATAAAAATACATTGAGTTATGCTGTAGATTTCAGAATGTGACTGGTGTGACTCACTATTCTCTAGAGTATAACAATATATTTATATTTATTATTTAACGCTTGCCAGTAATGGTTTTAGGGCAACTCTGCTGTCATTTAGGATGATATATTAGCCTTGTGAGTGCAGGTCGGTCGATGGCGACTTGAAGTTGTTTTGTAGTATGTGGCTAGGGTTGTCTTCCCTGGCGGTTTGTTGATGGAATGATGCTAGATGACGTCTGTTTTTATTGTTTACAGCAGGAGTGGGTGTAAAAATGAAGCAGTATCCTGCTTTAGTCTGGTAAGACCATCCTGAATGAATATTGGTTTTTACCTGTAGTGTCTCCCAGAATAACATTCGTTCTATGTTACAGATAAGATTTGCATAATTTGCATGACTGAAATGCTTGTGTAAGTGTAGGAAGTTTGTGTTTAGTCAGTACTGGCTGCGATGACCCCTCATGTGGGTGTGTGGTTACAGAAACTTATCTCTGCCGCTAGCTGTTTCAATTCAAGGGCGAATTTATATCTCACTTGCTGACCTATTCTCGTCTACTCAGATACAACGACGTAGATGAAATGTGTGTCTCTGCTCCAGCTCTGGGATGGGAAAGCTGCTGAAAAGAGAAAGGAGAGCCCAGGCCTGGTACTTGTGGCTTGCATCTTTCTTGGCACGGGCACTTTTGTTCCTGTCGCACTATTTCAACAAGGCAGAAAATGAGGTGTTGTTGGAGAGAAAAAAGAAAGTGGAGGATGAAAAGCCTTTTAAGGATGTGCCTGGGACAGAGAATGATGTCAGTAGGTCTACAGTATCTCTCCAGGACTCCAGTGTCTGTGATGTAATGCTAATGGACCAAGGCAGAATCCGGCTGTGTCATCTCAATGCTGTTTTTAGGATCTGAACTTTTGAGACCTCTTCTTGACTTTTCTCTTTCTGCTTTGGTTAAATGTAGGTCAGGTCACTTTTAAATCGGCGTCTCTTCTTTTTTGAAAAATGGAGTGATCAATTATGAAGTGATTTGATAAATTTAAAGTTGTGATATGATGAAAACAGAGCCATGTTTCATCACTTTCCTCCATCCTACATTCAACATTCACGACACAAAATTGCTGTTTATCATTTAAGGAAAGTGGCCTCAAGGGCGGGAGTAACAAAAAATGATTGAAAATGCTTATTTAATACAAATTAATAATGGAAGTGATATAAAGTATGTGAATTTAAAAAGTAGTGATGAATTGTCAGTTGTCAGTTAATAAACTTGATTGACATTTTACCCTCTAGCGTTCATTGCTTACAATACCAACTGACACACGCGTTTACAGTTACTTCTGCCCTGCGTATATCGCTTTTCCAGCCCACTTTAGATGAAACCATGCCCACTTCCGTGTGACGAAAGCCTCGACGGCTGCGCTCCCATGGACAGAAACTGACAGCGACTGTTTGCTGTAAACGATAAATTAGATGCAGGGAGGAAGTAACAAAAACTGCTTGCTGTAAACGATAAGTGGCAGTTTGTTTGGGAATGATGAATGTTAGTCAAGTTTATCAATTGACAATTTAGGACAATATTTTTCAATTCACATATATTTCATCACTTCCATTATTAATTCTTCAACATTTTCATCACTTATATGGCCATTTTGTGTTGAAAAAAATCATCATATCATGTTTTAATCAAGTCATCCTCCATTTCTATCAATACATTTTTTTGTTACTTCCACCCCATAGATTACACCTGACATATATGACTCTACATGCTTTGTGTCGGAACAGAAATCTCAGAGTACACAATGGACTATGTACTATGAAAAGCAATAGTGTGAACTCTGATACTTTTTTATGATATGCATGAGCGCATTGTGGGACACAAGTACTAAGGAATAGTTCAACCACAAAGGAAAAGATTTGTCATTGTTTACTTTTCTGTCATTACATTTGAAAAGCAGATGAAGTAAAAATTCCACATTAGTGCAACTCTCCATCAGCTTTCAACTCCGCTCAAGTGGATGAGAATAGGTAGTAGTTCGGCACAATTCCCTAAAGCTCAAAGTAACATCTTGTTTGTCCAATGAACAGTCCAAACCCCACAGATACTTAATTTACTCAGAAAACCTGCATGTGCATGTGTGTCCTCGTGCATGTGCACAATTGTTTCAGCTCTAGACAGAACATGTTTTTATTTACAAAGAAAAATTTTTAATTAAATTATCAAACATAATCAGGTCACAACACTTGTGTTTGCATAGTTGCACCAACAAATTCGCCTTCAGTGTAGAAACCTTTTGAATACTGGTAACTTTATGTGGGGCTGCTGCATTTGGAAGTTGTGACAGAAGTGAAACAACCGATTGTGGGCAAAAAATTATAAACCTTCAATTTCGCAGAATACCTCACAAGCAGGGTTCAACAGTAGTGGTTGCCTAGTATCCCCAAGCAGCTGGACCACTGTAAATCATTTTGTTTGTTGCTATGTTGTAGAATCTTCTGTCCACAGGAAAGAGACTGTAGGTGACTGCAGTGATTTACTTTTTTGGAAAAAGTAAAATTAAATGATAAATGCACTTTTACATTGTTACAGCGGTAAACCAATGTAAAATACAACTAATAATAACACACATAATATTTAGTTAGTAGTTAATAGTGTGCTATATTATCATGATATAGTTCCTTAATTAATTAAGGAACAATTCGTATATAAATTAGTGATGCAGTTTTTCTTTCTACCTGTTGGTCGTTTGTTCAGGATTTTCAGAGCTTTTTGATACTTTTTGAAAGGAAATTTATCTTCTTCACTCTTAATGTAGGAGTCTCGAGAATAAAAAGCTCAAGGGTGTGATTATTATTAAAAACATACTCTTTTAAAGACACTGTCTTTAAAGATAAAAATACCTTAAGGGATATGATATCTCCAGTCTCAGGGAATGTGTTTTTCAACATGTCTTATCAGCCAAAGAGATCTTTCCATGGAATAAAGTATTCTGTAAAGTTAGATATGAAAGCCACATTGTTTACAAGTGTAAAAAGGACCTTTAGCCACAGTCTTCCTTTCCTGTTACCCTTTGTACCCTGCTGATTTTGTTTTGGATGGCAGAAAGGTCCAGGACCTGAGCTATTCCTTGGCTAATCTCCCATAATTGGACAATCGGCCCCTATTACAGCCATTACATTTGGGCCTGTTGAGCAATAGTGGCTTGTCTTATCCGTCCTAAGGAAAGACCCAGTCTGCAGCTACAGCTGCTATTAAATATCCAAACTTTTCAAGAAAGGATAGCATGGCGGCTTTTCTTTCTTTCTTTCTGTTTTTCTAGAGTGGAAGTGAATGTGATCGTAATGTTATACCTCAACTCCATTCTTTTTGGTGACAATAGGATTCACAAAAATATGCATGTTGTGTGAGACATAACTATGAATAAATGAACAATAAACCCCACTTCCTATATTCTTCACAGTAAATTGCTCTATTTAAATTTTCTCTTTACTTTGTCTAGGTCTCCAAGGGCTCACTATACATCTGTCAAACATGTGAAAACCCTCTCATCCGGGTGGACCTGGTTACAAGCAGTGAGGAACTGGACTTGGATCCAGCCAGGGTGTGTCACCAGAGGTGTAAACTCAATTTTAAACAGAAGTCTATGTGCATGACGTATTTTCTCCCAGGACACAAACTGAGTAAATTCTGTGCTGCCGTGGCCTCGGCGTCATTAAAACAATCTAGTCCTCTTGTCATGTGGGTACATTACGGAAAAAGGCCCATATTACCCTCACTGGTATCACCACCTTTCACGTCACTATGGACCGGAATAAACGCAACTCCATCGCTGGGTTTCCTACACGACCTGAACGTATCAATGAGGACAGAGAAGGTATCGGAGGGGTAGGGGTCGGTGAGATGGGCATGGGCCCGCCTTCACAGGTCAGTTGTTCTTCATTTTTATGAGTAAGATGCAGTTCTCATGTGCAGAACAGTATACAGAGTTCCTGTGTAGGTGTTAAGAGTTCAAAATAATATTGATAGATATTGTTTCCTCCTTTTTTATAGCTTTGGATCAAGAGAAATATGTAGAGTTCTGATGCACACACAAAATAACCATTGAGCCTATTATAGTTCTGATGTGGACTGACAAAGTTGGACTGAGTTACTTCAAGTCATACACTGTGTGAGGTTTAAAGATTCTCCTGATCTGGTTTTTGCCAGTCATTCTGATAAAGATTGTTTTTAGTATGTTTGTTTAATTTTCTTGCGTGCACAAGAAATAATAACTAAACAAATTGACCAGAAACAGCGAGTAAATGGAGAAATAGTGCAGCAGTAAGTAGAACTGCAACTAATAGTCTGAAACCCCAAAAATCACAAAAGCAGCAAATCCTCATAATTTACAAGCCTTTTTAACAGTAACTCAGCTGATTTTTCCCCATTCTACAAAAAATCTCTCAGTTGTTGGTACAAGTACTGTGATTGGTCTGCAAAAGCAGGACGCTCAGTTTAGGTATAAGATTAAAGGTGGCTATGTTTTGGTAAGTAATAGGTGTTGAAAATGGTTAGAGATACTGGAGATTGTGGGTTGATGGTCCATGTTATCCTTGTCTGCCTTATCTGTCTTTGGCTTTTCTGCGCAAATTATAGCACAAATAAGCAACACATACATTATTGATTGATTTAGTTCAAATATTGTGTTTTAGTATAGATACACAATAAAATTTATGTTCTTGGGAGATTTTGGTGGATAGCGGGCGTGCGGGGTTGCCTAGAGACTTTAGAGTGCACTGTGTATGTTATCAGCCTTTATATCTAGTTTCTAGTCTTCTAGTCCATGCCCCACGTAAAGGCATTTATCAAGGAGGGTGTAGCAGTGGTCCTACAGCACACAGCAAAGATTTCATCTAAACTTGTTGAGACCAGTCTGTCCATGTCCTCTCCAGGTGGGCAGGGTGTGGCCATCATCCTACAGAGCCCTCATCAGTGCCTTCTCCTGTCTTACACGCCTTGATGACTTCACCTGTGAGTGGATTGGCTCCGGATTCTTCTCTGATGTTTTTAAGGTGGGTGGAAATCAGTGATTACAGTTTTTTCTCTCCTCTTTATTTGACCTCCTCAGTCTGTCCTTGATTTTCTCCTGTCTCTGCCCCTTTCCATTCCTTTGTTTTGTTCTTAGACTTCATTTTCTGTTCATGCCTCACTCCATCCATCCATCCAGGGTGGTTTTTAATAGGTCAGACAGTCTGAGATCACACATTTGATCTCAGAATTTATTTCTTTTTCCCTGGTACGTGACAGAAGTCATGCTAGTATGTTTTGCGCAATGGTCAGGATTAGAATATTATAGAAAAATTAGGGAACTTGTTGAGCTGTCCCTCAGAAGTAAATGGCATTTATTTGTGATGAAACTGTAAAACCCAATGTCACTTGATTTGATGTTGTCAAGTTGACATGCTTGGCGGGTCAGAGACTGATTGTTTCTGAGCTATCTTGGTCTTCACTCACTAATATTTACCAGACATTTTTAGGTCAAGTTTGACTGCAATCGCTTCAAAGTCATCACTTAAACACGGGGTTGTTAACCCTGCTATCACTTGGTTCGCTTCCCCCTCCAGGCATCTGAATGGGAGTCACACAAGCACATTTGGCGAAGCCTCTTTTTAAACAACCATCAGCAGAGGAATGTAATTTGCCTTATCACTGTTGTATTAACAAGGGCACCATGACTGTGATATTTTGGCTCTCTTTGGTTTTACAAAAGCGGCGTGAAAGGATGACTCTTCTAGGAAAGGAGCCGAGTTGCACTTCTGTGAAATAAATAACCATGGCCTTGATAGACCGATAGCGTTTCATTTTAAGTTGTTACAGGAAGATACATATTTTTCTGGATATTTATTCAAGAGATTTTGCATGCATGTGCATCAGTTACACACAAAACCACAGTGTACATGCAAGACTGACCTCTTGTTATTGAAAGGGTTAACACCCAGAATAAAGTTGACAAGTATGGGGAAGGGTTGTGATCTCTCGTGCATGAAGGGAAGTAATCTGATTCATTAAAGTAATGGCATGGAAGGTTTTGAAAGACAAGGCTCAGTTTCATTTCACATTATTTGTTGTATTAGATTGTGTTATAGTTTACAATAGTTTTTTCTGTTTTTCTTGTGACTTACATGTTATATATCGGAATTTATGGTCTTATAGCACAACATTAAGTCCTCTACTGTACATCTATGTAACAGTAGATCTTTATTGGATTGATGAACTGGTTTTAAATTTTTCATTGTGTATCTCTTCCATCTTGGTGTTGGCTGGTTGATGATGCTGTTGATGGCGTCTGACAGCTATCGGTGATACTTGAGTATGTGGTTAAGCACGGTACAAGCTCTGCATTGGAGCAAATCATGGCATATTTTAATTGATTTTAATCAGCCATATAACGCCTATATTAAGTCTCTTTGTTAATTGTAATCCATTGTGCTCTGGGCATGCCGGGAAAAACACCCCATTGTGGGTTGTGTAAACACTAGAGCTTATTCATAACGCACAGCGCTGCAAGTGAGTGAACGATAGAGCGGCGCAAATAACCAACAGCTAGATCCACATTTACAGCATGTATCAGTGAGTGAAACAAGTATCATCCCTTTGGATTAAACACCGGTCGCTGTCGTTCTGCTGTGTAAATACTGCATTTCAACAAGTAAAGTATTTTGTTGTTACTGGGTGAAGAGTAGTGACTCTGCCCTCCCTCTATATACATAAAGCCCTACAAACTTTATATTATTACAAACACTGTCGGACACACATTGTTGGGAAATGAAGGTCGTGATGCAGGCTGTAAGTTGTGTAGCATGTCTTGTCTAAATGAAGGTGGGTTTACTTATGTTGATGTTGGCAATCTTAAAGCTATGTGTGCAGCTCTACACCAATAGCTGTATTAAGACTCTGTAATGGCTCATAGTCAGTATTAATTGATTCAAATCAGAAGTGAGGGGAAAGACTGCAATAGAGACAGCTCCAACTCTAACCACATATCTCTGTCTCGCCAAATTAGGCTCTATTACATGTTTTGGCAGGGTTTTAAACTTCAACACACATAATTAAGGTAAACAACCCCTTTTTGTGGATCATGTTCCCTGTATCCATTTAGTGTAAGTACCACCACAGCCTGTTGTTGAGTAATGGAAATAGCTATTAATACTTTTTTTTCTGTGAGCGAGAGGAATGCACAGGTAGTGAGAGAGAGAGAAGAAGAAATTCAGAAAAGGTTGAAGTCAAGGAGTATGATGGACAGAGATAGGAACAAAAAGGCGGTGAAATTAATAGTGATGGAGGTTGAGGCTAAGGGGAGGAGGAACCAGAGAGAGGAAAAGCTTTTGATGGTGGAGAGCTGGAGTGGCAAGACCGTTAAATGGGGGTGAAAAATGGGGGTGAAAAATGGGGGTGAAAAATGGGGGTTGAAAGGAGGTTTGTGGAGTTTATGGAGTTCAAGGGATGGGGAGAGGCTTCAGAGGAGATAAAGAGGAAGAGGTTTTGGAGAAGATGGTAATTTAGAGGGTGTCTAGAGCCTGGGTTACAGAGAGGAGGAGAAAGGTTTTGTAGGACACTGAGGCTATGTTTTCCAGAAATGTGCAGTGCTGAAAAGAGGAGCTATTGAGAGGTAAGCGTGCAAAACCATAGAGCAGAAAGGTAGGGGAGAGAAGAGAAAAAAAGAAGAGCTTGGGGTTGACTACTGAGGAAGATGAGGATTATTGAAGACGGTTTGTTGCAGGCCACAGCGAGGAGGAGAAAGAGGGGGATCAGGACTAAATGCAGATGGGGGGATGTGAAGAGTGAGGAATGGGGGGTCGGAGGAGGATAGACGGATGTGGGGGAGGAGGCCTTCAGAGGAGTGGCCATCTGTTGTTTCTGCTGTCCTGCGGTGGAGACTGTCGGCTCTTATAGCCAGGCCCCTTCCTTTGAACTTGAACAGAGCAATTTTTGTGTCTGTATGTGTGTGAGAGAGAGAGAGAGAGAGAGAGAGAGAGGCATGCAACATATAAAACTCCCATAATCAGAATCAAAATCCATGATCTGTTATGCTTTCTACTACAAACAGATACTTTTGTGTTCATAAAGATGTCTACAAATACAGGAATTGCAGTATCGCAACAGTTTTGTCCATTGATTTTTATTGTTAATGCCTCCTGTATGATCCATATTGACTTTGTCCTATCTGTAAATTCCTTTTCCTGCTGTAATTGATACTGCCCATCTATTGTGTCTCTAGTGTACCGTGGCTGTGATGATAGAAGAAAGTAAATACAGCCCACTGTTGTAGTGACATATTTCCATACAGTAGATTTCAGGATTATCCTAACCTGAATTGCCGGCTTCTAAACGACCCGTTTTCAATGATTACCCAAGTTTGAATGTGAGCTGTCCAAATAATATTCTACCATTTTTGTCAAGTCATACATAATGAATAGGGTTTAATACTTTTTATATACAGTCTATGGTTTAATCATATCTAATCAATTTTTGCATTCTGCAGCTAAGAATATTAGTGCGCATTAGCAGAATTTAACAACTCACCTACATATAATTTATCGTGTGGTGTTTATTTATAATGTCAAACGTGCAGTAGCACAGATGTGATCATAGACCCTTTGCATGAATGTAGTATGGTTCCAAATGAGTCCCTGTACTCTATACCTTGCCTGGAGCTCTTGAAAATGTTTAAGTAGGCTTTTTTTTGCCAAAGGCTGTCTACTTATACACACAGGGGTATTAATGTGGCCTTTTAAAACTACTGGATTGAAACCTGCATCATGGTCTGATTATGTTTTCTGCTGCCAGGAAGTGAGTTAGCAAGTGTAGGTAGATGTGTCTGCAGCAGCTCAGTCATTTATGTGCTGCGTTTCTGTGGTTTGCAGGATGATATTTCCTATTTGCATGCATGTGAGTGTACACATTCTTGGTAATTAATGCACTGCATTGTGGCATCTCTGAAACCTGCGGTGTGAAGAACTCGGGTCACCTTAGGATTTCAAAGGCTGTAACGTGATAGAGGGAATGTGTAGACGTGCAGCGTGCGGCTCCCTGTTTTTAATCGTAACAAACAGTTATTTTTACCTTTTGTATTAGCAATAGAGAGATAAATGTGTCAGAAATTATTTTAGAGGCCTTTTACTTTAACTATGAAATGGACTGCAGTCATTTCTGGGAAGCAAATGCCAGTGTGTTTTGAATTACTCTGAATTACAAGGCTTTTTTGTCTCAGTTTTTTCAGTTTTGTTCTTTCAAGGGTAACTTAGGTGTTTTTCTACCTGAATCATATTTTTGTCTATGTGAGTAATTACAACAACTTTTGAAATTGGTCCAGGATTGAGTTACAGTCAGCAGCAGTGAAACAGGGCTGCAAAGTAATACTTGTGAGCAATTGTACCCTGTCAAAGTCCATCCACTAAAGGGCTTGTTTTTGCCACTGACATGCTCAGATTGTTATTATATGTGTGTGACAACATTATGGAAAGGATCCCTACAGATAGTAAGATCCTTTTTGTTTAACCAGGAACGCTGCCTCAATTGGCTAGTTTGTGTTATTGTGTATCACAATAACACAAACAAACTAACCAACCGAGGCAGCGGTAGACCAGCAACTCCCGTGTTCTGTGCGGTAAAATTACTAGTCTTCTAAGATTTTAGAAACAAAGTGGGTTTTTTTTACTTCTCTGTGTGCTGTTTTTAACTTCAGCTGGAGTGACTTTGGTGTCGTCTTAATGCCGTGACCTGTCTGCTGTGTTGCCTTTCACCCAAGGCATGCTGGGATGGGCTCCAGCCAACCATCGATGGATGGATGGTGATGCCACCATTATCTAACAATTAGACGGAAACTAAAATCCCAGTGCACAATAATACAACATTGATTGTGCAGCTCTGGATTGACACACAGTACTTTGTCATGGCTGGTCAGCATGACTGACCTCATTTCAGTTCCCTTTAATGTCCTGCCTTCCTTGAATGCTTCCTCTTGTTTTTTTTGCTGCACGAGCCAAATATTTTGTATTTATTTTATTTAGTTTCATTTTGTACAAGTATCCATTAGAAAAAAGCATAGTTTCAAGTAGCACAAGGCCTACACACTATGACTAAGCTGAAAATGATAAAAAAGTACAATTAATTTAAAGCGTTCGTACAATCCCAGTTTTTGCAGCCACGAGACTCTAGTTAATATAGCACAGATATTGGGATTTAGCCTTTGTTTAGTTGTGCTTGAGTGTATTTGCAACATGTTGAAATGTGGCATCGTGTGACTTTTTTACAGGTACGTCACCGAGCTTCAGACCAAGTTATGGCTCTGAAGATGAACAAGCTCAGCAGCAACAGAGCTAACATGCTGAGAGAGGTCCAACTAATGAACCGGCTTTCTCATCCAAACATACTCAGGTTGGTAACTGATAAAAATGTACTATATCCGAGGGTTACTAAGTTACTAAAAGAAATAGCCATCATAAACCAACTTCAAAGTAGGGCCAAAAATGTTATCACGATAAAAACATTTCATATCATTTGATTTTGATAATTATCACTTATCAATTAAATGTTATCACACTAAATTATTATTTCTTTCAAGTTTAAAGGCAGATTTTTGCTCTTTTGAAGGAACCAGATGGTTAATTGTGTGGTTAAACTATTCCTTATGGTCAGAATGTGACAAACACTTGATGCCAAACAGTGGATCGCTTACAAATCTGAGGTAGAACATTCAGCAATTCATTTTTTCAAAAAATATAAGTAAATCTTTTTTCAGTGCTAATTCAAATGAATCAAATCAAAAATTTACTGACGACATATTGAACAGTTGTTATATTGTTATTGAGGAAAATTATATTGTGATAATTATCATTATTGATTTATTGCCCAGCCCTACTTCAAAGCCGTAAGAATGTAGCTTATAAAGCAAGCAAAATAACAGGATTATTTTCCACTTTGTTGTTCAGTTTGATTATTGCGTTGTCACGTACATCAGCTACTCTGTAAAATGTGATTAGCCCTGGTGTAAGAAACTGTTTATTGGTAGTACTTTTCTTTTAGCAGGTTTAAAGGTCTAATCCAAAATGGCAATTATTTGTCAGTTATTTATAAGAGATTCAACAATAAGATGCTCAGATCACACAGTAGCTGATAACAATAAAAAACAGTTAAACAGTTACACATAACAAGATGTTACACATTATAGTAGACGTTTCTTTTAACTGCTGCCACTTTCGGGGCATTTATATTTATATATATATATATATATATTTATTAGTTACCATTTGCCTCTTACCTCTCTCATGTCTCACTTGCTCATGAGCCTGTGGTTGTGACCTGCTTCCTTTGGGGTTGGCTTGAAACTATGTCAAACACAGAGCCTATTAACAATGGATTTTCTGAACCGCCAGCTCCTGTTAGAGCTGCAGCAGCCTAGGGGCGAATAAAGTGAGGAGGACCCTTTCTGTCACAAGGGAACAGGATGAGGCTATGAACAATCCAGATTCAGGTCAATGATTGGCCAGACATGATCGTGTGTAAGCCCTTTACACCTGGCTCTGTGGTCCTGAAGTGACACCTTTTTTGGTCTGTTTTGTGTTCCCTACCACTTAAGCAGAAACCATCAACAGCAAACAGTTTTTTGTGAGCTGACCTGTACCATTCAAGTGGAGGTGGGACTTTATGCAGTGTAGACAGCTGATTGGCTTTTCCACTTCAATACCCAATACACAGGTAGTTTAATCTTTAGTAAAATAAAAAAAGAAAGAAGACAAATCCAGTGGAAGATGAAAGGTTTGGCTATTATATGAAGTAAACAAAACACTGCTGGAAATGACCTGCATTAAGTAATTCAGCTTCTGACACTTTAAGTGCAATCAAGTGTTTTCCAGAATGTATAACAGTATGAACAAGCCTTTCCACAGCAGTAACATGTGCAGACATCAGCTGTAAAGGATCTTTTTGTTCTCTCTTTGAACTCTCGTCTTTAACTGTCCTCTATGTTATTGGTTGGGTGTGAATGTAAAATGACTTTCCCGTCATTTTATTGCTTTTTACCCAAAAAAAACATTAGACAACAAGAGCACATTCAAACAAGAATTCTTAAATAATAATTCTTTGAATTTGCTACTAGTTATTTTATTGAATAAATAAAAGAAAATGATCCTGTTCTTCTGTGGCTTTAATTGATTTATTTCTGTACTGCATTTTATTTCACTTAGAACTGTCACTAATACTGTATTTCTTGATTGTTAGTTTTTTGCCTATTTGTATTAAATTTTTTTTGTATATTATTCATTCAATTTATTTTACCTTTTCATTGTCGTTTCAAATGTCGGTCTAATGCACCTCTTCACCTCATGTAAAGCACTTTAAACTACCTCTGAATTTACAAGGTGTTACAAATAAACTTGCCTGGCTTTTAAAGGAAAAGTCGGTAGAATCATATAACTTCAACTATAAAACTTAATAGCACTGAGAATTCAAATCAATGCAATTTAATTTATAGTGACTATGATGACAAAATGGTGTTGTACATTTCTTTATTGTAAACACTTTCTGTCAAATGCTGGGCGAGGGTGTGTTTATGAACATGCAGATACATGCATAAATGCCTTTGTGTGTGCATACACATAAACATGCACAGTATATTTTACAATGCCATCTTTGTTGGGCATGCCTAGTGGATAGTGTGTGTGAGTGTTAACAAGTAGACACTGAGGGGGTCATTGTTCCAAAATCCAACAAGGACCCACAAAGTTGGCCTTTTCATTGCCTTCAGAATTATGAGGCCTTCAATGCTGCTTGTGAGCAAAGTTGTTTCATGTGTTGCTCTACACACACACACACACACACACACACACACACACACACACACACACACACACACACACACACACACACACACACACACACACACACACACACACACACACACACACACACACACACACACACACACACACACACACACACACACACACACACACACACACACACACAGAAATGAAAGAGCAGTGTGGTAGATTGTGTTGCTGGAATTTGTTAGGCTAGGAGGAGAAAGAAATGGATGGTATGCAGGTGAAGCAACTGAGCTGTTATTATCTTCCTGTTAAGAGACAGTCTTGCGCTTATCACTTGTCTGGTCTTGCCCGCTGGACTCTTAAAGTTTTCTTAACTATTTCCTCATTGTTTTAATTTATGTGACCCTGGAGAGCAAGCGCTTGAACTAAGAAAATCTAAAACCTGTATTTAGGGCTGTGCGACCAAAATCTGATCATCATAGGTCATCTATACGTCATACAGCACCATTTTCTGTAAATTCAATAAATAAACACTGTATATAAAGTGACCACAGGGAAATGACTATTTCTTATTACATTTTGGATTATATACTCAACAAATCCGGTCTGTCAAACTTTTTATACCCCAACCTCATCCATGCAACAGAAGTAGCCCCTCAAGTACGAGCTCCTCATTTTGTCTTGGCCGGTCGGAGTCCTTCTCCTGTTCGGAATTACCCCTCCGTGTTTGTTTGTGTTCCCTTCTTGCAAATTTCCTGCCTGCATCCGTGCTGTGCGGAAGACACAATATGGTGTCCAAATTACGAAAAATATTGCCGTGAAGAGTGGGATTTATGACACAACGAAATAAACGCCAGAGCCAACTATGAAACAACAGACGTTTTTCTATCGTCACACAATATATATGGTCATATTTTTCTTTAGGCTGTCTGTTTCGGCCTCAGTACTCTGATTTAATTAATTCCAATCCAGTTCTAACAAATGTCTCTGTGTTGTCTCGAAGGTTAAATCACGACAATATGAGAGCTTCATCTTGCATGTCTTTTGTGGTTTTGCAGGTTCAAGGGAGTGTGTGTCCATGAGGGCCAGCTTCACGCTCTGACAGAGGTAGGCAAATGCACCCAAACACAGCATTTCACAACACAGAAGCACACTAGTCTGTAATTGTGGAAAACCAAAAGATCTGAATGTTCTCAAGTATACACTTGCTGTGTGTTCCTGTGAGAGTGTGAGGGAGATGTTGAGGGTGAGAGAGAGAGAGGCCGCGATAATTTGATACAGGCAGCTAATAAAGTTCTCCAGAGATGCTTAATGTTAGGACATACACTATCAGGGTTACAGTGAGCAATAATTTTAGGCTGCACAAAGCCTATATTTAACCTGGGTTTGTTTATCTGTGTGTGTGTGTGCAATGGAGAAGGAAGATTACTTTGCATTCATGATAATCATTAATTAGTCATGGAAAGTGCTTGTTAGGCAGTTAACTTATTTATCTCTTTAATGAAAAGGCTAGTTGTACAGAAAGTCAGGCCAAATTCTCTTTATTTGGAAGAGAAATGAGAGGTCTAAAGGATAAATATTACCTGAAATCCTGTTGTAGTGTTGTAGTCCTGTTCTACACTTACAAAGAATTAGTTTTCCTCAAGAATTTTCTGTATTTTTTGCTCTAAAAGACACCGAGCTATGTAACTGATGCCCTTTGACAGAAGGTAAAAATGTTTTTATGGACTTTGGTCAAACAAGAAAAGCAATATGAGGCATAACCTTGGGCTTTGGAAAATAGTGATAGGTATATTTTGTAGTATTTTTGGCCTCTTTATGAACCAGCCGATAATAATCATGAAGTTTCTTGCTATATTCCCACTACTTTTGAAACGCAAACTCTATTCAAGGATGGGGTTACAGTTCTGTGTTCTGCGGTCATTGTAGTCACACAAAAACTGCACAATGACATATATTCACACACATACACTTCTAACAGCTTTACCAGTGGCTTAAGATACAATTCTGTAAACACACCGAAGAAGGCATGCACTGTTGAAGATGCTTCCAGGCGCACACATGTACTTGATTACACCATTGTATTGCTTTTTGTAGCCTATACCAACTTTCTGCTGTTGCATGAGAGAACACATCTTAAGATACCAAGTTTATACACACACACACACACACACACACCACTTCATCCTAATCTAATTGCAAAGTGAATCCATGCATTGTAAGACACACACACACACACACACACACACACACACACACACACACACACACACACACACACACACACACACTGCGGTAGGTCTTGTTTTCCTATTGCCAGGTAAACAGATCCTGTTGTGTTGTGTCAGGACCAAACTGACTGCTCTGACCCTGGGAGCAGGCTCACGCTGTTTTGTTACCTGACCCGCACTATGAGGTCATGCTCAGAGGAAATGAAGAGCTATGTTACTGCGTGGCCCCAAGCTACCTCGAAGAATCTCACCAGCTCTCAGACGTGCAAATCCACCAACAACTGCGAAATAAACCATAAAACTATGTGTGAACACTTGTAGTGCATTGTGCATTCTCACAAAATTTAAAACCCAAGATTATTAATGATGTTGAACAATTGTTCTGTGACCTGTTGTATAAAGAAAGGAGTACAGTAGGTATTAAGGGCCATTGAAAGGGAGTATGATTAGCCTTTGAAGACTCTGAAAGATGTAGAGAATAATGTAGAGTAGTAGTTCCCAAGCTTTCAAATCATTGAGAACAGCATGATTATGAAGTGTTGACACATTCAAGTCTCTCTGTTGTTTTAATTAATCATTAAATGTAATTGTCTGTAAGCGTCTATACTAGCTACTGTGCTAGTTTTTGATCCGTTTCTCAAACTAGGGCCTGGAAATTCATTGAAAAGTCATTGCATTTGATCTTGAAGAAGGTGTGGGAACACTGTCTGTCTTCCAGAAGCAGCAGCAACCTGTCCTGTGTTAAGCCATCAGCTTAAGAAGTGTTCAGTCTGATTTTAGTTTTGTTGGTCTGCTCAGATTCAGTCTTCTCAGACTGTTTTGTGGGCTGAGATGGGGCAACGTTTCATTGAGATCGTTACATTGCTTTTCTCTGACAGTCACTATTTTTCTGATTGCTGAGCTCCTGAAAGCCGGAAAACATGTTGTATTGTTATTAAAACCTACAACCGTTCTCATTTTTATTAGCTGCGGCATAACTGCATATGAAGTAGAGCTTTTAATAGTGTGATTTTTTTTTTTTATTGATTTTCCCCCCTGTTTTGAAAACGCCTTGTTTTGTTTCTCCTGAATCTCAATCTAATGCACTGTTATAGGAAGTGTTTCTGCAATCATAATCTGGACTAACGGTAAATCATGACCCATGGCAGGATTATACTGCTGTTTGAAGCTGCTCCCAGCATCAAACAAGGATTCTTTTGTTTTTCTTTCCATGGTGTTTAACCTGAAACACACAACGTGTGGCAGAGCAATTTCCAGTTGTAACCAGCCATATGTTTCTCATTCCTTAACACTCTAGGTTATACATGATCATTACTGTGGTTTATCAGTAACTCGACAAATAGGCTAAAGCAAATTCCAGGAAAAAAAATACCACCCCTGAACAAGAGACTTTACTTCCATTCAGTTACTTACTAGTTGACACAGCAGGTGCACTCTTCCGCTGAACCATGTGATTTGCATTCTGGACAAGGCGCACTTTGCACTCTCTGCATATTCTGTCAATGTAAGAATAAAATGAATAAAATAAAAGAATAAAATGGGTGCTCTCTAGATCTTAAATGAGATGATAAAGGAAGGCAGTAGGATTAGTGTGAGTTTTGCTTGTCTTTTCCCCTGCTGTATCCCTCAACAGTTATTGAATTTAGTGGCTAATGAGGAATTTGTTGGACATGTACTATGACTCTGACATCTTGATTTGGGGTTTGTGTGTCAGAACATTTTGTGGTATAAGACAGCAGGGAGCTCAACCTTTTTGGTTGGTGTTGAAGGTTAAAGCATTGCCATATCTTTTATTTAAGAAGTCTTTAGACCTTTTTGGCATTACAAAATAATAGCAATAAATCATTGTAACGGTATCTTTTGAGCTCTAATAGATAATTTTAACGAATTTTTACGAACTGTAAGATCTAAAATTGAAAACTAGTGGAATATTTTGGTGAATGTTTGGGGTCCATTTATTGCTTCATACACGACGAGTTAAATTTTTAGATAAGATTTGTTATTATAGAGATGTTTACTGTGCTGTACTGTAGCCGTAACAATCTGCTACTGTAGGTCACTTGGACAATCATGGTACAAACATTACATCGACTTTCTGAGCTAAATGTATCACAATAAATTTAACTTGGTTGGTAAAGCGGGTTTTCCATATTCCATTTGCGATCCTCAGCTCTAATCTAAAGTGAATCTATTCAGCATCAAGCCAGTTATATGCATGTTTATTACTATATCTCATCATTTAAATGAAAGTAGGATACTAAGATGCCACTGATTGAAAACTCAGTACAGTTAGTATATTTTGATGTTACCATTGTCCTTTGGAAGCTGAACCATAACAGCATTTAAGATTTAAGTAGTCTTGAGAGATGGTGTGACAAGGGATGTGACCCTGCGTTCAGATGGAAAAGTCACACACAGCTTAGGAGAAATAATGACCTTTGTTGTAGGAAGGCAGTGGGTCAGGTTACATCTTTACAAGACCCATTCATGCAGAGTTACACATTCATTGTAAAAATACACTAGGATTAGATTAAATTAGAAATAATCTGGCCAGGAGCCCATTTTATTGAATCACGTGACAGAGTAGAGACCTCTTTCATTCAGCCTCAGCCTCCTATGTCCTAATCATGTGCCAATCAGTCATACAAACCACAGCTAAACCAGCTCACCTCTTTATCCCATCTCAGCTCTATCTAGTGAACCAACACTGTTTGCGATATGTGACATGGGATTAGTGTGCCTGTGTGTGTTTGCATGCAAGCAGCAAGGTCAGACAAGTTCTTCTGGATCAAAGCTGACCGACAGAGTGAAGAACCCTGGATAGTTTTAAACCCGCTGAGCTGATTTGTCCTCTTGGCTGTCTACTCTTCAGCCTGCACGATGGCCAGACAGTCAGCATTCATGCACGTAGGAAACTAGCAGTTGAACAGGTTGCCAGCCACATTTTATTCAGCCAGTTGGTCGATACACCAGCTAGCCCCCAGGCAGGCCGTCTGTAACTCAAACAACCCACCAATCTGTCATACACTCTGTGACCCAGCTAGATAGGCACGTACTTTATGTAATGTGGTTAGTCTGTACCTTTACGTAGTTTAAGTGTGTCTGAATATTTTAACAATAAAGCTAGTCAGTCAGTCAGCACAACAGTTGACCAATACATTTTCAAGCCAGCTAACTAGTCTGCTGGCACTGGCAACAGAAAGTGTCGTGTTGCTATCAGTAGAGTATTCACACTAACTGAGTTTAGACATCTCACATCTCATTTAATTCCTTGTTTGACATCTCCCCAGCTCACCACTACATTGGCCATAACTGTAGGCTATTTAGATTTTTCCCCCATTTGTTGTCATGTATGGAAAGACCCAAAATTAACACTGTAAGCAGACAACTTGATTACTATAAGCAAATTATTTAAACACCATTTGTATATAAATGTTTCCACCGTATTTGAAATTGAAAACTGAAATTGCATATTACATATTCCTGTAAAATTGAGTAGTTTATGTTCCTTTCCTTGTGACGCATATGTTCTGTTAATTTCTACGTACATATTAATTTGTGTGTCTCTCTTTGTTTTTCTCTAGTACATCAATGGTGGAAACCTGGAGCAGCTTCTAGACAGCAACAAACACCTGAGTTGGCTCACAAGGGTGAAACTTGCCTGTGAGATCGCCAGTGGTCTGGCCTACTTGCACTCCAAAGGCATATTCCACCGGGACCTCACCTCCAAGGTTAGCTAGACGGGCTAATTGGTTGTTAAGAGGAGAAACCATAGCTAAAAATAGGACAGCAAGCCTTCTTGTGTCTCCAGGACAACAAAGTAACATAGCCTGTAGATTTTTATCTACATATCTTCATGGGAGGTTTAATGTGTAGTATTTTTGGTTTAGAGGCCCACATTAGGTCCTAGGTGTGTTTGACTCACCCACTAGAGAACAATACAACCTATGATAGGAGGAAATGTATTAGTTCAGAAAATGTTTCACGACTCTTTCTTTGACTTTGGCTACTTTTTGTGTTTCCATTGTCCAGTAGTTTCAGGTGGCCTTGGACTTCTGTTCAGTACTATACAGTAAATTTTCAAATATTAGTTAATATCAGCGTTTGGTCAACAGGATAGTGAAGCAACCTCTTTGCACAAGATCTTAGATACAAATGTTAAAGACTGATCCGCTCTTTTACTCCTAGACCTGTAAACCTCTCTGTAAAGAACAGAGTGTCACAGTCAGATGTGATAATCTGTAACAGGCAGCTCCCAGTTTTCCAACTTGACCGAGAGCCATGTTGACATGGAACCGGCAGAGAACAGGGACAGTATGCACAGTTGTAAAACTCATATTCATTGCCTGTCGAAGCTTACAGTTGTTCGTCTGTAGGAGAATAGCGCACAGGGAAATTTAAGCAACGTTTAAGTGAAACCTGTTACTGGACAAGATGAAAAGACAACAAGCATGTAGACAGTAGTTCAGTAGTTGACTCTTGAGGGTTAAATGATATAGTCACAGCCTTGCAGATTATAGTTCCTCAATTTCATGCAAAGTCCATTTGCCTTTAACACACAACACAGCTATTAAACTCAATGACCAAAGCAACTTTCTTTCCTTTTGTAAATATTAAAATTATTGTGTTATGTATTTCCAAGCACTCTCCCCTCCCAACTGTAACTTTATCCTATGTTTTAGAGATCATATGTAAGACCTACATGCCTGTATACCCTTCAGTTGTTAAGGATTTATAAGCAATATATTCAGAAAGCGCAAGAAATGGCAGCACATACAGTACATTTTATTACATAGTGCCAAAAACTAACGGCCAAGGTTGCAGTGTAAGACATGTAAACAAAACTTAACACACATTCCTACTTGAATATGTACTGTACATGAATGTACACTGAAGCAGCATGGTTGCGCACACTAACCCACAATTATGGAAGGAAGCATAGTGAGAATCTTGTGTACTGGGTTCATGAATCATTAGTTATACTAAGTAGAATGATATGTATAAATGAATTGTGAGGATATAGAACATTAACATCCGGCTCAACTCAGTGTCTGTGGCTACCAAATGTCCGTTAAGTGAGTAATAGTAATGAGCACCGTAACAAATGGTAACAGTAGATTTACAAATAGTTCCTTTTAGGGTGAAGAGGAACAGTCCTAACTTCGTAGCAATGCATATTGAAATATCCTGTTACTTCCTTTTTTTTCTGTATGAGAATGCAACTTAAAATAATATAGAAGGCTTAAATACAGTCAGGAAGGTTTGGCTGTTTGTTTTTTTACGTTTTAAAAAAATCTCTTAGTGTCCCAACTTCCTTAACTTAACGTGTGATAATTATGATGATGTTTTTCTGTATTCACAGAACTGCCTGATCAAATGTGATGACAACAGCTACACAGCAGTGGTGGGAGACTTTGGCCTGGCAGAAAAGATCCCCACCAATCTGTAAGGAGTAGTCCACTGCGCTACATAGATAAACACACGCCTGGATCTTTATTAGTAGATCAATAACGACCAAGACTTAAAGGAAAAATATAAAAGAGACTAAAAGCTAATTGCTTTTCTGAGCACTGTCAACTTTAGTGTTTTGATAACAGGAGGATACCATCGCAGGGTTTTGTTTTGCTGCCGCAATGAACAATTTAAAATCAAATTAAATGTCTTCAGGAACAGGGTTGACACAGCTTAGACAAATTATAATTTCTATGATCTTGTGTGTCTATGCATGTGTATGTGGGTATGTAAACATGAATGAAGAATGCATAGAATGTAGCCACACCTATAATTTTTTTTACTTCGTGAGAAGATGAGATTTGACATCACCCAGTCTAAATCTAAAAAGAGCAGAGCTACTGAAGTTAACGGGCTAGGGAGCTTGATTTATTGTGTAGACTAACAATTTAAAATGTATATTACTGTATGTGTTAACTACAGTGAAAAAGGCAGAGCTGATGCGCTTGGATTCATGTTTGCACAGATTTTCTATATCAGCTTTTTTTTATATCCAGCAGGTTGTTCATATTAACATTATGGAGGCAGACCAAAGAAATGACTTCACACGCTCCCACAAACAAACTCAAACAATATTATATTACTATTAGGTGTACTTGCGCTATATGAAAAGGGCCCTGAGATCACTCCTGTTGTGATTTGGCAGTATAGGTAAGTAAAATTTAATTTAATTGAAAATAGGGCTGGGCGATATGGCCAAAAATGTTATCATAAAAACATTTCATATCATTTGATATTGATAATTATCATGATATATGTCAAATAATTATTTTAGTTTAAATGCCCATTTTTTGGTCCTAATTGAAAATTATGTGGTTAAACTTTTCTTTATGGTCAGATATGACACTTTGTGCCAAACAGTGGATCACTGAACAAATCTGAGGTAGAACATTCAAAACTATTGTGACAAAATCTTTTTGAACAAATATGATTAGAAAATCTTTTTTCAGTCCCTTTTTCTCAACAAAATCAATATTTTAATAGAAAAATTAAGTGCTAATTTGTTCGTGATTCAAATGAACTGAACCAAATATTTATTGATGATATATTGAACATTTATTATATTATTGTTTTATTGCCCAGAACGAATTGAAAACAGTTTTTCATTCAAGAGCTAACACCTCAACACAAAAATGCAAAGCCAGCATGTAATAGAAAATGTAACCTCGTCATTTTTTTCTCCTGCTATTATTTTGTCCAGTCTTCATTTACACACAACACGACCGGGGTCAGGTCAGGCTTTTCTTCCTGGTTGTGTACTGTGTCAGGGAATCAGCTTGACATATTTATGCACAAACTGACATTGAGTCTGGCTCTGCCTGCATGATTTTATTAAAACATTGAACCAGGAACACAGAGTTCTGGAGTCGCTTCAACGCATCTGAAGTGTCTTGAATTACCTGGCCACAAATAGCTTCCATGTTTTAATAGACCAGACACTTTAACATGTTGTCAATAATCTTTGTCGTGTGCAGTGCTGAAGTAGAGAAGCTTTCAGTGGTTGGTTCTCCTTTCTGGATGGCTCCAGAGGTGCTGAGAGATGAATCCTACAACGAGAAGGTAAATTCACCAACTTTCACCTCTGACCTTTGCCATTGCCGCCGTTAATAGCAAGTAGTGTTATTGGCTGAGATGGTGAAGGAAAAAAATCAAATAAGATCACATTAGATATGTTTTGATTAAACTTGGAACACCTGGGGATAGTGGATCATAAAAGCAGTAGAAAATAAGATGTACATCAAAGCAAAATAATGAAAAAACACTAAATATACATAGCAAAATAATGAGTTAGGACCAAGATGCACAGTTTCCATTGATCATGGACCTTCTTGTCTGATAACAGGAGTATGCCTGTGCAAGGTTTTCGTTTTTAATACTGCAGTAGCACAATGAGCGAGCGGGATTGTTTTCTATTTTTGAATTGTCTTCAGGAACAGGGTTGATATGACTTGTTGTACGTCTATGCATCTGTATGTGGGTATAACAACATGTATGAATAATGCACAGAATGTAGCCACACCTATCATTTGTTTTACTTAGTGAGAAGGTTTGACATCACCCAGTCTAAATCTAAACAGAGCAAAAGCTACTGAGCATGATTCATTGTACATACTAACAATTTAAAACTTCCACTAATGTTATTAGTTAACTACAGGGTACACACAGATCAAGAGTGTTGTTTTGGTGTATATCAGATTAAAATTCAAGGAATATCAGGGACTTTTAAAAATGTTTCACTCTATTACAAAGTGAAGGTATAAGTATTTGGTGTTTGCGTGTTTTTTATGCGTGTCTATCTGTTTTCAGGCCGATGTATTCTCTTATGGTATAATCCTGTGTGAGATCATCGCAAGGGTCCAGGCTGACCCCGACTTCCTTCCCCGCACAGAGGTGACTGCTCATCTACTTCTCTTTTCCGCTCCCTATAACCTTGTAGTACTCCACCTGCCTGTTTGCTTTGTACACAGGTTGATCTGTTGATGTCCCATAATTCACACCCTGTGGATACTGTGTTAACATTCACGTGTCTCATACAGACCTCAAAATAAATGCAAAAGCCTGTTTTTTACATTCTCAAGGGATGGAGAGTGGGCACAGATTTTTCTTAACCCACCCTGGCAAAACTGTAACGGAGCTTTAATCACTGACCAATATTATATTTTTGACAATTATATATTGGTATGCGTGTAAATGCCCTCTCCCAGAGAGGACTCACAAGTTTGTTCTTCAAATGTAAAATGCACTGCTCAGCACATTTTATGCACTTAATTGTTTAATAACTAACTTGAAGGGAAAAATATATATCATATTGGCCTAAAAAGTCCAGTTCTGCTCCTCATTTTATTTATCTTCATGCTCTCCTAGTGTGAGATAAATGTTTATCATGTCTAATATAAATAAGGGACTCTTAATATATTTTACATCTTTTGCAGAAACAAATGTGTTATCTACTGTTTTAAAGCCTGCAGAGACCTTATTTTCTATCAAACAGCCTGCTTCATTTAAACTTTCAGCGGGCTGGTCTTCTTTTAGTCAGTCTATGGGACTGATAGAGGCAAAATGCAGTCTTGGCAGTCAGCAGGACCATGTCAGAGAGATTAGTTTGACATGAGTCTGGTTTTGGCAGAAGACTTACAGAATGTCAAACACCTGATGTAGCGCTGTCTGTCTCTGTCTTCATCCCACGTTTACAAAGGCAAATACATATTTCCTGTTTAACTTTCACATATCACAATCTCTTTGTCTCCTCTCCGTCCTGACCAGAACTTCGGCCTGGACTATCACACGTTCCAGCACATGGTTGGAGACTGTCCGCCTGACTTCCTTCAGCTGGCTTTCAACTGCTGCAATGTGAGTCCACCACACTCCCGTCCAGTCACCCTGTCTCACTCTCTGTCAGTTAAGATATTACATTTTTGTAACATCCCTGTCCACTTGTGAGCACACACAGCAGCAGCCATGCATCTGCTAAAGCCAGTACATGGTGGTCACGTTATATTGTCTGTAGCAATAGGATGTCCATGACAAACTTTTCTCTGTGTTGAGGGAAAGAGATTTCCCAAATTGGTTATTATATTTTAATTTCTTAAGTAACTATTATTCCTTTGTTCAGAAATAGAGGGGCAATCTGATTATCTGAATAATCTGATTTAGTTCACTATGGCGGGGAGGGGTCTTCTGTTCACTAAAAGCTGGATTACTTGGCAGAATCCGCTTTTCTCAATACTCATACATTTATTTGTTGTTAAATTGATTAACTATTGAGATGAGGAGGAACATTAAGTAAATCAAACCAAACCAAATATACTTTATTCTCATAATAAACTATAGTTTGATTTACTGGAATAGTGATTTTTTTTTCTCTCTAACATAATTACAAACCACAGAGGATCAGGGCATTAAAGATTTTGGAGCACCCTGCTGATTGATCCTATATTGGCTCCCTCCATCCCTTCTCATCCTTGTCTGTTGTCTCGCTTTTATCATCCTCATCTTCCTTATCCCCCATCCAAGTCCTTCTTCTGGGGCCCCCCAGTTTAATTTCATTTTCTTAATTGTCAGTTTTACAGTTTTTTTCTAGAATCTTATTTCAACCCTCTTGCGCTTCCGTGTCAGCTGTATCCCCAGCATCTGTCTACCTCTCTTTATTGTCCCAATCTTATTTTACTTTGCATCTTCAACTGCAGTCCCTAATTTTTATTCTAATTTTCATGTAACATCTTTAACGTTAGCATGTCACTTCATAGAAAGAATACCCACATATTATTTCTACAGATATTGGCAAATATAACTGACACAACTGGATGTCAGTCCACATTTTGCTGTAGTCCTATTGCAAATAAGACCTTTGTGTCTTCATGCAAACATGTAAAGGTGATTTTATCCACAGACTTTTCTTTTGTACCACTTTCTGTGCCAATAAAAGCCATAAAGCAATCTCCCTCTCTGCCATATACCAATAGAACACATTTCCTGGAAAAACCAACCAAAATACAGTGTAAATGCTTTTAGAGGCATCAGCTCTTGTCTTGTTTGTTTATGTAAATAATTGTAATATTGTATAATTAACATGCTAATCCTGTTGGTGTATGTTTTCTGTGTTTTTTTGCCAGATAATAATCTATCCCTGCTTTTGCACTATTTCATTGTATATAAATCTCATCCTTTTCCACATCTGCATTTTTTACTCCACCAGATGGACCCGAAACTCCGTCCGTCCTTCCCAGACATCGTCAGGCACCTCGAGGAGATTCTTGCACGCCTTAAAGTCGAGGAGATGCACGAGTGTGTCCCACTCAGTGGGGACAACGACAAGAAGACCATACCCAAAGGTAAAAGCACTGCACAGAATCTCACACTGTGATGCTGTGATTTGTCCTTTCAGCTTTACAGTCACTAAAAGTCCCCTCCTTTAGTTTACAAAAAGGTGATTGTAAATTCCTGTAAAAGAAGGTGGTAGGAAAGGAAACTGTAATGCAGGCAACCTATTTTATATCCGTCTCCTCTAGTCAGACTGCCAACCAGTCAGCTGGTTCAATATTTATCCTCCCCATGTCGAGACAGAAATTCTCTCTTCTCCTAACAACAGTTCCTCTTGCAAACATGATCCCATGCAAGTATTCTGTTTACTCTGTTTACCTCACCTAAACTCACAGCCAGGTTTGTTGAAACCAGAATATTTACTTCACTTCGTGTTCAGCAAGAAGCAACATCGCGATTCTCACTGTAATATCAGTAGCCCCTGTTCTTTGCACCCCAGTAAGTTATTCAAGTTTAATATGTTGTGATATCTATCTGAGTATCTGTATCACACTTCAAAGAACCATAGTGCAGAGTATTTGGTTGTTGATAATATAAACTTCACCAAGATCAACATTCCTATTTTAAGATACTTGATGCATGCAAGCCCAGGTTTCATTTCTAATTTGGTCCTGCGTACAGCCGCCTGCATGTCTGATCTTCATGGAACCAGGAGGCAGTAGGGTTTTTGTTTAGACAAGCCACTCAGCTCCTTTTCCTCAGTGCTACAGTGTATGAAGAAGGAGAGCATGAACAAATTACGTCACAGGATGCAGGGTCAATTTATACTAGTGACAGTTGGGCTGCACAGGAAATCTAAATATTCTAACTTATCTAACTATTTCAGTATGGCCAAGTGCAATATGGAAATGCAATTTTTTGGTAAAGGTAAACTTACATACCATTAGAAATGAAGCATTATGGTGTGAAATGCAAAAATTACTATTCCCACTAAAATCATGACTCATATTGCAATATCTTTTATTTTTTTATTTTTTTCATATCGTTCAACCCTAATCTGGTCTGAGCCTGTTGACATAAAAAACGTCTCTTATGTAGCTATTATTGTGTGGAAAACATGGTCTGGACCTGACAGTTCTCACTCTTCGTCTGCTGTCAGTTGTTACAGTACGTCATGAACTTCTTCTGGCCCCTCCCTCTGTCCCTCTCCTCCAGCTCCCTCTCTCTGTTTGCCTGATAACATCAGCATTTCCTGCAAACCAGGATCACCCTCATAGTAGGAAATATTTGTGTTGCATAACAATGTTTTAGCCAAATATATTTGCAGAGTAGCTTTTTTTGGTCCTCATGAGTGACATGAGTAATTCTATCAGATATCTTCTGGCAAAAACAATACTTTGAGAGGAGGAGAAAACAAGATGTTTTCTTGGTTACATCATGTGTTTATATGTATCATCTTTGGGAATAACAGATTTTTGTGAACTAGGAAAATTACTATTTATGCCCTTATCTCTTTCTTAACTATTGTTTATCCCTGTTTCTTTCATCCATAAATCCTTCAGTTCATCCTAGCATTTTTTCCTGCTGCTCTAATTAACATTCATCAGAATATTCAGATCCTACCACACTTAAGAGGATATTTCTGTGTAAAACAATCTCATCCAGTGCTTTTGGAAACACTTGGAACAACAGGGATTCAATGAACTCATGGCTATGTACTCTATGCAGGATTTACCCTGAAGTGCCACCTAGTGGTTACATTATATTACTCACAGTACCAGTCAAAGGTTTGGACACACCTTCCCATTCACTTGAATGAGAGAGTGCATCCAAACTGGCGCTGTATTTCACCATCAAAGCACTATTAACAAGATAGAATTGATGGAATGGAAGATACACCTCTAGACTTACACAACGACAACAAATGTATCTCTCTGTTGAAGGTGAGAAGATCCAGGGCTTTAAGCGACTGAACCCTCTCGGTTTCCAGGATGATAAAATCCCTCCAAAATCACCCCGCCCCCGGCGAAACATCTGCCTCAGCCGCAGCCAATCAGACATCTTCTCCTGCAAACCAGGAAGAAAAGTCAATGTCCAGGACCCTTATTATAACCCCCCCACCGCTCAGCGAGCCTCTAAGGCCCACAAGATCAACCCGTTCACCGCCCGAGAGGACCTGTGTGGGGGCAAGATCAAGTTCTACGATGTGCCCAGCAAGTCTGTCTTCTCGCTGGTGTTTGACCTCCACTCACCCCCCGGGAGTGTATTCAGTAACCCGCCATCTGCTCATGTACCTGGAGGACCCCAACAGGGGGCGTCTTACTACTGGCAGCAGCTTCCAGGAAGGCAGTGTCACTCCTTACCAGTTTCCCCCCAGCTGCCCCGCTCCGAGGTCTTCTACCTCGCAGGTGCTATCGGCTCCAATAACAACGGTTCTGTTACGTGCAACTCCAGCCAGCTCTCCACAACGCTGCCAGGTGAGTTGTCTGATGAAGATGTTCTTTTAGCATTTTGGATATAAAATGTTTGATGATTAATGTGTGGAAAATTAAAAAAAAGTGAATCCTGCAAAACATTTAAAACATAACAATCTAACAGCAGTGCAACATTATTTTAATGCACCTGATTTTGATGGTCATTGTTGTTGGTAGTAGTAAACATTCTTGCTTTAATCTATTTAGATGAAGTAAAGAAGTTATAATTTAAAGTAATATAAAACAGCTGCTGTGTAATGTGAGCAGAAAACCTGCACAGGACAGTGTTCGGTCCTGATAACGGCTGCCACACACGGTAACTCAGCTAGTGACTTAAGATGTAAGCTGGCGGTTCATGACAAAGGTGTCTTGTGTTCTGGTTTTGTTCTTTGTTCACCTTTGACTTTTCCATCTTACCACACACACATCTACAGTTTCATCTACAAACTCTTGGAGGTTTCAGTGCACTCAAGGGGAAAGGGAGAGCCTTGTCATTCTGCAGACAGGGCTCTTGTTTCCTCCTGTTACCTAGTTTGTTTTAGATTATTGACCAAAATTTGTGAGTTATGTGTGACAGACATACTTTGCCAAAGGTTAGGTCAACATTAATCATTTGCCAAATTAGATAATAATGGTTCCTCATTGTGTTTTTTTTTTCACCTATCTTTTTGTGCTTTTTCCCTTTTCCCTCTACCTCTTCTCTTTTTATTCTCTCAGCAACTAACTGCAGGTATGACGCAGGCCTGATGGGAAATGACACCCGACAGAAGGCAGCGCTGAGTGTCTGGGCGAAGAAATACGTTGTGGTTGAGATCCCACCTTACTGCCGGCAGAGAGGAGGGGAGGAGGACGGGGAGGCAGAGGAGAGGAAGGAGGGAAATGAGGAGGATGAGTTTGGTGAGAGCTGGTCTCCGATGGTCCCCAGCGGTGAGAGCGAGAGGGACAGTGGGGAGGCGATGGACTGCTCCAGCAGCCTAGAGGAAGAGGAGGCACGACAGAGAGGGACAGACACCTGTCCCATGTAACACACATGAAATCCACACACACACCAACACATACAGAAGAGGTGGTGGATTTGGACATGAGAGAGGGACTATTACTCCTGGATGGAGGACATGCAGGCAGTGGGAACTAGTTTTTAAAAGTAGACTGATGAACTGGACACATTTCAGAGATTTTGGAAAAATAAAATGTGGAAAAAAAGAAAAAACACTTGATTTCTATTTTTCAAGTGAACAAAAAAAGGTTTTATCAACAAAATGGACACTCAAAATAGAAATTATTTTCTTGAGACGGTTGTTTATATTTAATATTGTGAGATGATGTAGTTTGTTTTCCTTTAAAGGTTTCTTATATTAGGCGTCTTGTCTGACGAGGGGTATTGAAGATCCCTTGTGATGTGTATGTGAGTGTTTAAAAATCAAATGTTGTGTTTTGTGTTCTAGACAAATGTTTATACTACATTAAAAAAATCCCATATTTTTCTGATTAACGTGACGCTGATATCCAGATGAGAAAAAAGGTGATTTTATAATAATTGAGTGCCTGACAAACAACACTCATGAGACAGATATTAAACCATCCTAGCAACCCCCAACTAGATTGCAGTGGTGAAATATTCACAGGGAACTTAACAGAAGTGAATTTAGAGATGACAAAGTTTAGATTTCTTTATATTAGATTTCATCTAAAAACCTTAGAGGTCAGACTGTATTTGTCCCAAAAGGTCAGCACTGTCAATGACTCCATGACATGTTGCTTTGCCTTATGAGCTCTTAAAGGACCATACCGCCAATTCTAGCCCACTAATGAAAAATACAGCAGTTTGCTTTGATGACATAGTGGTGGGTTTTTTTGCCACTGTACTTCAGCCAAACTAATACCATTCAATAGTCAAAGCAGAGCGTTCACAAGCGAAGTTATTGAGACATCAAATCCAGAACACAAACTGTGGGCAAACATAGATGTTGTAAAAAGAACCTTGTAAAGTTTTTGCATTTAAAATCCCAGATGTCAGAGTTTGTACCCTCTTGCAACTCTGTTAACACACAATGACGATGAAATTGTCAAAAAATGATATTAAATTATATTAAATACATCTCTCTATGATGAGTTAGCACTCTAAAACAAGTTTGAATTGAGACTGTGTAACTTTTGAAAGACAAAATAACACCATCTTCCGCTAACAAATTAAAAGTTGAATTTATAAATAATAAAATTTTACTCGCGTCAGTAACATTTACACTCAGGGAATTATCCTTCCGAGGTTTGGTGTGACCAGTAGCGTATGGTGGCCTAATGATAGCAAACTTTGTAATGTTAGCTCTATCAGCAGGAGAGCTGTGAGTATCGCTGTCTGGAGCTGGTGTGCTGCTCTGGGACCTTCTCGTCCTCTCTGCATGTTCGCTTCGCAACAGCAGCTGTAGCGACATCTTATTTAACATTAGTTGCATTACTTGCTGTGTCGTCGTTCGCTCTAAATTGTGGGTTTTGTCATGGTGTTGGATTTCTCCAAAATCGCTTACCTCACCTTTAAGTGCAACACAAACCGTTTGTCTCACCCAGCAGAGTCGTGCTGTTGTTGCTACGTACGGCTACTGTTGCCGCTCTTCTGCAAAAGTTGCATAGTCCAGCTCTAAAGTCAAAACTTTAATAATGTAGATTTTAATTTCATTTTTAATTTAGAAAGTAACGGCTCCCTGAAGATGGGAAATCAATCTTATGTCAGACTTAAAAAAGCCAAAGTTATTATTAACAAACTATATAAAAAAGATAATTCACTGTGACAACATGCTGCAAATATGTCCTGTAACAGTGTTACATAACAACCACTGATGCTGATACTGCTTACAGATGTGCAGTCTTCCAAAAAGTTGCTATAAGTTTGATGCTGGTCCTGACATGAGAAGAGGCTTTCCTGGTGTGACCCTGCAGTGTATTCAGCCTGCTACCCTCAGTTTGTACTGCCCCATGCATAAGGAAGTCAAAACTGAATGTGGTTAAATGAATGAATTTTTTTTGAGCAATATTTAAAGTAAACTCCCACAAAAGAAACCATTCGATTTAATTCCATCTAGCAGAAACCGGTGAATTTACCTAAAAACTCGAAAGAGGCTTCAGTTAATGGAATCATTTTACTTAACAGGAGCACATTACTCAGTCTCACAGCGTACAGCTTTGGGTTGGATGAAAAGCCTTTTGTTTTGAGGGAAACAACACAACCTGGTCTTTCACGCCTTTCCATTTAGATGAGTGGAAAACTCTGTTGTGAGGGAAACTTTCAAACCAGACCAGAGAGGTGGGCTGAGCAGTGTTTGAAAAAACATAGAAAGATAGAGAAATGTTTGTTCTTCCACAAATTATTAGTACTAGATATGAGTAACTTTGGTGTAAATTGTTCATTAATTTTTTCCCCTTGACAAGATTATACAACCTCAGTGGCAAGATTTTCAATAAATCAGTGTGTATTTTATTTAATTTTGGGCATGTTTCCTGTAAACTGAAGCTAAATGTCTCACAGCAAGAGCTCTCAAACACTCCCCTGTGGCTGTGGTTGCTGCTAACATACGGTTCAATTATTAAATAGGTGGTTTTCATGACATTTTCAACTTTGATCAACACACTCCAGTGGATATCTGAAATAAGACTTTCTGCTTGATGTTCAGTGGTTCCACTGTACTGCGCATCATAGACGTGGAAGAGGTGAAATTTGTGAGCGTGTCGCAGATTGGGGTAAAATCACTTTCTCGGTGGTAATGTTTAACAGCAAAACCGTTTTCAGTGTTCATCTGAATGTTTTTCAGTGTACAAACTAAATGACTGTTCTGAAATGAGATTTATTTTTGTTGAACGTGAGTCATGTTTGCCTCTGTTCCAGCACTCTCTTAGGATGCTAAATTCTGCTGATCAGTCTGATGACTTCAACAGGAACTAAAATGTACTTGTACAGTGATTGTATACGGTGATCTCCTCTGAACCTACGTATCACTATTTCTCTATGCAACCAATGTAACTTTTATGACACTGTTTTACAGTATAAAGGATCTAATTTGATATTTATGAGAACACATTTTTAATGTCTTACCTTTGTATATTTGTGTAAAAAGTTTGTTACCTGCTTTGATGAGTAGAGATTGAGATGTTTTTTGCTGATCGAATAACAACAAGCTTCCCAGAGTTTTTCCTTGTGTTTGTCTCCCATTCTTTTCTTCAGTGTGACTTGGCTAACACTCGGAGAAGCTCATCACGGCCTGGACTTAAAATTGACAAAGTCGTATTTGTTTTGAAAACCTTTCCTTTTAGATTTGATTTGCAAGTTCTGAGACCGAAGTCATAATGTGGACAGATCATAGTGTATAAAAAACAGATCCACACTTTACATCCTGACCAAGTGTCACAGTAGAGTCTCTCTGGTTTCTACACATTGGTTGCAATAAGGAATATTAGACTGGTTTACTCAGGCAGGCATCACCCTGCTTTGTCCCTCTCATGTCTCAGAGCCAAGCAGCTGTTTTCCTGAAAGCTGCAGAATAAAAAAGTTGTGACTATTTGCTAATCTGAAAAAAAGATTGTGACATACCTCCTTGCTTATTTTGTACTAAATTGTTAAAAAAAATAAACATGCTTATTATGTTTTTGCCAGACTTGATAAAGGTAACACAGCGCAGACTTGTGCCAATGCAAAGATAAAGTAACTAACTGACTACATTTTATACAGACTTGACCCACAATGTGATGGATTACTCAAATTTAAGAAAGACTAGCAGGTTTTCAAATGTGGAAATAAATAGACATTCAAAACAAATTCATTCAATATCTATCGACATCATGGTCCTGGTAAAGTGATCCCTGGCAGTGTTTCAGCAGCTTGACGATGGAGACCTGAATTGGAAGACCAGAAGTGGATCAGTTTGTCTGTAGGATTCGACCACCTCACCTGTCAATGTTTGGTACTCAGATTTTAGACCCCAACAAAGGAATAAAAATGGCCCCAATAATAATTAAAATAAAAATAGTCGGTAAACCTAGCCGTCCTGTCTTAGTTCATATCTGGCATCTCTAAATTGGACAAAGAGAGTCTGGTGAAACACGAGGACTGCAGGCCACCGGACATCCTTTTGCTCACATGTTGAAAAATGAACTTGAAGTTAATTCTTTTTCTCTGATATTTTTAATGTATAATCCATATTCCTATCTGGGTGCATCATTGTGTGTCACAACAATAGAACATGTAAAACAAGTACTCTCACAATATAATGTGACAATATGACTGAGTGCTTTTCCAAAGGTAATTATACACATTTTATTTTTTTAAGAAATAAGATAATTAGTGATGTTGATATGACCAAAGTATTCACTATTTGTTTACCTCACCTAGTCAGATTAGCCTTTCAAAACAGGAAGTTACACATTTAAAGGACCATACCAGTGGTTTAGCATGTTTTGGCTCATTTCTTGATGCTGCAACATACATTTTTAGACAACATGCCTCCTGCACAAAGGCAGCTCCATAAAGAAATGGGTTTCCCAGTTTGGTGTAGAAGAACTTGACTGGCCTGCACAGAGCCCTGACCTCAACCCTATCAAACACCTTAGGGATGAACGAGAATGGAGATTGCGAGCCAGGCCCTCGTGTCCAACATCAGTGTCTGACCTCACAAATGGATGAACGGGCAAAAAAAAAAACGGGCATAAAAGTAATGTCTAGGTGTCCCAGTACTTTTGTTCATAGAGTGTATTTATTGTTGTGAGGTAACGCAGTGAGGACAAAGTAAGGTTCAAGAGTCCACTAACTGTTTTTCATACTGTACGGAAAACTAGTGGCTTCCTTGAGCAGCAGGAAAAAAACAAAGTATGGCTCTTTAAGCTTAACTGTGGTATTCCGATTTCAGACTAGTCTGTTTCATTATGTCAGTATTATATCACATATTTTATATTAAAAACAATAAACAATAAACAATCATATCAATATATCGCATAGCTACAGTGAAAAACATGGAATGTTTCTTGAATTACTAAACGCAGGAGTCAGATGTACAAAACGAAACCCTGTAAACTCAGTGCGCTGTTTTCTGATGGGACTTGAGGCTGGAGCGCTGGGTGAAGCACTTCCCGCACAGCGAGCACTCGTAGGGCTTCTCTCCGCTGTGCACCACGGCGTGTCTGATGAGGTTGCACTGTTTGGTGAAGCTCCTGCCGCACTGCAGGCAGCTGAACGGTTTCTCCCCCGTGTGACTCCTCAGGTGCTCTTTGAGCTGACTGAACCTCATGAACGTTTTGTCGCAGTACGTGCAGCTGAATCTCTTCTCGCCGATGCCGGACCTCCAGGGCGTCCTCATCCTCCTCGCCAGGCCGAAGCTGCCGCGGCTGTGCCCGCAGAAGGAAGAGGCCGCTGGGTTTGGCGGCGTCGGATGCTGGTTCGGGTTCGTCACGTGAGGCGCGGAGTCTCTGTGCTGATGCTGTGATTGTTGCGGAACCATGCACTGATCCATGGTGTTAATCTGAGACAGAGCACTGTGTCCTTCATCTGGTTGTGGTCGCTTACATCCAAACGTTCTGGCTCGTCTTTTCACTCGTGCTGCGCTCACCACGACTGAATGTGATTTCCCGACTGAGTGAATTTGGGGCACCAGGTCTTCCAAACGCAACCCACTCTGAGATGGGAACACAGAGGGAACCGGCTCATACTGTTGCTCAGCGTATGAGAAGCTCGGATCAGGGGCGTCTCTGCACAGATTGGACGGCCACAGCGGCCCGCCACCTTCCTCTGTCACAAACTTGTGGGCTGAATCAAGAGGAGCTGCGTTCTCATCGGGCTCTTCCTCTCTCTCGTGTTTCACCCCGAGTTCTGCCTCAGTTTGGTTTCTCTTCAGCTGCTGCTCGGGGAAAGAGATGTAGCCGTCCGTCGGGGAAACCAGAGCTCCAGGGTCGGCGGGGGTCTCAGCCGAGTAGCGTCGCTCCACGGAGTTGTCAGTCTGGGCAGGTTGTGAGGCTTCGAAAGATGGCGGCTGCTCGTCTTTAGCGACTAAAGAAAGCACAGGAAGCAAACATCTTCTTAAAGTAGAGGCTCTCAGGCTAACACATGTCTTATCTTTAAATCTTTTAATACCTGAAACCCAGAGTGATGCGTATCTACTGAGTTATGTTTGTGTTCAAACTCACTCAGCTTGTCCTCTGAGTCGTTCTTCCACGTGTCCTCCTCTGCACACTCCTCTTTGATCAGTACGTGTTCAGCTTCATTAGCCGGCTCCATGTCTGCACACTGCAACACCGGGCCCGACATTAACACTCATACAGGAAGGATGAACTGATTCACAAATAAAACAAATAAATACACAAGATGTGCTAGTAAAGGGCATCTACACTGAGTTTAAGTAAAGTAGACTAAATGTAAATAAGCCTTACAAAGTTTTAATATTTTTTTAAGAGATAGGCTATACATGTACTAAGTCATATTTAAACAAAGCAAAATTAAAATTAATTGGTTCCAGTAATGGATCTAGCTTCTCAAATGTGAAGATTTCTTGCTTTTCTCTGTTTAATATCATCGCACAATAAATATATTTGGGGTTTGGACAGCTGATCAGACAAAAACTAGCCGTTTAAAGACATAACCTTGGGCTCTGGGAAACTGTGATAGGTGTTTTTTATTAATTGCAGGCATTTTATGGGCTAAATGATTAATTGATTAATCAATATCCAAATAATATTTTGTGGTTGTCATACCTGCTGGGGTTGATTTTGATCCTTAGCATCCACCTGTCTGTCCCATCCTGTGCTCTGTCTCTCTCTGTTCAACACGACTTTGACTAGAGGAGAGAACCTCTCGGCTGCTGGAGGATAAAACACTGAGGAAGAAGTACAACAAACACAGCGTGTTTTTAAAGCAGACCCTTCCTCTGGACAACAAGTGAAATTCTCATGCATCCCTGCCCACCTTTCCTCCTGGCTCTCATCCTGGTCCTCCTCAGCTCTGCCTCCATCGCCTCACACTTCCTCTTCAGCTGGTCGATGTCCCGCCGGCTCTGGCTCACCTCCACCCGGAGCACCGCGCAGCTGTCATCCACACGCCGGTTTATCTCCGCCACCGCTGCCTTGGCCAGGACCTCCATGACGGACAGCAGCTGGCTGTGGAAGCTGCAGTTCTCCATCTTGCACTTGACTTCCGCTCCTTCTTCTAATACGAATAAACAGATTCACCTGTGCACGCCTGTATGTGCTGTGTGTCGCCCACTTTAATAATCAATGTATATAAATGGCTGTTCAGAATTCTGGAGCCACCATTGCTGTGCACTGTATATTTCTTCCGCGGAAGTTAGGGGGGAAGGGTCGCTCGTTTTTGACCACCCCACGGTTCGTGCGGGCGGTCTCACTCCCTCTCTGCTTTGGCCACATTAATACAAATTTACTCTTTTTTTATTAACAAACTTAAACATCTTATTCTTTTTGAAATCGATACAACATAGGGACTGTTTACGTATATTTTTCTAAATAAAGTTAGCAGGGTTGCCAGTTCAGCGTTATTTCCGCCACTAAGGGACGTACCGTAATCCAAAACGAGGTTGGCATAACAACGTCACTTCAAGAGACAGGTGAATTACCGTAAGTATTGCGCTACATCCGCACTGTGACCCCAGCAGTGGAAGACAGACCTCACGTAAACATCCAGGGACCTAACGATATTTTCAAACATGACAAAGTTACAAATATAACATGATATTTAGTTTTACTTTATAATTATACATCAAAACCGACCTAAACGTGTTCCTAAGTATTACAAATAGGCTAATTTCCATGTCTTAGAAACGTTGATACAGACACCACATAGGCCTATTTAAACATGATCAGTGTGTCTTAATAAACTTATGACGATGAAGATCTCATTAAGACCACGAGAAATATTGACGATATTTAGATGTGTGTGTGTGAAAGAGAAAAACAGATATTCGGTTCAGTTTTAAGCAGGGCCTACCACTTTCTGGTAAGTCACCCTTTATAAGGGGTTTAGCCTATATATAGCAAATAATTAATAACTAATTTACAAAGTATGTATACATCAGTTTTAAACCATTTATAAACAATTAATAACACTGAATTACCAACACCAGCCAAAGGGATTTACCAAACTTGGCAATCCAATCTCTTATTAATGTTTTATAACGGCTCGATAAAATATTGGCAAATAATGTATTAACCATTTAAAATGCGTGTATCAACACTTTTAAGGGGTTTTGCAGGATAAGGTCCAGGAAATAGCTCCAGCCACAAACTACCATACAGAGCCAATACAGTATCAGACACTATCACAAACTACCACAATATATTATTATTATTATTATTAGACTCCATGCACAATATATAGAGCAGTAATATCTAGGTATCTAGGCAAGTGCCAGGAATAGAAAGACCAGTGGTGAAAAAATACTTTTACTGCAGTACTGTGCTTAAGCACAATTTTGAGGGATACCTCTACTCCACTACATTTCAGAAACAATTATTGTAAGTAGCTAAAATGGTTGCAACATATTAATGCATGAGTAATAATAATCCAACAATACAACACTGGCAGGGGTCATTATGCTACATTAGGAATATTTTACTATTGATACTTAAATTCCTTTTTGTTGCAACTATGACTACTTTTGTAGTTGTCTCAAATTTTAAATTCATTGTGGAATTGAGGTATACTGTGATTTTTCTTTTGTTGTAATTTGTTTGTTGTACTTGGTGATATTTTGTTGTTGTAGGCCTATTAGTACTTTTAAATATTTTATTGTAGGCCTTTTTTGCAGTCCTTACTTTGTGGAAACCCCTGGTACTTTGAGCCGATTGGTATTTTGTGTGATTCAATGCACTAGTATGGTATTTTGTGGTACTTTTCGATATGCTTTGTGGTTGTTTGTAGTTACTTCACTACTTATTTCTGTACTGTGTGTTACTGTTTTGTAATCTGTGGTCATTTGTGTTTTATTTGTGGTAGTTTTAGTTTCTATTGTATTATCTGGTAGTTATACTTTGTTGTAGTTTGTAGCATGAAGCCATTTGTGGTACTTCAACAGTACTCACTGAGGTGCTGTGTGATGCTTGAGTTTGTACGGATTAGTACTGGTGTGTACCACTGACACACTCAAAAGAAATGGGCTGAAATGTGTTGAATTAATCCTATTTCTATATTTACTGTACATTTCTTGCTGTCAGGGTTAAAAGTACACATGGAGCTCAATCTACACACAGACAAACACAGCACATAAAGGGAAATAGATGCACTGTACAGATACACTGAACTGATTTCCCTACTCAATCAGCAGAGGCAGACAAACTGTGGGGCACATACAGAGAGAAAGCACAAGAGAAACAGAGACACTCAGGAAGTTAACAGGGGAAGTTTAGTGGTTTCTTGCGTCATCATTTTATGCTGCTGCTTGTGTGCCGATGCAGAGTGAAGGTAGGAACACTCGTATTCGCTTTTTAACTTTTATTTCCTCACGTTTCCCCTCTGAAACGCTTTCCTAAAAGTGGACAGATAGGGAGAGATGGTGGATAAAGGGAGAGCAGTGGCAGGTGTCAGGAGGGTGGAGGGGCCGGGGAGTGAGTTTGAATGTCTGTATGAGTCTATATGTTCAAGCTTTAACAGTGCTCGACTTCCGCTGCAGTGAAAAAGGGGGCCGCGATGGCCATGACATGCGGGCAGTGAGGACAGGCTGGGCCTGTAATTAACACGGTTCTCAGGCTGAAGCTGAGAGTTGAGGTCTAAGTGGGTCCACCAGCCTAGAGCAATATTATGGTGTGATTGGAGTGAAACATTTAGAGGCTCATTTCACTGAATAGGAGAAGTACATAGGCAAGGGTGTGGCCTTTCATTCGAAAATAAATTCAGTACATCAGGGGGAAGTGGAGAGCCACATTTGTGTGCTGAGGATTCAGTGCAGTTTGTTGATTTGGGGGGGGGGGGAATTATTGTCTGCAACGTAAAGCTGGGGTTTGCACGAAGGAACTTTTGTTATTTCTGCTTTTGCAGGGTGGAAGGTAAACCAAAGAATGTCCTAACACCCCAACTTTTAAATTTCAACTCCAATGCAACATAGCATACAGAGGAAACAACCTGCACCCAACAACATGCACTGAAGCCAAGAAAACAGAAGCAGCAGCAGCAGCAGCAGCAGCACTGTCAAATCTCTGAAATGTGTAGCACCTCTACAAAGTCAGTCTCACATTAACGGAGTCGGTCAACACATCCAGCAGCCACAAAGACAGTCAGTCAGTCTGACGGTCACAAAGGGAGCAGCTCGCGTCGGTCTGAATGTGAGGTGAACTCAGCAGACAGGAAGAGATGCGGAGAGTTCGGAGAAAAGGAGGGAACAAAGAGAAGGTGTTTGGATGTGATCTGCTGGAGCACCTGAACGCCTCCTCTCAAGAGAGTAAGAGAACAAACTTTTTCCTGTAACCATTTTCTTCATGACATTCCTCATTACAACACACACTACACCATGCTGTACAGATCAATAGCAATGGTGTGTAACATCTCCAGAAAATACAGTACCTATGGTGTCTAACAGTAGACATCTCAATAACCATACGATTTTTATATAACAATGTGTTCTTAGATACGGATATCCTCAGTCAAGCGTTACCCAATGTGTTCTTGTGAATATTTCATAACCACAAATGACATCCTCTGACAGGTCACCGTACATCTTGTAAAAGAATAATTCAACAGATAACTTTTTGACAGTTATTATTTGATCAGAATATTTGTCATGTTTAAAAATCTTGGTGTCTCAATATGCAGGGATATTTCTCAGACAGATATGAAGTCAAGAAAAGACTAGCCTGTGCCTTTTTTAAAGCACATGTTCAATTATTTCTTTCTGGTTAAGAATCAAACCACACAGCATTTACCACACCAGGTCTGCTCCAAAGAGTGTCTCTTGGTCATTTTACATTGTGGCTACATTCTACTGTTTTATTTTATTTCTCTCAGGAGTCCATGTTGTAATCAGCAGTCCATCCTGCCATTCCATAGTGGGTTTTGCGTGTCCTGTTGCCATGTTGGCAGCTCTGTGAGGCTGTACTTAAGGCACAGTTAAATGCTAACGTCAGTATGCTAACATGCTATCAATGACAATGCTAACATTCGGGTGTTAAGCAGGTAGTTTATGTTTACCATGTTCACAATCATATTTTATTTAGTGCTAGCATGCTCATATTTGCAAATCAGAAGTACAGCCGAGGCTGATGGGAATATCAATGCATTTGCAGGTGTTTGGTTATAAACCAAAGTATTGGACACATAAATGTTTACCTGATTGGGCTGGAGAAACATTCAGAGGATTACCAAAGTTATTACAATTCATGCTGAGGGGAGCATGAATGTCTCTACCAATCTTTTTTTTTTTATAGTTTTGAGAACCACAAATAGAAACTTAATGGTAGTGCTGAAGGAAATCACCAAAGTCATTAGGATTCATCCTCTGTGGACCATGAATGTACAAAATGTCATGGCAATCCATTAAATAGTTGTTGTGATATTTCACTTTGGATCAAAGTGGTAGACTGACACAATGACATTGCCATCACTGGAGTCATGCTGCTAATGTTAAAGTGTTCAATTTAGAAACTTGTATACATGTATATGAACAGAAATTTGTGTATTTTGTCTAACAGGATTTTGATACATTACTTATACTCCATATTGAATATGTTATGATACCATGCTAATATTTATTCGTACACTATCTTTTGTACATACCATATTTGGCAATCATCCGGAGGTACACGCACATCCATAAATTATTTGCAGATGCTGGTAAACAATAATCTGCACAAAAGGAGCAAAAATTCCTGCACAACTATCTCACCCCCAATGCTTTTTTAATTGTACATGATGGTTAGACCATAACTATCTTTCTCACCGGTCCATGTAAAATAAATAAAATAATAAATTTGCTCATTTAGCATATTATTCTTGTGTTATTTTGTAATTGATTAATTTGAGTCATTCACCGTTTCCCACAGTACCTCTGGTCTTGCGATGCTGCAGTGAGTTTGTTGAGAAACATGGAATCGTGGATGGGATCTACAGGTTGTCTGGAGTATCGTCCAACATACAGAAGCTAAGGTAAGTTGTGTGTATGTGTGCAGCTGTGTGCCTCTCTTTGAACTTATAGCTGTAAATGTATATTCCACCAAAGTTTAATTCCAGTTCGTATGTTGCTGTACTCTAAAGTGAATCTATGTGTGTATACAACCAGGGGGGAGTTTGAGAGCGATGGGAGTCCAGATCTGAACAAGGACCTGTACCTGCAGGACATCCACTGTGTCAGCTCTTTGTGTAAAGCTTATTTCAGAGAGCTGCCCAACCCTCTGCTCACATACCAGCTATATGACAAGTTTGCTGTGAGTAGCTCAGACATACAAACATTTCACACAATTTCCACCCTCTTGCGTTGATGTGTATTGGAGTGATCACAGGGGTGGAAAGTGCCTCCCCTGCAAAGAAAATATTAAATATATAAAGTCTAAATCTCCCAGAGAACATAGACAAGTTGGGTCATGGTGTTTACAACAGTTCTCTAATAATGAATAGAGACTATATGTCATGTTTCCAGCGGTGGAAAAAGTACTCACATCCAAAATGTACTTACACTATCAAAAGTAAAAGTACTTCTTATGCAGAGCGGCTTCTTCAGTTCAGTCTGAAGCTGAGAGACAAACATCCCGAAGTAGTCAGTTCCCTCAGAAATGTAAAAACATATTGATTCAAACTCATGTCTGTGTAACAGGAGGCTGTGGCCATCCAGCTGGAGGAGGACAGGCTGGTAAAGATCAGAGATGTGCTGAAAGAACTTCCAAACCCACATTACAGGTACTTGGAAAACTGTCTTTTCTGCCTTGAGAAAGCAGGCCTGTATTTCTTTGTGTTTAGATCATCCAGCCGGCGTCCTTACAGTTTTGTTACATGACAAAACAGGGTGTCCACATGTGGCCTGTCTGCTTCTTTGTTTGTCAACTTCCTGTTGACGTAGATTTGGGGCTCTGCCATCAGGAAGCTAGGTTAGGACAGGTATGGGATTGGCAGAGAAACACAGCATGATATGATTTTGGTTGTTAAAATAATAAAATGTCATTAACAAAAATAAATGATTTGACCACAGTTTTTGAAAGCTTTCACTTTGCGTTTCACTTGCTGACCTGTGCTCAAGTTGAAATGTCTTCACTTTCTTTCCATCAGGACTCTCGAGTTTCTGATGCGCCATCTTGTCAGAATGGCCTCATATAGCTCAGAGACCAACATGCACTCCAGGAACTTGGCCATTGTCTGGGCCCCCAATCTGCTCAGGTTTGCTAATATCAGTTGCTTACACCAATATATGTTCTCTGGTGAAATGCGTTTGAGCAAGACACTTATCCACACTCTGCCCTGACTACTGGCAAATCTACATAAGCCGTTCGTGGACGTTCCTAAAATCTAACTAATAGAGCAATTTTGTTTGATGATTATGAATTAGTAGATGTTCTTTATCATCTCATTCCTTCCTTCTTTCATTATCCTTTTCTCTTCCTTGCTTTCTTCCTTCTCTCTTTTTCATTCATCCTTTCATTCCTCTATCCATTATTTTTTCATGCATGTTCATCCTTACTTCTCCAACAATCAATCAATCAATCAATCTGTATATAAAGGTCAAAGGACATTGAGGCGTCTGGGTTTAATGGTACCGCAGCCTTCATGGAGGTCAGGGTTCAGTCCATCGTGGTGGAGTTCATCCTCACACACGTCCCTCAGCTGTTTCCCGAACAAGGTAAAACACTTTCCCGATGACAAGACAGAATTACCATTTTGTTTTATATCATTTTCTCTGTATGAATTGCTGAAAAAATCTGAGATTTGGGCAGCAATTCAGAAGTCTGGACTAAAAACACACCCAGTCCCACATCACATCACTGACTTCTGCCATATTCAGGTGTATCAAATGAGAGAAGGAATTCCCTCCCCTCCCCGTCAGCAGCGTCCGGTCAGGAGGAAGGGTTTTTCAAATCCGCTCCCATTCAGCCCTTCCCCAACTTTGGTAATATCAGTCCAGGAGACGGTCCTCTAGCCATAAGACCCTACCACGCCATCATTGAAGGCACAGACAAGTAAGTGGACCACATATTTATCTGTCTGAATCATCTGATCTGGTTGGTGGGGACGTATTTCATACAGAGGTCAAAGGTCAATGATGATCAGCTTGAACATGCTCTGTAAGTCTGAGTGGGGCAGCTTGGAAAATAAACAGAAACAGACATGAAAGAGACATTCCAAATGTATGTTTACCAAACAGGCATTTACAGAAGCCTATCTCATGTTGAATGCAGCTGTTCTATTTCATTTTTTCATATTCCAAGTCCTTGTGAATGTCTGTGTCTCGTTCAGGAGGAAAGGATCTCTCAAAGGCAGGAAGTGGATGTCCATCTTCAACATCGGAGGACGATTCCAAGACCCACGGCGGAGGCACAAACACTCATCCAAAGGTACCGAACCTTATCGTGGTTATTATCTCTGGTCATTGTTCCTATCGTTGATAATTTCCCTTAAATAATTGTTATTTCTCCTCTGAGTGCATTATTTTAATGCATTATAAAATAAAAGTGATCCTAATCGTTCAAGTTAACACATGTGTAGAGATTTCTCACTTTTCTAGCAAAGGAAGACATTTCTGTTGAAAACTGATGATCATACAGGAATATGGCCTCTGGTAATGTCAAAGTTAGTGTTAAGAATGTTTGATTCATAACTAAACTTATATAACTATAACCAAATGGTTTCGTGAAAATGATATCAACATTGGTCTTTTCTTAAAAAACCCCACCTGTGCACTTTTTTATCCTTGCTGCAGTAATATATATTATTATATGTCTGGTCTTAAATAACTGGCTCTTTGTTTTAGAGAAAGACAGGCCAGCTTTGAGACCAGCCAGAAGCATGGACTCCCTCAGCACCCAGGCGTTTCCAAATGAAGGTACTGCTCTCGTCACACATTTCCCAACTGATGTTGTTAAAATGATAAATGATAAATAAATATCATAAATGTTTCAACAATAGAATAAACTACACACACTAAGGAGAAATATAAATATATATAATTAGCTTGCTTTGATTGACCTGTGGATCCAACCCGTGTCATAAAATAAATGTATAGATAAATAAAAAGAAGTTCTCACTTTGCCATAGTGGCGTTTGGTCATGGAGAAAGTTTCTCTTTTTGCGTGTGTTATGGTTTTAGGTTTTGAGATGCCTGCCTGTGAAACTTTTGAAACCACCCTACAACAGTTTATTGAAATTTTGGTTTGGTTAAAATAATTGAAAATTTGCATCTTTAATACTCAAAAGGACTTGTTTCTCTACCAACATAGGGACTGTTACAAGACACAACAAACTGTTTTCCAGCTGTCATTTTGTAATGCTTAGAGCACCACAAATAGGTCAAAAACCTCACATAAACCACATCCCACTGAGGATAAGTGTGGGAAGAGAACTGTTCTGTTTTGCGTGTACTGACCCTTTAAAACAAAATCTACAAACTTGCCTGAATATGTCTGAAACTGTATTAGTTAAAAGATTTACAGTCTCACTTTGGATTGTCCTTAGTCCCCGGACTTATCTGCCTGTTTTATTCCAGGTTCCAGACGTCCTGCCCAGCGCCCTCCTTCCACCAGCATCCCCACAGCATCTCCCCTCGTCACCCCCAACCCCCAGTCATGCTCGGAGGTCACGTCTTCCCCCGGTGCAATAGGTGGCAGTGAATATGCAGTGACCTACCGCAGAGGAACAGGGTTAGTAAGCGGGGGCGCAGGGACCCAGGGCACCTACACTGCCCTTGACCCTGAAGGTTCAGGAGTCACAGGCAATGAATCTCTTCAGTCCAGATCCCCAGGACTCTCCACTAAAGTAGGCCGAAGAGCAGCCATGCACATCACAGGGCCCACCCTGGTTACTGTGCCCCTGCATATCACCTCTAACCTAGCATTAGGGGTGCTGCAAGGGGGCGGTGGCAACAGGGTCATCCATCGTGGCAGGGACAAGGACGGAGGCGACAGGGTGGAAGGTAAGGAGGGAGGAGAGAAGGTGGAGAGCAAGGAGAGCAGAGCGATGGAAAGGAAGGTGGAAGAAGGCAGAAAGGTTCAGGAAGAGGAGAAGAATTGCAGTGGGAAAGTGACGGACAGGGAAGGAGTCGAGGATGCGGAAGGGAAGGCAGGGGTAGGCGGTGGTGGGGAGGAAGAAGGTGAAGTAAAGAAAGAGGAGGATAAGGAGGAAGAGGAGGTCAGAGAAGAACGTACATGGAAGCCGGAGGTGGTGATGGGAGGTCAAGATGCTGAGGAAGATAATGATGAAGATGCTGTGGATGATGACAAGGATGTCGATTATGACTACATAGGTAATTTCACCTATTTCATAACCATGATCTCCTTTTTTTTTACAACGGGGGTTCAACCAATAGTTATTTGCAATATCTGTTATTTTATAAATAATTATTCTAATGATTCTCATCCTTGGGGTCCGGGACAAATCTGTGGGGTCACAGGGAAAAAGAAACACTGGTTACACACATGTATGTTTATTTATTCTGACTTTTCTCCTTTGTTATTTTTCTTGTGAAATACCAGACACGTTCACCTTCAAATGAAACTGAAATACTTGTTGGTTAAACTGCTCACGGCTCACAACAAGGACCTGCCACCTCAGACATTGCTTCATTTAGGGGTCACAGGCCAAAAAGGTTGGGCACCAATAATTAAATGTCAGAAAATAGTTTTAAAAAATGCCCAAGACTTAGGAAATTTATTTCAGAAGCAATTTTTCATTATATTTGTTGGCATTCTCTTTACATCCCAACAGCAATCAATAAAAATCCAGTATCTGTGGCTGTTGCAGGACTGTAATAAGCATGGCTACCGACTGCTGCTGAAGCCTCAAGTTTGGCATTTTGGCGTTGCCATCTTTGTTTTTTGGTGCCAGAAGTGACAATTTTTGGATGAGAGGGTGGAGCTTTTGTTGATTGGATACTTTCAAAATCAAGCTAGTTCTCCAACATAGCCTACCCTAGCTTTAAGATTGACGTCTTTAAATTGTATTCAAATATTTTTTCTTGTGAAATACTACCAAGTTTAACCTCTTTAAATGCAACAGTCGAGGAAGGAAACATCCCTCCATAGTTGAACTGCTCACAGCTCATATGTAACAGCTCACTTTATAACCCAGGTGTTGATTGGTTATAAAGTTAATAAGCAAAAGGGGTGTGAAACAGTGACTTAAAGAGTGACATAACATCACTGATGGGTGTGGTTAGATGTGTGATTTGCTGCACCTGTACCCACACCCTACAGTGATGTCACAGGGTCCTGGAGTACACCGTATTGCAGCAAGGTGAAGCACAGGGGGGCAGCAAAACGTTTAGGGGCTGTTAAGTTACTATTTTTTAATATCAGTTAATGCAAGTCAAAACACTAGATAACAATGTTGAAAGGAAATACAACAACATTGCACTTCTGAGACAACAAATATTTATATTGTATAGTATTGTATGACAACATTTATATTTAAGCATGTGACGGTGACCATAACACACTTTAAAACAAGATTATTTTCTTCTTTCATTTCAAGTCTTGAAATGTTTTGTTTTATTCTGTTGCATGTAATGTGAATGTAAATAATGCAAGATCACATCTAATCTTAGCCCGTGCTTCATTTACAGACATGAAAGGGGTGAAGCCAGCTGATTTACAGCCAGCGGTGACTCAGTGTGTTGATGCGTCTGTGTTTGACGCTTCCAACATCCTCAACTCAACTGAAGTGGAGGAGGATGACCAGGGGCTGTCTGGCTACGTTCAAGATAACTTTGATTTCCTGGACCAAATGGACTGCAGCGCCCAGGACCATATGGACTGCAGTGTCAACTACCAGGTGTGTGTTGTTTATCTTTACTAATAAGGTTTAAACAGCATTTGAAGGTGGAAATAATTCTTAACACATTTTCTTTGGGGTTAAAGAATGCAAATGAGAAAAATAGAAACATTTCTCCCTTGCACTGCTTTTCACTTCCTGTTTTTACATGTTGTCTTTACATGTTAGGTGAGCGAGTTCTCTGTTGAACCTCCTGGCTACTCAGATGATGAGTATGAAGTTATGGCGCAAGGTCAGCCTTCCCATCGTCCTGCAGCGCTACAGATGTACCTGCAAGCGGGCCCTGAAACACACACCCAGAGTCAGACACAGTTAAATCCACACAGGCCACTCAGCCTCGACATAAACAGCCGACACACTAAATCCCTCAGCTTGCCTTACATGACCTCACCTGTCCGCGGACCAGAGGATTCGGGTTCTGAAGAGGAGGATGCAGGGGACGACAGTGATGATAACATTTACAGTAGTGACGACGACGACGATGACAGCATGTTTGTTAAAAGCCTCCCCCCTGATTTCTTTTTAAGCAATTTGACTGACTTTGAACCAGACACTGATAAACAAGACTGTTGCACCCATGATGGAGTACCTATAACTCAATTACAGAGCTCTGAGGAAAGAGAATGCCAGTCGCTAAACCTTGAATTTTCTGCATGTAAAGAATCAACTGCTGGAGAGCAAGAGCAGGTAGAAGTGAAAGATAAAGAAGATATAGATGGACTGGATGAAAAGGAGACAACAAAGAAGGAAAACGTGGAAAACAATAGGCAAAGGTAAAACTAATTCCCTTCACACACACCTGTTATCAACTCAGTTCATAACTACGTTATCGTGCACCTTTAAAGCTGCTTTAACTAATACTGTTCTATTACAATGGGTCAGATAACTATATGTAATGTGAAAGATGTCGCATGAACCCACAAATAACTACAGAGATGGTTTTATAGCCTGCAAACTGACTGCCACCATTCTCAAACCTGACAAATAAAACAGATTTCCAGATGCAGCAGGCAGCTATTTTCAGGGGAAAAACTCACTGTACACAACCTGCTGAGCACCAAACGGCAGATAGACAAAGTTAGTGACCAGCTGGGGAACATGGTGGAGCATTTAGCTGCTGAGGAGCCAGCTATCTCATAACAGAGCTATGTAAATTAAATATTGAACTTATTGTTGTCAGGTGTCCAGAAAGACAGTTCCAAGTGAATGCTATCGTTGCTTCGTAATTGCCGGATGTGTAAATAGGCAACTATTTGATAACAAGTTCGCCATATCAACTTTATAAGGCGATAATATGTCAAAGCTGTGCTTATAGATTGTTGTGCTGCCCCCCGGGTAACTGTTGGGTAGGTTTAAGGCAAGAAGTAACTTTTTAAAAAGACAAACACATTCTCCGTCCTTATAAGTTAAATTCATTATAAAAATTATAATCATTCTAATAATAATTCTGGATTACATTACTATTGCGTGTTTATCTTAGATGCTGCCAGGTGGGTGATGCACAGCAGCCATTTGTGCCAGATGCTCACCACACATCAGTTTGAACAACCAATAAAACACACTCACTTGCTCCATTTAGCATACTCTGAACGGCTTTCGCTGCTGCTACCTTACTTGGTCTGGTATGACCAGTAGCTAATGATACAACAGTAGTATACTGTGTGTCAGCTAATGTTAGCAAACCTCAGATATTTATTTCTGCATAACTGACATCACTGAGTCAGTTAACTAACTATTTTAGCATTCACCATTATGCAACTTGAAAAGTAACAGTAACACCACTATATGTCCCCTTTTTACAAATAAAAAATTAAGACATTAAATCATTTCAATTATCATATAATCATATAACAACTACAAATAGGGGCATAAATAAAGAAGCCAGTAAAGAATATACAAAAAGTTGATCTCATCTTGTTGCCCCATATGTTTAGCTCACCGTAAAATGGATTGTGTTTTCCAAAATCACATCGAACAACACACTTAACCCACTTAAAGTTTACAACCAGTTGTCTGAAGCAAGACACCTCTTTCCAAGTCCACTTAGAGATCTTAAATGTTTCTGTCATCCATCTGCAGCAAAGCAACAGACGAAACCTGCAGTGTCATGGAAGATACTCCAAGTGACAAAGAACAACCTCCCACCTCAGAAGCATCAACGCACTGCTTTGCTGAGCATCCGCTGACGAGCAACGATGAATCAAGCGCAATGGCTGACATTACGGTCGAGGAGGAGAAGGAAGCGGTTGATAATCCTGACGGTGATTATCCACCTTGTGATGGGGTTTCTTGTGGCACGTGGAAAGAAAGAGACATTGATGAGGGAGAGGATGAATGCAAAGAGACAGAGGACACAGAAATGGTTCTGGAAATGAAAGAAAGTGATGCTGACATGGGGGAAGAAACCACAGAGGAGGCCAATGAAGTGTCAGCTGACCAAGAACATGCAGAAAAGATGCAGGAAGGTGGCGAAGAGCAGGATAGTGCATTTTGTGGGACAAGCAGCGAAGTCTGGAATGAACTTGAGGATGTTATATGTGAGGTGATAGAGGATGAGGAAAGTAAGCAGGTTCAGAAGAAGGGCGCAAGAGAAAGTGTTGCTGGGGAGGGAGATACGCTCAAAGAAGTCAATGGAGAGGAGGAAGATCAGATAGAAAATGTTTCAGGAGAGAAAATGGTGGAAGTTGAAGAAGGAGGGACAAACAAGGCAGAGGTTGGAGTAGAAGTAGTGGAGGAATCAATGGAGACAACTGAAGATATGCACGCAGATCCGGAGATGCAGCAAGAGTTTGATGAGAAAGAGACAAACTTACCAAATACAAGTGAACTAGATGAAGCAATTCAAGGGAAACACGGCATCTGCAACGAAGCACAGCGACACGACAGTGGAGAGGTGGTTTCAAAAGAAAAAGAGAACAGTGACAAAGAGAGAGCTGATGAGCAGCGAAGAACAACTGAAATAAATAAACAACTGAAAGAGGTCAGGTCTGATATGAAGGAATTGACAGAGGACAGAAAGTGTGAGGAAAGTGACAGCAGCCAAGGAGGGGTAGGAAGGAAGCTGGTCATCTCCAAACATCCGAAGGTTTACCAAGTAAAAGCAGTGCCGGTCGTGCCTCCGAAGCCGCAGCACTGCAGATTCACCGCATTGAGCCTCCGAAATCAGCAGCAGCAGAAAGACAGAAGAGACGCCGACAGAGGGAGGGAAAACACGCTGAAGGCCCCGACAGAGCAGGACAAAGAACACGGGGATAGAGACGAGGACGGCGAGGACGAGGCCAGTGGGAAAAGGGAGAAGCCAACACTCAGGGGAGGGGAGAAAGAAAGGGACAAGAGGAGGGATGGGGATGAAAGTGCCACAAACAGAAACAGTCCCCTCAGCATGTGTTTTGATGAGGCCGTTGCCAAAGCAACCATGAGGCGAGAAAAAGAGAAAGAGTGCGAGAAGGAGAGGCAGAGAGATTGGGGAAGTGAAGTAGAGTGAAGGTTTGTTTTGTTTGTATATTGATTTAAACTGATTTGACTGTACAAACTATTTTTCTAGGTGTAGCATCAATGGCTGTATTTTTCCTGTACTGACTGAGGATTTTCTTTCAGTTTAAATTACAACCACAGTATTGTCATCGCAATGCTACTAAAGATGTGTTAGGTGTTTTTTTTTCAGCCATGCACAAACTTAATGTGCAGCCAGGAAACGAAATGGGTTTTTGAAGGTATTATTTGGAGGAGAATTCTTCGTCTTTATTAGACAGAGAGACATTGGAAGCTGACAGGAAGTGAGGGACGTGATCCTCGGCCAAACTCAAACCGTAGACGATGCAACGACTGGGTCAGTGTTAAACCCCTAGGTCACCAGGACGCCATGTCAGGTAGCTAATAAATGAATAGCTGCAATTGTGCTATCTGCTCTTTAAGTTAAACAAAACTGAAACTGAAAGCAAAGACACAGGTGAGATTAAAGGTATAGTGCTGCTGAAACATGTTGAAGAAGAAATGTTTGACAATCAATCTGAATGAACTGGTGTTTTCTATTTCAAGCCAGAACTTCTTTATCTTCATTATTTTGGGTCTGTAAAACAAAACATCCCACCATTTGATAAATCAATTTTGATCCCCCAAAATGGAAAAGCCTTAAATCCAGCTCACTCCTGTTTGCACTAGTCTAATTTTACAATACTTTGTAATTATATAAAGTATATGTTTGTCTGCAGTATGTATAATAAACAGTTGACAAGCATGTAGCCTAGTTAAATGGTAGATTTTAAAGAGCAGGGATGATGAATGGAATGTATCATGATAAATATAATGTCTGCAAAAGTCACGTTTTTTTGTTGATGTTGTGAATAAAAAGATGTTTCCAATGTGGTGTATTATTATGATTATTATTATTACATTGTCAAACTCAAATTTGTTCTTCATGTTTATCTATTAAACTATATTGGATACCAAGAGTGACAGAACCAAGATGTTCATTGCCATATTATTTTGCTAATTATAAGGCATAATGATTTTATATATATTATTGCTGAAATCTAACTTACATTGTCAGACACTTGACTTACGCTGAGGTAGGTCTATACCACAGTCAGGGATGGGTAATATTAAGTGGTTTGTCGTTTACTTGCTTGTGTGAACATGGTGCTTTCCAAAAGGTTAAAAGCAGGGTTACAATGTTTGAGATATTGCTGTTTTCCCCATGCCCCAAATCACTAATTTGTCTTGAAAATAATTTTATGCAAAAATTAATTTTCTGTGGATACAGAAATGGGTACATTCCCATAACAGATGAACTTTCTTTTTTGTTTTTTGTACAAAGAGGACGACTTTTCACATAGACATAAACATTTTATATGTTAATATCTATGTATTATTTAAAGATCAGTAGCTATTTTCTTTATAACAACTTAAATGGGAGACAAATATAGAGATTTTTTTATTGACTCTTATTTATCTCATACAAAACAAAAGCAGGCCTTCATATAACGAAGGAAGATTTGGTCATTCACGTTTATTAGAAGAGTTACCTCATTTGCCCTTACGTCAAATCCGCCCTCTAGTTTTCCCGGAAGTAAACCAAAATAAAAGTGGTGGGAAGATGTTTCGCCTCACTGCAGAAGCCCCAGCTGTTTAATAAAGCTTGACATTTGCTTCTACCGGGTTTGTGTTTACAATCGGCAGGATGTCTTTCCCCTCCTCATTTGGTGCGCAGGCCGCAGCCATCATGGATGTGTTAGCGAAAGCTGCGGTCGCCGAAATAACGAAGCTGGTGGAGGACGGGACTGTGGTTCTGCACCTGGAGATGTGTCGGAGGGACAGCGAGATTCAGGAACTCAAAAGAAGTTTGAAGCTGATGGAGGTTGAACTCTGCAAAGCTCAAGAAGCAGCCACGACCCGAGCTACAGAGGACAAACAGGAGCGAACAGCAGCCGCGAATCAGGTCCCCCGAAAAGGTGAGAAGGAACTGCTATAGCTCCCACATCTGGGGCTGTAGAGAAGCGTCACACCAAACTTCATTCAACAAGTCTGACATTCAGAATTTGCTTCCTTACACACAACCTTCCTTGCTCGGTAGAACATCAACAGAAGACCCTGAGCAATTTTTATGGTCTCCTATTAATTCGGCTTAAAGATGAATCCCTGAACTCCTTTTAAATTGCCGCACACCTATTTTGGATAACAATGTGGAAACAGTAAATAGACATGTGTAAGACGACTAACATATATTATTAGGGCTGCATCTATTTGATTGATACAATGTCAATCTTTTCAGACAAAGAAAAGCATTCAATCAACTCAGCTGAAAAGCAATAGTTTGATTTTTAATTAATCTGCCAATTATTTCTCCTATTGACTGATTAATCGATTAGTTACTAAAAGGTCAGGAAAGGGTGAAAAGTCCAAAATGAGATATTATATGGCTTGTTTTGCCCGAGCAACAGTCAAAACAGAAAGAGATGCAAATCCTGGAATTAGGGAATGTTTGGGGAATTCTCAACATTCATTTTAAGTTGTTAGACTAGTTGATTTATTATTTCAGGTTTAAAAGTGTAGTGTATTTTAAGGTAATAAGAGACGCAGATTAAACTCACAAGCGATTCTGAAAGTATAAAGTTTCTTTTAGTTAGTTGATGCAGTGATCAAATACCTAGTTCATGAGGAAGTGATCTTTAGTGTTGAGTATTGTCATGCTCTTCAAAGCATGGACACTTTCCAGTGAACAGGGTAAGTAAATAGTCCTGGGTTGTATTGTTACAGTTAACAAAACTAGCCAGGTTTCCATTTAAATGTATTGTAGTTAAACCATTACAGAAGAAGAAGCTGCAACAAGATGACATTATAAAAAGACTGCCAGTCAAATCTGAAAAAGTGGAAAACTAGATGGGGAAAATGGCATTTATCTTTGTTTGTTTCATGTATTTCATGTATTAATTTCACGATACAGTCGCCTCATCGCTCCACATCAATCTGATGTTTTTGTCTGCCACTGTTTTGAGTGAACCTGAAGACTGAGTTGAGACATCAAGATTTATTCGCTAATTCTGTTTAAAGCGTTCTGCTGTTATTGATACACCAACTTTTGCACCTCAGCTGAGTGTTAATACTTGTTTGCAATATTTTGAGTGGTTTTATTCTGAATGTTCAGTGTTTCCATCCGGCTTTTTTAAAGCGCAAATTGAAAATTCACACAAACAGCTGGGTAGAAACGCATCTACTGTGTCTGTGCTTTGTTGTCTGGCATTTGCATTTGTGGAGTAAAATTCACGCGCACCTGCAAATTTCCTATCTGTCAATTGCAGACAAAGAAGAAGATCCGGAAACATGTGCAGTGTATCTGAAACCAAAGGCTGCTGATTCACTCTGCGAGCCACAACATGGAACAGAGGAGAACTGTGACATGAGGCCAGCGGTGAAACACGAGCCGGCGGATGAACTTGCCACCCAGGAAACAACAGACAGCACCGGAACAGTTGACATTTGCTTTGAGGCGGTAGAGCGAGACGACCCAATCTGGCCTCCTCCTGCTTGTAGCATGTTTGAGAAAGGCTCTGTTGCACTGCAGCAGCACACACAGATTTTCACCCCTCATCCTGAGCAATATGCTGCTCATAGAAATACAGAAAGTTCCTATAACTCTTCAACTGAAACTGCAGACGATTCCTTAAGTTTGCCGATAAAAGTAGAGGTAGAGATTCGACCTATGTGCATGGCAAGTACCACTTCAGAGTATGCTCCTAATGAACTGTTCACACATGCTTCGCACCCTGCAGTCAATCAGAACCAGTGCTTGCAGTCTGCTCCGCAACAGGCTGGGTCGTCGCTAGCCTCGTTGCATGCGCAGAGGTCCACGGCAGATACGTTAGGACCGAACACAGAAGGTCACATCTTCAGCAGGAACAACCCGAGAGCAAAAAGGCTAATGACCGTTTGGAGAACAAATCAAAGACTGTTCATCTGCTCGGTCTGCAACAAGGGTTTCCCCCGCCTCTCCCAGCTGGAAGAGCACAAGTCTACCCACCAACCCTTTAAGCCTTTCAGGTGCCTCGAGTGCGGGAAGTCTTTCACCCAGAAGACCCGGCTGAAGACGCACCAAAGTGTGCACACGGGTGAAAGGCCATTTAGTTGCAAAATCTGCGGCAAGATGTTTTCGAGGCAGGACAACTGCTTGAGACACGAGCGGTTCCACAGCGGCCTGAAGCCGTACAGCTGTGGGCAGTGTGGTAAAAGCTTCACGGTGCTGGGTAACCTCAAAATACATCAAGAGATTCACCTGCAGGGGAGGTAACCCTCAGATACTCTGTGACACTTATTAAGACAAATTGCACTTATTAACACGTATTAATCTTGGGTTAGGGTTATCTTATTTATCTAAAACAGTCCAGCTCATTGATTTGCAAGATTAACCACAACGATCTAATACAGTAGTTCTAAACCTGGGGGTCAGAACCTCTACAAGGGGCAAGATGATTACTTTGAAATGACAAAAAACTAAATTCTGTAACACAATGTTTTAGGACTATTTGGACAAGTTTAACATCTTTAGTAAGTTAAATTAAATTAAACAATCTACAATGGAAAAATGGCTCACAAAATCACACACATTTAAACTGTGACAGTATGACACAAGTAAATATGGTTTTGTATTAAGGGCTCATGGAAAAAGTGTTGGACATCACTGGCCTAATACACACACACACACAGGTATTAAAAAGACAGCAACAACAGTATAAATTGTATGGCAAAATCTCTACTTACAGTATATATTGTCCTATCACCCAACCCTAACAAATACTATAGCATTTTTCTGGGCTCCTGTTACCTTACATAATAATGATTTCAAATAGTTCCAAGCAATTTTAAGAAAAAGAGAGCACAACTGTCAGATCTGCAGATATCCTGACTTCAGGTACCGGTATCAGGAGAGGGAGTTTGTGCAGTTTTATCATGATCTTACTGTACTCAGAGGTGTTTCAGTGCCTTGGAAAGTTTCTGGCATCCACTCCCTGACTGGTACTTTTGTAATGGTTTCCCTTGCATTCATGATGTTGGACCTTCCAGATACACACTGAGTATTTGACCTAACTTGATTACACACAAGTGATGTTGATTGAAACTTATTATGCGGCCTCAGCAGTTGGGTGCACCAGTGATGACTTAAGTGTGTCATAGTAAAGGGGGTGTGGGTTTGTACCTATGCAATAATTTAATGTGTTTCACATTTGCACGTAATTTAAGTCAGTAGAGATTTGTTGTCTCTTGGCATTAAAGTATGTTAATGATCCCCTATTTTTCTTTCCGTTTTTCTGTTAAAGGTTCCAAATTTTATTTTATTTTGCGCCTGCAGGATTTATGCATACAGTATATACTTAATATACTTGATAAATGTAAGTATAAATGTATGAGTTTTAGTATATTCATTAGATGCCTTTTTTTTTGTAAAACTTGATTAACTTATATAACATGAAGGTATGTATTTATTTGTTTATAATGTTTTACTTCTTTGTTTGTTTTGATAGTGAACTAAATTATGAGTTAATGGATATGTTTGTATGAATTAAAGTTTTTTGTTGGGGGGACTTAAAGGATAAAATAAGGCAAGTTAATGGTTGTCAAATTACATCCAGTTCAAAATAATGTTAGTTAAAGGTGGCAAAGAGTGGCATTTCCAAGTAAACATTAAAATTGAATGGTGTTACAATGCTTATACGATTTCTGTTGGCTTAAAAGTTCAACTTGACAGGTTATTGTTGGCATTTGCTAAAGCTGTTGAGAACAAAATCTCCAGGGATTTACTTTAAATCTTTAAAAAGTGTATAACAAAAACTTTAACATTTTACTATAATGTCTCATGCCACTTTTTTCCTACAAATATTCTTATCCAACGAAGGTTAAAGTCAAGGGCAACTGGACTTGGTTGAAGATATTGGAAGACGTTTCGTCCCTCATCCGAAGGACTTAATAACAAATATAAATAAATAAATACAAATATTCTTATGCTTTTTAACTTTATTTAGTGTTTGAACTTTTTCTTTTATTTGTATTATATGTTACCGCTGCTTGGATTATTTCCGGTATGTTTTAAATTGGTGCAATGCCTGTACATTGTTACTATCGATTTGTTTGTGGTTAAATAAAAAAAAAAAGAAAAAAAAAAGTGGGGTAACCTCGGAAGTGCCTCGGCAATATGTGTTGCGCCTTTCCTCTTGTGTTTACGGCATTTGTGACATCACTTCCGTAGAACGAGAACCTGTGTTTATTCCTTGTACCAATTAGCTGCTGTTAGCTGAAAGCGGTACACAATAAAACCAACACCAAGCTAACCAAATAGCTGCAGTTTGTGGACACTTGGCGGCTTCAGCAATGACGTTTTGCCGTTAGCCAGGGCGACTGAGTTCCAGCCTCGCGCCGGACAGCTGAGCCACTTTTCTCTCTGTAAAGTTCAGGCTTCGCTGTCACTTGTTTGTGGTTTTAACAATGTTGAGCAGCGTTGCTCTGCGGGCTCAGATTGCCTCCGTAATCGACGCCTTGTCCAAAGCAGCCGTGGCAGAAATCGCCAAAGTTGTGGAAGATGGCATGGTGGTGCTGCGGCTGGAAATGTGTCAGCGGGAAAATGACATCAAGAAGCTGAAGAGCAACATCGAGGTTCTGCACAGCGAGCTGAGATCAGCGCAGCAGAGAGCGACCCTGCGACCCGACCAGAGAGATGGTGAGATGGACCTGACACAGACGGACCTAAGTACACTTTATAAACCTTGCACACGTCTGACTGAGCTAACACTATTAAATCACACATTATATCTACCTAATATCACACTGATGTAGGACACATGAGGACAGGGTTGGGATTGAAGTGCTCAAATCTCTTGTTGTTGTGACACCCAGCTGACCTTGGTGTTTGGGCTTTGGGGATTGGTGCTTCTTCATCAACCTTATCACCTCAGCATATCTGCAAGGCTCTGTCTGGCTGCAGGGGCCTTGTGGAGCCAGACACTGGAGTAACATTATCAGCTATATGAACACTGCTACAAAGGTGGTTGAATGCCAGCAGCAAAACATGTGTGGCCGTCAGCTGCATGTATGTGACAACTCCAAAGATTCGTTGTTATTATGTATTGAAAAGGATGAGCAGCAATAATTTGTTTTAAACTAAAAGAGAAATGAGGGATATATCAGCAGTACAAATAGGTAATGTTGACAACTACTGCTTGATTGGTCAATCGTTGTGTTTTTGCATTAGCAATTTAATTTCTTATAAATTTGAATAACTTCTTAGCTTATAAAGACAAGTCCTTTTTTTAAAGTGATTATTTCATGCTGTCTAGTGCCTACCTGCCTGTTCCACGCTTAATCCTTTCCTGTGGCACTGCCGAGCGTCTGTGTGACAGGGACATAGCTAGGAATTAGATGACTCAGGCCTCGGGGATGGCTTTGGTCCCCTCTTCCCTCTTGTGTATGTATAGTTTACCCAACAAACAACAAACTAAAACACGCCCTTGCACATTAAAATGGGTTCTTTCCGTTTCTTTGCTTTGAACCCTGTAAATAAATATCTTGCAATTTACCAAAAATAATCTGGTTTATGTTGCTTCCCTTTTCCCCACGAGCCGGGTCGTAACATAAATAGGGGCTCGTCTGGGATCTGATATTTTACCATAACATTGTAGAAAATTGTCAGTCGTAGTGATGAACTTCCATAGAATTATCACCTGAATCTACAGCTCCACTCTGCTGTACGGAGCTTCAGCTCATTGTTGTACTTTGTCTGGTGCGTAAATGTACTGTTCAGCCTCACTGCTCCCATGACGACGTATTAGACCGCAGCAGTGGCCAAGAAATCTGTTATTGTAGGTTTAATTTACTGATGAATTGGTAATAATAATAATAATAATAATAATAATAATAATCTTTATTTGTAACACTTTTCAAAAACAAGTTACAAAGTGCTTTAACAAGTGTAAAGACAATAATAACCAAGAGACAATAATACAAAAACAATACAAGATAAAAGCATGAAAACATTGAAAAGACTAAAATACAGATAAATATAAAATTAGTAAAATAAAATAAAAGGGATAAAATAAAGTCAAATATGATCGGGAAAGGCTCTTCTATAAAAGTATGTTTTAAGAAGGGACTTAAAACATAATTAATTATATACTAATATTAATTATATACAATCAGGCACTTTCAGGCACTACTGTGACAGCGCAATGTTGGTTTTTATATTTCTAAAAGTGGTGTCCTGTTTTACGATCAGACAAGAGAGGACCACTCTGACCACTCTGGTCAAACTCTCACATGGCTCAGCAGTTGTGTCCTGTTTTTGAGAACATGTAACAGTTTTGTAGACTTGGTTTTAAAACCAAACCAGTGTGAAGGTCAAGTGTGAGATACTTTTGAGGATCCCCAAAAGGTTGTGTTTCTTCACAGAACCCACCTCATTGTTGGGATCCTGGGTGGTCATTACTATTATTTTCTCCTACTACAAATGTGTCTGAATGAAGTAAATGATCAATTTGTATACACATATTTAATTATGACTTTAATCTATTAGTTATTGAAATACCTTTTATCAAACTCGCTGCTAATACACTGTTCTACAACGTTCTCATTGCTTTTCCACAGATGGACAGAGTGACGCTGGTGATGAGAGGAGCTTGCTTGAGAAGGTGCACGCTGATGAGAACCAAAACATCCTGTCCATACCCGAGGTGCAGGTGAAACGTGAACCTGTGGAAGACGGAAGCGAGGAGGCCAGAGGACAACCCGTCCAACCGGCCTTGTATGAAACGGACACTGCGCAGTGGAGACAGACAACACAAACTCAGTCGGGAGGCAACAACTCAGATTATTTACATTTAGGGCAGAACTCCTTGTTATGTCTCCCTGAGTCTCCTCTGGACAGCGGACTGACTGCGCCCTGCAGCAGCTCCGGCGGGTTCCCGCAGAGCCCGTTCAGCCGCGGGCTGCTGGGCTACAGTCAGTATCGTAACTCGTACAACACCGTGCGGAGGAGGACGGTGAAGAGGTTGATGTTTAAGAAGGGCTTCATCTGCCCCTACTGCGGTAAATATTTTGAGCGCGCCGGGCACCTCGAGAGGCACAAAAGGATTCATACTGGTGAGAAACCGTATCGCTGCGAGATCTGCGGGAGACGCTTCAACCAGAAATGCAGCCTTAAGGAGCACATGAAGATTCACAGGAGATGTAAGTAAAACACTTCATTGTGTGAAGAAATACTGATCTTCCTTTTGTCAGCAACTAACTTTAGCGTTGCCCTTGAGCAAAGCACTTTGTCCTCTGAAGCTCATCGCAAGGGAAGAGTGGTGGGAAAAGGGAGGGTGACAGGGTTGTGGGGGATCTAACCTGTATGCCCAGGGTCCCTGGGACCTTGAATAAAGTTTGTGACTGTCCATAGAAAAACTGTATGTGGAGAATCAATAAATGTACCTCTTGTTTCGAAGGTCCTTCACATCTCCCTGACACGTGGCAGCTCGCTGTATTTCTTTGTGTGTTATTTTTACCCTCACTGTCTGTTGGAGTCTTTGTTCAATTCACAGTTGGAAGTCTCTGGCTGTGACAGTCCTCGGTGTCCCAGCAGGCAGAGAAAAACCATGTTGTTTAGGCGAGACGACAGTAAATGGGGCACGGTGACTTAAAATTCCCCCGCTGTCAGCTGTGTTCGCCTCGCTGGTCTGGCTGCGAAGAAGACCGGCCTGTTTTTTACCCTCCTCGCTTCCCAGGGCGAGATTCCGAACCGCCCCCATATGAGATCCATTGCGGATCAATCACTGGGGTCACATTTCAGTTCATGTTCATGCCATGCAACGTGGGCTGAACGACAGGAGTCACGATTTCAGTGGGGAAATTATCATTTTTTTTCCGGGGTCTGTACCAAGCAAGTGTGTTCCTTTAGGCTTGGACGGTATTCATCTTTTCATACTTTCATATCTTCCTGACAATTCAGCAGGGTGTACGGCAAATGACGGTATTTGTGTTCTTCTTCACGCAAGTTTTTGTTTTATTTGATTAAAATTATTACTTTTATGGCCGTTTAGGATATGACCTTTTAAAGCAAAACGAATGAGAACTAACAACTAATCTGTTCAAATTAATTTGGACGTAACACACGCAGCCTAATCCTAAACTAACATTGCAAAATTGATGACTGATTCATGTTCATTCTCTGCTGCCCTCGCTTTTTTTATGGCAACGCTTCTGGAAGGCAGTTGCATTTGTAAGTGGCAACAAACCGCTTTGGTTTGGGGTCACAATTGTTCCTTCAGCACGGCTCGCTAGTCTCCTCTGTTGTGCGTAAGCGAAGAGAATGAAGAGCCTCCTTTTCTGAATGCCATTGAGCTTTCAACAGAACATTTTACAAACGCCCCCTGCTGGAGTTTAATACACCACCTGTTGTTCCTTTACACAGTGAATTATGGATAAATACAGAATGATTATTAAATTATTTTCCCCATTGGTCTTGATTGCAGGCAACACTATGGAAAAACTCAATGACCTCTATGGCATTAAAAACATTTTTTGATCTACACACTTTTTACACATGAGTTGTTTGATGCTTTTAACTCCTTCAGTGTGGGCGGTAAAGATTAGCTTATAATGACTTCTTTCTGCTTACACAGGTATTCAGCCCAGACCAGTTGAGATCCAGGTGGTCGAACAGAAGCAGATTCCCGAGGTGAATCCATGTACTGATACTCAGCGCCCTGAGGAAGAGAGCCAGATGAAAGCCGAGGACGGCCCACGTGAGAACGACGACGTTCTCACACCTGTACACGTGAAATCTGAGCCTGCAGAGGAGAATATTGCACAGCCGCTGTTTCACGGAGCGAACGAGCAGACAGTGGAAGGAGTGGAGAACCTCAGTGAGAACTTCGCAACGTTCGAGAGAGACAGCCAGCAGTGGATGTCCAGATTACAAGGACAAAGCAACACAGAGATCGGCAGTACAGAGTATCTCAGCAGCCCAGCGGAGAGTATGACGTCCTTCCCACCGATGGCTCAGTTTCTCCAGCCACCAGTCGAAGCTTCCTGCAGCACCTTCTCCTTTGCAGGTAAACCGTATGGGGAGTTCAAAAACAGCACGGTCTCCCAAACACCTTACGGATCCTCGGACACACGTATGATATCAAGTGAAGCAGGCTTGCATGGAATGAGAGCCACGCTGCATCACCACCAACAGAGAGGAAGCAGGTCTTTCCAGGTGATCAAACCAAAGAAATGCTTCGTCTGCTCGTACTGTAGCAAGGTCTTCGAGCGCGCCGGCCACCTTGAAAGACATTTACGAATTCATACCGGGGAGAAGCCGTACGGCTGCCATATCTGCGGGAGGTGTTTCAATCAGAAGAGTAGCCTCAAGGGCCACATGAAGACGCACAGAAATGGTAAGAGACAAGCGTGTGTTTCCCACATAAGACTACGGCTGCATACAACAATTATTTTTTTATTATCAATTAACCAGTGTATTATTTTCTTGATTAATTAAACTGTTTCATTTTCTTTTCTGAAAAGGTGAGACCACAGATGCGCTGGAGGCACATCACCTGATGTTTGCAATGCCTGATAATCAAGCGCTGAAGAACCTGGCAGAACCCAGAACCGGACTGGCAGTTTTGGAAGAACAGTTATCCGGCTCTGCGTACAGTGAGCAGACAGTAACGGTAAAGATGGAGCCAAATGAGGAGGATTTTCAGACGCTAAGTGAGGCAGGGACTGAAAACGGCATAGGAGCACCAGAGCCGCTGTGGACTTCCAGGATAGAGAAGAGTCGAGACGCCACTGAACAAAATGTCTGTGTACTTTTGCGTGATGTCAAGTATCACCTCAGTCCTGCTGCTGGAGCGGCCAATCAGACGCAGGGATATACTTCACCAATAAAGGATCTGCCTTTTCTAGACCACAAAGCAAAGGAAGAAATGATGCACAATGGTGGGTATTCAATGATGGGGATGCAGTCAAGAAGCTCTGATGTGACTCTAGCACCTGAGCTGCGAGATCAACCCGTTACACAAGAGGTGGCTGTGAGTGAGTACACCGCAATGAGTGACAGGACTCACGAGAGATGTGTGTTTGAGTTTAACGTGACCGCCTCAGGCGACCATGAGGACAACTGTGGCAGGGACGCCACCAGGCAGAATTGCTTTATATGCGCAACTTGTGGGCAAAGCTTTGATAGTTTCAGTTCATATCAGAGGCACCAGTGCAAGGATATCACAGAGCAATCCTTCAGCTGTGAGGTATGTGGGAAGATGTTTAATCAGATGAGCGCCCTGAAATTGCACCGTAAGCTGCATGTAGAGTAAAAATGAAAATGTACACAACGAGGACAAATACTCTACACGGTTCCCCACCAGGCTTCAGCACCCTCAGTCACAACAAATGGCACAGCAAAATTTCTCACGGGCGACAAATCACAGTGAGAACTAAATAAATACTTGATATGTCCCGAAACTTCCAAAAGAAGAACAAAATTAGTTTTTTGTTTGCAGTAAAAGTAAAAAAAAAAAAAAAGAAATCTTGTTAGCGTCTGTCACATTTCAAATTCTTTGCACAAAATGTTTTTTGGACCTACTCCATCTCCTCATTTATAGAAGACTTTTTAGTTGAGCATCGTTGGCGTGGGCACAGTTCTTTGCCGTCTTGAAGCTGGCCAAATCTAGGCTTTGGAGTGGCTTTAATAATGACTTAATTACTACAAGCAGAAACCAAATAACATTGAGCATTTTAAGTGGCAGTTGAAGCTGTCCTATTTTCTGGTCTCCAGGCAAAGCTGTTACTCCATGACTGACCACTAGTTTCACTTTACTGAAAGTATTTTAATGACACTTGTCTGTGTTTTGAAGAACGGTACATAAATGCTGATCATGGCACTTAACTGAAATGTCAGGTTTTCGCTGTGCTCTTGCTGTTTTCACTGATCAAGTAAATGTAAACCAGTCCCAGTCATCAGTATGCCATAACTATAGACTGTTAATGTAACTCAACCTTTTTCAGGCCATGTGCTTTTTTTCATCCAAGACGCACTTCTTTTAGTTTGAGGTCATTTATTTTTTACAAGATACCTTTGGGCTAAATAGTATTTAGTGGAATTAGAACAAATTACAGCAGGATTCATGCTGTAACTTCATGGATTTAGCACATCAGCTAAAGATATAGCACAGGTTTCTTCTCTATTCAGATTTTTATGTAATGTTTCATCAAGATTAGATTAGATATACTACCACTGCTGATCATATTGTTCTAAGAAAATACAGTACTTTTGTAATGTGGATCCAAATCAGTATTTTGGATCTTAAAATATGGAATAATGCCTAGTTTTTCTTTTGAGGAGGATGCAGTGAGGGGACTACATTTTTTTTGTTTTTAAAGTTGATTTGAAGCCATTGTTAAGAATGTCCGTGATATGTTTACTATTGATTTAAACGGATGGACGGCTGTGTCTTCCTCTTAAGTTGAACCGAAGAAACCTTTATACAACAACAAATATACACTATACCTGAAATAACTGTTGCCTTTAACGCTGTATGTATATATGTTGTCGCAGTATTGGTTTGGTTTGGTCTTTCAAAAGGCAAGACCTAACCAAAAATGGCAAATGCCAACATGGTAATGTTTTCCTTGGAGAAAGGGAAGGGACTACAATAAGTTACTACTAAATGCAGGATATGTGTGCATTATGTATGACTAAAGAAACATGAAATACCTCAGTAATAACACAGGGTCCCCATAATCATTGAAGAATTTGGAAAAGTCGAGGAATATGAAGCGTTTCTTTGATTTCATTGTTACCTTTCACTAATATTTATTTTGGGGGAGATATTTTGTATTTTATTTTTAAATATGCCCCCTGTTAAAGACACTGGCTATCAGATAGAACAAATTACACGGCGAGTGTTAAGCAGCGCACATGGAAAACTGTAATATAAAAAGCCATCAAGTTGGTTGAGTAAATAGCTCTGAATGGTTCTGAATGAACGGTACAGTTAGTATTTGTTTGGAGCAGGTGGCTGGACTTGAAGAGGTCAGTAAAATAGTTTGACAAAACGAACACTCCAGCTAAGCCCACAGAAAGTGCAACTTCCTGGGGCTGACGGGGTGACACGAACCCCTTTAGAGTACAGTGAAATGAGTGCCTACATTTTTCACATGGGAATTAATTCCCTCGCCCTGCCGCAGCAGTGTTCTTGCCTTTCAGGCGTTTTCAGTCTGCTTCAATTCAATAAGTGTCAGTCTGACACCCAAGATGCCCAATTGTAGCATGATTCACGGGTATCGCATTTACTACACCTTTACAGTAATAGTTTATCACATTATACGCAATGTTAGATTACGTTTGAAATGATGACCATAATGAAACGGTATTATTTCTTTGTTTAGCTTTTTGTATTTTCAAATAAATTCAAAACTAAGTTAATAAAATTGTGGAGTCTGGTTATTTTAATATTCATCAGTGTAAATAAAATAATGTTGAATGTTAAATCTTTCCTGCACCACTTCCTCCTCCTTCCCTTTTCTGTTACTTCTCTCACCTTGCCTCCTTGGCTTACAGGGCTTACAGATTTTTCAAAAAGGTGCAACATTTGATCTTCACTAAACAGAAGAGGACCCATTATGGATCCTTGAAGGACCCCCCTATTTAGATCAAATTTCAAGGGGAACAAATCACAGATTCGGCCTTCAAAATCAAGTTGTTTAAACCATTAAACTGATAACTGGTTCACCAGTTTATAGGTTACTATTTTAATCAAGCTTGTATATTATAGGTTAATGTTGGGTACTTGATCTGCAGATGGTTACAGTGTTGAACTATTTGTTTTCAAAAGTGGACTGGCGATGGTCAGCTCTGATTGAATGAAAATATCTGGATGGAAATTTAACAAATTATTTTAAAAAAAGATGAAAGTGTAGGCCTACTTGCAAGTGTGAATTTCCGTTTTGAAAGGAAGTAGAAGGTCAGGTGGAGAGTGCAGACTTTCACCAGTCCAATCTTTTATAATATGCAAATCTGCAACCACAACCACAACAAATGTCTAGATGTAGTGTATTAGAATGACAGTATGCCAGAATGTGGTTGTGCTTAGCTGAAGCCTCATCATCTCAGCTAACAGCTGACCCATGCTCATGTCAAAAATAGAAAATGAAAAAACAGGCCCACGGATTTGATTTTGATGTTGTGTGTCCAATTTGTTACTGACTTATTTGTGTGTTGCATTTGATACTTTGCAGCAAATAACACACTTGGGCGATGAAGCTGATTTGACATAGGCTATAATGAATATGAGCTTGAACATCAAGTGTTTTTTCCCCAACAAAGTATTTTGGAAATGTCACGTTAAAAGTCTTCACATGTGTCAACACATTTTTTCCCCAAATATATTATATAATATTGAAAAAGAAACCCCACTTATGTTAGTGTTAAAGCTCACATTCATTAGGCTACATTAAATCAGGTGTCACCGTCGCCCAACTGAGGCCCTCTTTGCTGCAGGTTTATGAAGTGCAAGACACGAAGAAGTCCGTAACTTCCTGTTTACACACATTGGACACTTCAAATATCAAAATCAAATTCGGTACGTGGCTGGTTCATTTCATATTTTTGACTTGACGAAAAGGATTATCAGGGTTTTTGTGTTGGATTAAAAAATGAATACCAACATAAAGAACCGTTATTTCCCGATTTGGATTCCCAATTGAGTTTGAAAAGAACAAATAACACACATATTAAGTCAGACCCGTGGTTCTTCCTTGTCGGTTGTAATTTCACTGCGTTTGTGCTGGTGTATTTACGGTAGAGCCCTCCGCCACACGGAAGAAAAGGTTGAGCTAGCTAGAAACAGGGAGATGTAAAATTTTCCAGTGCGTCGGTTCCTTTCGCAATTTTTAGAACAATCCTTGCGTGGAAGGACCTTTTTTTTTATTATAGTTTCCCTCACATATTACTTTACATGAATTAACATGGCGACGTGCATTCCCTTTCAAACCCAGTTATCCTCAATAATGGAGGTTTTGGTTAAAGCAGCAGTGGCAGAGATATCCAAACTAGTCGATGACAAATGTGCGTTTTTGCATCTTGAAATATCCCGAAAACAAAGCGAGAACGAGATGCTGAAGAGGAAATTACAGATAATGGAGAACAAGAACTCACAGCTGCAGCGAGGGTTTGGTAAGAAGCTCATCTGCCTCGTTTGTGCACTTAATTGACGACTTGAGTAAATGAATGTGTCATGCATATTAATGTAGAAGTATAATAACATTCACAATGAGCTAAAGACACTGTAGGAATGCTGTGCATCCATACACACGGTAATGTACATAACGTGCCACTGGACGCATTTCCTCCTTTAAAATACTGTTCAATTTAACTGTACTCCAGCTTATTTAAATGTATTTTTTCCTCTTCTGCACAGAAAACTATATGGACCGAGGAACAGATTTGGGGAGGAACTGCCCGCATCCCACAGGAGACATAAAGGTTTGTGTGGTTTTCATAACTACAAAACTGATTTATAGCAATAACAATATTACTCAGCAACAAAGCTGGATCACCAGTTTGATGAAGTAGGCAACTGCCCCAGAACCACAGACCACCCGGGGCCCCAGGTCAAATTGGTTTGTGATAATATTTCAACACAATGCTCAGAGAATGGGAGAGGCCCAGAAGCAACATTTTGCCCTGGGGCCGCCAAGCAGGAAGCCCAGCATCATCATCTAATTTCACCCGACTGGTATAGACCCCGGTGTGGGACGTGCTTATAATGAATTACAAAACCGCTCCGAACAATATTTTTTTTACATTAACACTGGATCAAATTATTTACTGTGTACTATATTGTGTCATACAGGTGGCGCCTGTAGTGACAAACCCACAGAATTATCACCTCACTCTGCAGTTCCTCTCAGCTCTATGGTGCATTTTAGTGTCTTTCGGCTCATTGTTTTGGTTTTATTGCTGCAGCTGAACACATGCACCAAAAGAACCAGATGTTTAACACAGCAAGAGTTTGAGGCGACTGAGAGCTAAAAGTAGAGGGAATATTGGACTTACAGTAGCCAGGTGGCCGGAAACATGACTCAAAATGAATATTAATGTTGCTGCGTGTCCCCACGATTAATAAATAGGCAACTGTTTGTGTGTGCGTGAGCTTACTGTGATCTTAGAACTATAACTTGTGACATGGTGATGTTTTGCAACGCTGCAAAGCGCACCTATTATATCATATATATGTTGTGTTCACAGTTTGTAAAAGAAATCAACCAAAATTTGCAGTTAAATCCAACCTCTCTTGGTGTAGTTTCCAGAGATTGAAGATGCCACCCTTTCGTTCACAATTAAAGAAGAGAGCCCAGATGAGACGCTGTGGATCGGCGATTCTACTGGACCGATTGGTGAGTAAGAGAACTAGATCTTGATGAAAAGATGAAACACTTTTGGGGTGAATATATCTACATGGCTCCTCCTGATTTTTTACGTGTCGCTTTGCAGGTTCTGCTGTACAATACCCTAATCCAGATAACGCTCCAGAGAGCCGGCAGCTTGGGGAGAACCGTCAGTTGAACCTTTCAGAGGTCGGCAGGCAAAAAACTACAGAGTTTGGTGACTTGTATAACTCTGGTCAGCTTACAGGAGACATCAGTGGCCTTCAGTTCACTGTCAAGACGGAGAAGGAGGAGGACCGATCACGCTTCAGTCAGGATGGATGCCAGCACAGCGCAGGGAAGCAGACTCAACTTGCTGCTGATTTTTCCATCGATGACAGAGAGAATCAGCTCTGGTCATCTATAATTGAAGGTAATGACATTGATGCTGGCTTTCCTGACTTTTCTAGCGTGGTAGAGGAGTATTCCAACACATTCCCAGACCCCTCTGATGCCCACGTGGTTTCTAACACCACCAAGCCGGCGAGTGTCCAGCAGTTGTCCTCTCAGAGGCAGTGTAACGGGATCTACAGCAGTGACTATCAGAAGGATGTTCCACAGTCGTCCGGCTTCCAACCCAGACCTCAGGGTAGCCTGTCGCAGCAAGACCGGCAGAAAGAACAAATTTACACGCAGAGAAACCCCTCACATGTTGCACATCCGAGGCAGCCAGATGAACACCCTGAGACGGAGGCTGCAGCCGGAGATAGGCCTCCCTCGCACCACGCTTTCACACCAGGAAGCTTCCCCGCTCACACCCCATCCCACAAACCTCTCTCCGGCATGGCGCGGGGCTACGTCTGCTCGCATTGCGGAAAGACTTTCGGCCGTCTGCACCAGTTCAAGCTGCACCAGCAAAGCCACAAGAGAAAGCGGGCGTTCTGGTGCTCGGTGTGCGGAAAGAACTTCCAGTGTTCGTCCCACCTCAGCATACACCACCGGACACACACGGGCGAGAAGCCGTACGGCTGCGGACAGTGCGGGAAGAGGTTCACGCAGCAGAGCAGTCTGAGGGTCCACCAGCGCACACACAGCGGGGAGCGGCCCTACAGCTGCTCGCTGTGCGGGAAAACCTTCATCCTGATGCACCATTTGAAGCGGCACCGAATAATTCACACATACAGCTGAGGCGGAGATGTCTAGAAGGATGTTGCTCAGGTGAAAAGACACGAATGACCCTAAAAGCCAAATCAAAAAGCCAGTGAGTGGCAGCTGTTTTGGTTGGGATTTGTAACCTTGTGGCGTAGCTCACGGACTTTGTACATTAATGCATATTTTCCTATGCAAAATCCATCCCCTTTTAAGATGTTTGCTTCTTTTTTAAATACTTGTCTTATACTTATACTAACTTAAAACTGAATTGCACCCTCAAACAGAATCCACACAAGTCAGTATTTTGAAGACACAGCCAAAGCTAGAGATCCAAAACACCAAAATGTGGAGTCATTAAAAACAGATCCTGCAGATTTCCTCTCACAGTTACCTGGAGACTGATCTTCACTCACAGATAGTTTGTTTTAGCTCCTCATCCGGAAATATGCCTTACTTCATCTCAGCACTGAAACTGTAGAAGCACAAGATGCTCATTATCCCCAGAAACTCCCCCTTTACAGTCACAAGAGGGCTTTCCATTCAGAGCCAGTGGAGCACCTCTCAGGTTTATGTTTTGATGTCAACATTGTTAACAAAAAACCTGCCTGACTATTGTTCTGAGCTGAATTATTCCATCAAACATATCCCCAAAATCTGTTTGCCCTTTGTTATGATTTATTAAAGGATCATTAAAATCAGCTGCTGATTTTTATTTTTTATTTTTATTTTTTTATCTTTTTTACCCCAAGTCTGAGTGTTTCTAGTTCGGGTGTCACATTCTTGTCCTACTAGTCTTTTTGTCTTCCTGAAACTACGTCTGCACCTGTTGACTTTTGTATAGCAGAAAATTGGCAACTTTCTGTTCAAATTTGTTTCATTGAATTCATTACATTAGCTTCATCAAAATATGTGTGCCATTTGGTACTCAAAATTAGGGTTGCAAATAATATTTTTAAAAATGTATTTTTGATTTGTCTGATTGCTGATTCAATAAAATGTTAGAAAATAGTGCAGAAATATGCATCGCAATATCCCAGAGCCTATGTTGATGCCTTCCAAGTGCTTCTTTTTTCGGTCAAGCAGCAAAACCCCCCAAAGATGTACAATTTCCAATTATGTAAAACTGAGGAAAGGCTGCAGATCCTCACAGCTGGTTCCAGTGAATTGTTGGCATTTTGTCTCGATAAATGATTGATTATCAAAGCTGTCGCTGATTTGTTTACTATCAATCGACTGCTTAACTCTATCGACTGTTTCACCCCTAATCGAATTACGGCCTCCTTCAAGCCTGTAGTTTTGTCTCTGTGGTTGGTGAAATGGCACCAGAGGGCAGCGTAACTCGTCCTTTATATCGTCTCAGTGCAGAAAGGGGAACTGTGACTCTGCAGGGTGGCTGCCTGAGCAGGAACAGGAGCTTCACACTTTCAAGTTCCTGTTTATTGCAAAACATCAAAGTCGCAACCTGACTTTTCATCAGGTGTCCTAGTTATCTTCAGTGTTTTACTGTGTATTCTTTACTACATTCATGCATGTCATCCCAGATTCATTCCACTGTTCTAGCTGATGCCTTCTGCTCAGTATTTGATGGTTTTGGGTCTTCAGTTACTATTTTTTTCTTGCCACAACCTGCCTCCTCACTGTGCAGAGTAGAAACCCATGTAAAACTGAGATGAACACGTGGACAGGTAGTAGCAGCTTTAAAGATCCTTTAGATCTTTAGAAAGATCATTGTCTTCCTGTGTCCAGACCCATAAAGTTAAAAGGTGTCCGGGTTGCCAGCAGGGATGCTATACTAGGTTTGGTTCATCTGGACACAGTATGTACATTCCTAATAGAAAAGTGTTGTCTTTCCAGGCTGTCTGTCAGCTTAATTACAAGAGCAGCCACCATGTTTGACACACTTGTCTGCAAAACTACGCACGTTTATTTAAAGGTGTTAGAGGAAGAAGATAATGTCTTGAGGTTTCCCCTTTTGAACAGAGGAGTCTTGCACTTAGTCCATTCATTCTTTTTTTCATATAAAAGATTTCTATTTGAATACAGCAGGTGCTTTTGCAAGATAATGCTGTAATGAAAACATACTTTATCCTCATTCCTTTGTCAAATTGATTTAATTTTTTAACCATAATTTCAAACATTGTATAGTGTTTGTTAGACATGTGCGCACTCAGTACAAAGTGTAAAGGTAGATTGTTGAAGCGAAAGTGAGGTTGCACACAAAGTCAGTGCCTATGACTTTATTGTCCCGAGAAGAAACAACCTACACAAACAAGCTACCTTTAAAACCTACACTACAATCTCCACTCCCATACATACCTGTGGTGTGTGTAGCCATAAATCTAACCTGTAGAACTAGAAGGGAACTTCTTATTGATATCCTGTCAGTGTGTGCTAGCAGACTGTACTGCCTGTGCCTCGCTTTGCTTCCCCACACAGCAGTGAATCAGTCGTTTGTGTTGGCACCTGGACCTGCTCGTCCGCCGCAGGAAAACTGATGACCTTGTATAGCCATAAACACTGGTGCCTGAGAGTCATGGAAAATGTTATTTTTTCTTTCGGGGGGAGGAGGTAGAAGGGTACAAGTGGCAGTGGATGTATTTTGGGTAAGAAAGTGGGAACAGACAAAGTGTAGACTGGAGTATCAGTGTCTGAGTGGACACTGATGAAAACAGGGTAAACATGTCTGATAAGCTGAAGGACAAACAGTAAAAACGTCAACTATCATGATGGTGTTCCCTTTCACAGAGAACAGCTGTGGGCACCATCTAGATTTGTTATTCTTGCTCTGGGAAGCTTGCATTGATTGCATTTGCAGGTTAGCGGACACTGTTAGGAGACAGATACAGTTATCATTTCTGTTTGCATTTCTGGCCCATTTTATTGGGGTTTTTTTGTGTGTATTGTAGAAAAATTATCAAACCATAAACAAGATGTTTTTTTAATACCATTTACGTTAGCAGGCCAAACACATCTGGACACCTCTGTTTCCTGCACCTTTGGTCTTTTGCTGTTTTTTGTGGTTTGGGCTAGACCCTTTAGTTGCGATAGAAAAAATGCTACAGTATACAGTGATATTTTAGAAAATAGTGTTCCTCCAATTTTGTGGCAGCAGATTAATACCCATGTTTTTGGAGTGCGATAGAGTGCGGCAAGTCAATAGCTTGAGAGATTTTCTTTTTGTGATTAGCATAAACAATATAAGTTTTTTTGTGTGTCTCTTCCTGAGAACCAACGAGCAGTTATAAACCTTGGCACTGTTATTCATCATGCAGGAAGATATCCATCGCACAAGAGCCTTAACAGACGAAGGTCTAAGCTTTACGACAGCTCAGTCAATAAAATAGGGTTTTCAACAACTGTGAGTCACCGCAACCATGAGTCATAAATGTGCTCAAAAATATGAGAAAAGTGAGATTAGCTGTGGACAGATCAAACTGCTGAATGGCCACGTTAGGCTGGCTCCAAAAGCGAGTCGTACCCCATATCCCATATTAAAATTTTACAGCAGATGTAAATATGTTTACATCCTGATACTGTGGGAATATTTTCTTATTGATACTGTATATAGAGAATCAAGTTTAGCCATTATACATTATATGTTGTGATGGTAAACATGCAGGCCCTTGTCTGCCTGTATTACTCATACACTCTTGCCAAAGGATGCCCATTGTGTAGAGAGCCTCCCCCTTAAAATGGTACTCCCGGGTTATGAACCCTCTGTTGCACATGGGTCATGATGACTCCTTCTCTATGATTATATTAAAGTTATGCATAATTAAGGGCATTGCTGCTTTGAGTGACAGATGGATGCAGTCACGTGTGGCTCCACCTCGTTGCCCATATTTTTAGCTTTTTTTGCGATTAGCTGAGAGTCAGGCACTGCCAAGATGGCGATGGCCAGAGCCTCCCACATTGAGCTTCACAATTGCTCTTCAGAAAGCTACGGGCAACATCACAGAGACTTTGTCCACATGCATCTGCACATCAGAGATTTAGGACTGATCATTTATAATAGTGTAAGATCTGAAGGTCCTTTTAAGACTGACTCAAGACCACACGTCTGTAGGACAAACATCTCTTACATCCCACCAACAAATGAATAAGCACGGACAGATTCAACCTTTTTAGTTTTAAACATAGCACACGTGAAAACACATTGTTTTCATGTTGAGTTATTTAATTGGAAAAGCAGATCAACAGTTTTTACAGTTCTAAGTAAAATACCTATAAAAGCAGCCAGAAACCCAGCCTTTTAATACAATAGACATGGAAAGAGATTCTGATCAAACATACTTTGGTAACTATCCCATTCAACTCTGTTCATCCTAAAAACACTTAAATACATTCAGTATAAATATTTTGGAACATTTTACAAATCTTCTACACTATATTAAATATTGATCTCTTGAAGACATGTGTGATGAGTTGGTCCTCTACATTAGAAAGGAAGTGTCATGGTGGACATGATGGTGATCAACTGATATCACGGAATGTAAAAGAACAATAAATATTTCTGTTTTATTAAGTTAAAAGTTATTAAGTTAGAAAATAATATACAATTCTGGCTGAATGCAGTACAGTATGTTAGATTTGTCAGAGAGCTGTAGGGGTAACTGCAGTAGGATATATTTTATCTGCGCACTTCAAAAATGTAAACGTCGCTGATAGGAGTGTATAAAAAAAGTGGACCGGTTTCAAGACTGGATTTAAGTAACAATCAGTGGAAACATTTATGATGTTTTAAAACTCTATTTTAGCGTTGTAACAAACATCTTAAAAACAGAGATAAAACAGGGCAGCTGGCCTGGGACCATTTTAGTAGGTGTTGTTGTTGTGCTCCAGCCGAGCCACCATGGTAGACACCAGCTTCTCCAGTTGCCCGGCCCTCACCCTGCCCGTCTCCAGGACTTCTTCGTGGTTGGCCTTCTCCTGGCTGTCGTAGTCCATCACGGCCCGGTTGCTGATCAGCGACAGAGCGAAGCAACGCATCCCGGCGTGGCGGGCGGCAATTACCTCGTGGACAGTGCTCATGCCTGCATGCATCAAAGACAGAGAGGGGCTGAGAAGTTATACTGCAAAGATATCTACATGTTATTCAGTGTCCCTGTAAGACATCATAACATTAAAAAACACAAACAGGCATTCCTATCTTGTCCATATCAGACACTACATGACACGAGAGAGCATGTGAATTTGTTAATACATACTGTAAAGGCCTATATTTGGTGAGGTTGAGAAGGGCCTCACAAGTGTACAAGTACAAATGTGCGAATGTGGGAGGAGGACTTGACACCCACCTACAGCATCAGCGCCTAGGGTGTGTAGCATGCGGCACTCAGCGATGGTTTCAAAAGAGGGACCTCCCAGGACGCAGTACACTCCCTCCCGCAGGAAGTCGCTGTATCCCAGCTCTGATGCCACTTCTTGGGCCAGCTGCCGCAGCTCGCGGTTGTAGGCGTCAGACATGCAGGGGAAGCGGGTGCCAAACCTGAAGAGAGGAGGACAGTGTTGACTAAAGTTTATCCACACAACTGTGCTACTCAATACTGAAACTCCCTCAAATGACTCAGGCAACATTAAAGCAAGCAAACAATATGTTTCTGAGATTAGTTTATGTCCAACAGAAACAAAACAAAATCCAACATGTAGGTCAGCAGGTTCGTCCTGCAGTTCATGGGTAAAAGAAAACACTGTGTAATGCCAGAGTATCAATGTAAGAAACAAACCAGCTTATGCACTAAGTTGTACTCTGAAGCTAGAAATATTAAAGTGTCTCTGGCTTCCAGTCATCGAGAACAATAGGGGCTTTTATTGACACTTGAACTTATTGTCATGTGGGGGAATATTTGTGAAGTAGAGTGGGAAATAAAATATGGAGGGGGAGGGGAAGCTTGGTGCAGATGAATCCTTTGAACATTAATGAGTCAACTACTTGCTTGAAGTTGCTAGAAAAATGTTTTTTTTTGACTACCAGAAAAAGACTTTACGGATCTCCAGGGGGGAAATTCAAATGAAAATTACATATTTATAATCATTATAATTTGGGTGAACAGACCCGTTAATATGCTCCAACTCCCACTTTAAAGGTTGTGAGAAGTCTCTGCTTCAGTAAGAAATTTGAGTGTTACACAACCGGGAAGCCAATGTGGAAGTCCCTTAAACCTGCATTCTATTAAACAGCCAGCAGGGGGCGACTCTTCTGGTTGCAAAAAGAAGTCCGGTTCCATTAGAATTAATGGTAAAATGACCCGACTTCTCAGCTGATTAATTACCTCAGTAAACACTTTGCTAAGGAGTTTATCTCAATCGCTAGTTTCAAGTCTTTTTCAATACAACAAGCTGTTCATTTAGTAAATTATGGTCCCCTTTAGAGGAAAATAGACCATAAAGCAGAGTAGGCCTTTGCTTCAGGGTGGGATCATCTGTGACTGACAAGTTGTTACCATGGCAACCAGTCAATCAGGCTAGAGTGACTTGTAGCCACGGCACAAGTGTAAATATAACCGGCGCCGTTGAAAAAGCTTATTAGAAGTTGGCTGTTCACTTTCTCTGGTGAGCACATTAAGTTTTAAACCTGTTGTTCGCTAGACAAAGTTAAAATCGCTTAAAATGACAGATGCACCTAGCTAAGCAAGCTAGCTAGCTCCACACACGGTCGTTAGCTCCACCGCCTCGTCCAAATATGGTCACGTCCGGTGCCGCTGGTTGCCAAAACTCAACATGGCAGCGCCCTATCGGCAAAACTTGAGGCTTCAACACAGCAGTCCACAAACCAACGGGTGACGTCACAATGACTACGTTCACTTCTTATATACAGTCTATGGTGTTACACGACGTTCTACTGCTGTTGAGCTTTCCCACTGTGGAAAAACCTTTTTCAATTTAAAATATTAACCACAAGCCGCTTCATAAAAACATCCACCCCTAACTCTCCTCTGCCTACCTGTCATCATTTGGTCCAGCCAGCGGGTTCATTCCGGCAAACCCTGGCATGTTGATGTGGTCCTTGATGATCATGACGTCCCCCACTTTGTAGTCCTGGTTGAGGCCGCCAGCTGCGTTGGTCAGGATCATCGTCTCCACGCCCATCAGCTTGAAGACGCGCATAGGCAGCGTGATCTGGAGAACACACGGTAATGTCAAACACGTGCACACACAATAACACTATAATAATATTTAGAAACATCATGAAGGTTAGGGCATAGACTGGGTTAGGACAGTGAAAGTGCAACATATAGGGAACACTCGCATGCTAATTGCGCAAACATCGCTTGGAACAAAGACACAATAAGGGGACTGAAACGCAAAGTGTGTTCCTTGAAATGCTTTTCTGTTTCTTAATATGCAAATCATGTGATTGATAGCACACAGGGTATAACATAATGTGATAACACTTCAGGCACAAATATATTTCTGTGTTCTGCAATGGATGATCCGTCCGAGGTCGTTTTCGGTTGTTTTTCCTGAACGGAGAGGAACATACACTGATATCTTCAACCCTACTGACTGTGACTGGTTCCAGACAGCTGAATAAATAAAAACCTACAGTAGATCATCAACAAAACTTTAAAGGTTTGGTTCCCTGAAAACACACGTACTACTAGATAGTTTTGGTATTATTTGTCCAGGGTTTGAGAGCTCTGTATCTTAAGTTTGTGCCTGAGAAATCTGATATTTACATTTGAAACAGTCAGAGCTGTGTGGCTGCCCAGAAACAATGTGTCAGTTCCTCCACAAAGCTCTCTGTTGGCAGTTTTCATGGGAATGACTTTCTACCAAAGAAACTGTCCTGCTGAAAGCTGTGCAGTGAGGTAAGTGGATTATTCGGAGTATCAGAGACAATCTCCACGGTATGCTTCTCACATGGCTATGATCAAAACCATCTGAGGGTCTAGAAAAACTTTGCAATACTTCAGAGCAAGTATTCATAAAGTGGATTACTTGGAGAAACAACATAAAAAGCAATAAAAACGCCCTTTCAAAAAATACACATTTCATATCATTATGTCTTTCTACTCTTCATTATTTGTATTCAATGTCATTCTGGTCTTGAGGTTTTAGCAGAGGTCTGGGTATTTGACCTGTTTAAAAATTATTGTTGTAGAAAACCCTTCATGGCAGGCACAAGCACAGAATCTGTACAGGATCTTAAAAAGTTGCCTGGGACAGAAAAATAATTGCAAAAGTCAGGTTGTCTATGCAAGTCTTCAGTGATGGAAATTAACTGAATTCTTTTACTCAAGAACTGCACTTGAGTGCAATTTCGAGGTACTTGTACTTTACTTCTATACTACGTTGTAATTCTACTCCACTACATTTCAGAAAGAAATATTGCACTTTTTACTCCACTATACTTGTGTGATAGCTATAAGTAGTTACTAGTTACATTTCAAATAATTTTTTACATTATACATACATACACAATAACAAACAAAATAGAATTTATTAAATATTAAACAAATGGCTGGTCTAATTTAGCCACATTGTCATGAGCTGTTGATAGGACGATTTCCTTTCAACCTTTTTTTGTAGATAGTTTCATTAAAATAACTGGTTGGATCCCAAAAAAATCTAAGTATCCAATGTTTCAATCAGAGATAAAGGATAAGTGCAAAATATTGATAAAAATTTCAAATGCATGTAAAAAACCCTATGTCTCTCATTTCATGACTTTTCCTAAAATGGGTTGATTAATCTCTACTCACCTTCTGGATGGGGTGGCCCTCGTACAGGTGGAACCTGCCCTGCATGCAAACACAGGGTTTCCCTTTTAGTGTTCCAAACACCAGCTGGCCAGCATGACCATGCACTGCAACACACACACACACCGTAGTTAGTCACCCAGTGCATTTATGCAGAGTAAAAAACATGCACACACATGTTTTAACATTTGCAGGTGGTGCATACCTGTGCTCCGGGGGAAGTTGGGAATGTCACTGTATTTAAAGACCTGAGGGTCCTTCAGGGCCTCAGCCAGCCTCCCCAGACCTGAACCACACACAATTCCCACAGTGGGCCGCACTTGTGTGTTGGACAGCAGCCAATCAGCTGTTGCCCGACACTCCTCATAGCTGTCACAGAGAGAGGCAGAAAAACAACAGTACATCAGTCACGTATGCACAAAACTACTGCGTCTACAAAGCTACTCTTCTGTGATGTGTATAAACACTATGGTCAAAAGTATGTGGATGCTGGAACTTTACACTCATATGTGATTACAACTCATCTCAAAATCAAGGGCAGCAATCTGCTACTGTTAACAGCCTCCACTCTTCTTGGAAGGCTTTAGACAACATCTTGACTGCAGAGATATGCTCCATTCAGCCACATGACTACCCTGATGCTGGGCAATAAGACATGACTTGCAGGCGCTGTTTCAATTCATCCCTTAGGCTAAATTTGATGTATTATGTTCCTTTTCTTATTTTTACCATCTCAAAATTTATAGCACTATTGTTCATTAATTAAAAAGTTTTGTTAACATGCACTGAACTGCACCTTCTGACGAGACAATATTAATTTTATGAGACAAAGCTCTTTTTATGTGGAGGTGTGACAGAATGTAAATGCAGGCATTCAGCTACCAGGAATGTCGGAGTTAACAGCAGTAATCTGACAGGTGGAGGCGTCCTGTACTGTCACTGTTGGTAACTTTCCTGACACTGAGTGATATTTACATAAACACACACGTGATACCCTGTTCTGATTCTGCAGTAAAAATACTGAAGTGACTTTATTCCGCAAACAGTGCGTCACGTTCAGGTGATGAAGGACGGGACCTTAAAGTTAACTTCGTTATTTTTCAACCATTACTCTCTTTTCCCGTGTCTGTGTCAAAAAAAAAACAAACAAAAAAACAATTCTGGCTCATGCGCGGAAAGCCATTATGTGGCCGGTGTTATGCCGAGTTTTGTCTGCCTGCCGAGAATTCCATGCACCTCCAAATAGGCTGCTTTTAAACGCTATAATATTGTTTGTGGGGTTCATCAATGGTGATAAATGATTCTAAGTATATATTTTATGAACGTTTAGTGTCTTTCATATTTTAATACACTTAGTACAAGTAGCCTAACATTAATTCTGTAAATATATGTGGTGATAATCGCGTTTGATCAGTGAGCTCGGCAAAGTGTCTGAAAAGGACCTAAAGAGGTGGAGGCATAATTCGGCAGCACACATTTTGTAGGCTACCTGCCGAGATTTGCATCCATTTCTTTTCTCAGCATAAACGATCGTTGTCACTGGTGCACGCAATTCTCGGCAGGCAGGCAGAATTCGGCACAGCAGTCACCTGGTACGTGTGTCCCACAATAAGACTCACGGCAGCAACGGAAGCCACAGGGTCGATTACTCATTAAGGAAATACCATTCATCCTCTGCTTTCTGTCTATGAGTAAGGGGTCATCGGGTTTGTAGAAATGACGTCATGGCGGAGGGAATTTGTCAAGTGGGGGTTTTTCCTTCAGTCACTTCTGTTCCACCCTTTATTGCGTTGGATGGTCGGAGCACGTCGTACACGTTTTACTCAGCAACACCATCTTCTGCGTGGTCCATGATGACAAAATAAAAGCTGGATATCCCGAGGCAGTAGTCGCGCGCTTCTCGGCTCGTTTTTAATTATCAGATTAATTATAGCCCGAGAGTATGTTTCTCTGGGGGTTTGATGGGAAATGTAGCTACATGTGAGGGTATTTCATCAAAGTATTATTACAGTCCACACGTGACTTCCCTGTAAATTCTCGACTGGGTTCGATGGGTAAGACCGATGGGTCCACATACATACAAAATTAGTCTCTATAGAAACATTATAGTTAATATACAACTATAACATGACGTCAACCTGACCAAAATAGTGTTTTTTAAATCGCAGACGTGCTCAAAATCCTATTCTAGTAGGCTGATAGTTAATGTACTCACCTAGACACAAACTTGGACATGGAGAGGAGGATGAAACGAGATGCAGATACAGTCTGGAGGTTATTCCGTGTTAAATTGACTCTGTGAAGGTTATCCGGGTTTTGTGATGGAGGGACCGGTTTTAGGTATTAGCCCACTCCCCCACCACACGCGATGCCACATCCCCTGTGCGTCACAGCCATGCGGATAGCTGATTGGTCGACGCGCAGGCGTTGTTCGGGTGCGTTTCTGACGCGGCCGTAGTCCCAGTAACTGGGAACGCGTTTAGGAGCTTCCCCCAAAACAAGGAAATAGTCAAAAATATGTCTAGAGGGAAATATGACCAAATAAACACAGGGCACAGATGATATATTAAATTAACTGCCCATGCATTCATGGAGAAATCTGTGTGTTAAAGAGTGAGTGAGAAATTTCCAGTTAGTCTAACCTAACCGTCAGTATTTGATCATTCAGCCTGTAGTATTAACATAATGTTTTGTAATTTTAGGTGGCCTACTTTGTGTTTTTTTTTTGGTAAAATGTTTCACATCATTATTAGAAAGAAATTTGAATGGGTCGCAAGATAAATCTGAGGCACCGTTAGTTGACTAACTAGATAGGAAAGCAAAAAAGAGTTTCTTGTAAATGAATAGCAAATGTTACTTCTTCATTATTTAACAATCAAAATGTTTATGCTCAGACACAAGATAAAAAAAAGTTGTGTCCCACTGCGTTTTATGATCTATCAATAGACATGGAGAGCTGAGGACACAAAGGTGGAGTGAAAAATGGGGTAGACGGAGGTTGAGTGAAAGGGGGAGGAGTGCATGTGGTGTGTGTTCAGTACACAGACGTTGAGGTTCCTTCTCAGATGGTAGCTGTTAACTCTACTCACACGCACAGCTGATTAGAAACACATTGAGCGCTTAACTGTAGTGAAGGTAGTCCATCACAAGCATACAGTACAAATGGTGAAACCAAACTAAAACTGAAAAATGTCACAATCCTTATCCTTGGAGTGGAGGGTCGGTATCTTTGAGAAGGACTTGTTGCATTTTCTGTGACTGCAGACACTATAGGATTTGGAAACTGCTTTATCACACAGCATATGTGGAAGGGAAAAATAAATATTTTGTCTATATCAAAGCAATATTACCTCTAATTAATTAACAACCATTGTCAGATTTTTTATTTTGTTTAAAGTTGCTGAAACACAATATGACATCATGTCTAACTGTTCTGATGCTAACTGTTTAGGTTCAGGTGGGGCAAATACTGCTTTTAAATGCTATAATTTTCTTTGTGTGGTAAATGATATAATATTTCATGAAAGTTTAGAGTAGTTCAGAGCTGTTGATATTTTGCCGAGATTTTCGTCCATCTCTTTTCTCAGCATAAAAGGGCGTTACCACTCACAAGGTGCATCTAATTCTCGGCAGGCAGGCAGAATTCGTCACAACACCTGGCGCTGCAAAACGTCACCGTGATGTCACATCACCATGACATAACATTACCTCGCGGGAGCAAGGCGGCGGCAAGTCTGGCGCACGTGGTTGTTTTTCTCTTGCTGCACAAAGTTGCAACCACCTTTTGCCTGATCATTGTTCTAAGCTCACAGTAAACTCAGGCAGTCTACCGGCGGTAGATTGTGTCTGACGGCGCTGTTTTTATAACCCGCCCCCGCAGTCTCCTGCATCTCACATTACACTAGCCTATCAAATCGGCGGCAGTCAGCCGCAGTCGTCTCGAACGCACCTATTGACTACCAGTTATGAATAGTGTGCTATCTTCGACAGCTGTAGGCCCATTCTAACGTTAACATAGCTGTCCTTATTGGCAAGGCTTGCTAATAACTTTTTTAAAGTGTGCAGTGGTGTTCATGATACCAACCATTCAATTCACAGATGGCTTGTTTGCATGCAGGAGAGAGAGAGGGAGCGACCGAGTGAAGGGAGCGAATATGCGCTGTGCAGCACTGCAATTAAAATGCCGTAAAAGCCTATGTGTGGGAAACACTGAGGTAAAATGGTTTTCCACAAGGGACCCCTCCCAGTAAATGCTCAGTTCTTCCATTACAACATGATCAAAAACATTACATAAACACTACTGTGCATTCAGCCAAGGAGCTGGATATGATAAAATGTTATTAAACAGGTACAACAAATAACACAAACATACAGACTTGCTTAACAACTGTTCTGTCTACATATCATTTCACATTAACACAGAAGTCAATTTGTGACGTACAAAAGTAGCCAATTACTTAATATATAAGTATTTTAGATAAAATTATTTTTTCACAAGAATATTTGTTTATTTAGTCTGACCCCGTTGACATGTAGTGAGAGTAAGAACAGTGATGGTGTGCAGGAGCCAGACATACCTATGAGCACATTGAGCTTGTGAGGGTCCAGCTGGTCCTTTGAGATTTTTGTGGCCTCTAAGCCATCTGAGCAACGATCCCAGGAAGCTCTAAAAGAAAAGAAATGCAGTTGCAAATGAGATATAATAAATATTCAGTTAGGCCAGTACTTCCACCTAGTTTAGTTCTTCATTTGTGTATCATTATAAACACTGTAATTCTATTCTATTATTCTTTATTTCATTTTCTAGAGCTAAGGCAGGAAATTCCAACTCTGGGTTTAGCATTAAGTTGTTTAAAGTTGGCAAAGGGTAGGTTCAGCTTTTGAAGTTGAATACAGGATCTATGACCATATAAATGGACATAAAGTTGAGCAGTGTTTTACATAACATCACAAGCTATTATATCGTGTGGTCAGGCATTGCAGTACATAAAAACATTATTTCAAGCGCGTCTTAAAACAAGTCTCACATGCGCGTGTACACTTTAACATTGCTGTTATAACTGAGTTATTGGTCACTGTAATGATTACCCCCTCCATGGTTGCAGTGAAGAGAAATCTCTAAAAAACAGTACACCTGTAGAAGATGTCCACTTTTGAATAGTCTAACACAAATGCTTAGCTGATGATTCATAGTAGCTTCAGCTAAACTTTAGAATGAATTAATATAAAAATGACAACTGTGGTGATGTCTTTACAGACTATATGGGCAGGAATAATGATTACAGTCACCAATAACTTACTGTAAACATGGACATGTGAGTATTAAGGTAGACTATAAAAATGTGAACCTTTAGCACACAGACAGCAACATATTAGTTGCATTTCTTACTCTGTACTGCGCTAGTGGGCTGGGCGGGACTGCACTGTATGGCTGCAGCCTGGAGCCTCCCGCTAGCACCTCCCGCTAGCTTTCTAAAGTTTGCATCTGGTTGGTTCTGTGTTCCTCTTACTTTGGTGTTTTTGAACTGAATAGTTCCGCCAATCATGCAAATTAATAAAATACTTAATAAAATATCTGTCAGTAAGATAAATGCAGACTTTCATGCAAATGAATAAAAATATGTCCGTCTATAAGATAAATACAGACGTTAGATAGACTAAAGAGCTGTTTTGTGATCGTTATTATATTATATTCCAGCAATCCGGTAGAAAGATTGTTTTAAACGTAGTTTTAAATCCCGCCGGAGAAATTCCCATCCACTGCTGTTACAGTACGGGCTATAAACTCCTGTTAGGCCCTATGCTTGCGTGTATGTCCATGCTATTGACATACAGGCAAGCATATTGATTGAGATTCAGTTAACTTGTGTGTATGTGCCAACCCAGCAACACACACATACACACACACACACACACACACAATAGAATAAGCAATTATATTTGCAGCGATTTCCCTAATAAGTGTGGAAACAATATAGGATATAGAAATAAAAACGAGGCTTGGAGAGAGTATAACATGTTTATTATTTTATTCTTCATCATCACTGTCCTCCAGCACATTGGCAGAATTTGCTGCAGGATCCAGGGTGAGGATCTTCAGAAGATGTCCCCTGCAGCTCACCTCTAACTCTGTGTAAACCACTGTGTTTATAAGAAAAACAGAACAAAATCATACTCTTGATCTGCTCTCATACAGTGTTTAGATTTGTTTTTGTTTCAGACAGACTTTTTTGTTAGCAACAAGTGACTTGCTCAGCACAGTAGGCTGTGCCCTATGCATGTGTTATTTTTTTTAAAAAAGACACTGATGTGTTCCTTAGGTAAAATCAAAGAAAGAAACCACTAAAGTCTGTTATCATAAATTGCTATAGGCAACGTTGACGTTATTGTCGAGCTAAAATTCGCTAAAAAAACATCTAATTGAAACGCTGTTACAGTTCAAAGTGTTAAAAGTCATCGCAGGTTTCATAAAATACATACACGTTAACATCAGGAACACAATAACATCCAGATATCTGCAAAGCATAGCTATCTATGGCCAAATCGTAATTTAAGAGTTTATACGTTTTTCAATTGATTACACTCACCCGTGACCCGTGACCCTTTCTCCTTCTGCTGCTGCTTCTTCTCTTGATTAACACCAGATTTCAAACAACGTTTAGGTGCATACCGCCATCTACTCTACAGGAGTGTGTAACACACACATAATTGGCGATTTCCATTTTGACACTTGAAATTACGTTTAAAACAATATTTCTACCAGATTGATGGAATATCATTACAATAGCAATATCATTAGCATGATGGTCTGCGTTTATCAGTTCAAAAACACCAAAGAGCTAGGTAGAAATGTTGAACAAGAGGCAAGCTTTTTGAAATGTAGAAATTAGCAGAAGGCACTAGGCCGGAGGGCATGAGATGGGAGGCTCCATGCTGCACCGTTTACACACAAAAACAGGTATAACTACATTATGATTTATGCTTATTTCTATGTGTTGTTTTTTTTGTTAAGATAACAACATGTGACTTCCTTTTAGGCCCGGTTACCTTTATGAAAGAGGTCTCTGATCTCAACTAGCTATTTACCTGATTAAACTAAATTAAAAGAAATAAAAGAAATGATGTACTTCCACAAAGTACACCTAAATAGTATTTACTAAGAGTTAAATAAATACTTTTTAATAAATAGACTAAAATGTTGCAAAAATATACTTTTATTTAAGCATATTTATTAAAAGTTTAATTAAGTATATATTTATTACCAATTTATTCATATTCAAGTAGGTTAAAGCTCAGGAGAATATATATTTAATATACTTGTTGTTGAAGCTACATTAGTTTGCTTTCAGTAGTGGTAATTTGTTAATT